CTTTTGGTAGGTAATTCTTTGTCATGGTTGAACACAGTTAACGTACGCAACTGGTCGAATTTTGTAATTCGTTCGTTGTAATGCTAAGGCGTTCTTCGCCGAACTCGTTTGACTGCATCCATTAGGTACGACTTACTTATGTAAGTTAATATATGCGGTGTTCAATCAATTATTACAATAAAATATTTTTAATTTAATACGTAACATCAATTGAATACATATTTGATTAAATAACCGAGGTGGCAGTTAATTTATAAATCAGTGTAGGTGATTTTCACTATGTAGGTTTTGAGCACAAAATATTCTGATGCTATTGCAATTTTGTATCTGTACATTTCCGTTGCACTGCAAATATATATCACTGTTAGGTATATTATCAACAAATAACTTGTTTAAAGCACGACTTACGGTATTTTAGTATACTCTTACTCGGTGTATAAAATTAAAAGACACTTGAAATAACCCGTTGAGTAAGACTGGTCAAAGTATTTGAACAGGTTTATGATTAAAGGTTTAGTTTACCAGAAGTATAAGGAAAATGTTTCTTAATCATAAGTATTAAAAAGTTAACTACTTTGTAAAACTTAACTAAACTTTTTGTGCCATTAAATATACCTATAATATATGCTCAATAAAACAGTCTGTTTAAATATTACATCACAAATTTTAAATTGCTATCACTATGATACAAATAAGGCAATCTTTCTGAGAAATCTAACTGACTGTTAGTTGATTTATAATATAATTTCTATTAAATTTTCAAATGAATAAGTGCTTGCTTGATTGATTCGCTTACGGAGTATAATAATAAAATATTTAACTATTCACAAGATATCTACAGTAACATGATCTATTTCGTTTTCTTTTTTAATGCCTTGTCCTTTATGTTGTAGTTGTGATTTTTAATTACAAAAACAATTCTTTCCTAAATAACTTGTGTCGAAAACAGATGAAACCTAAAACACTAATAGATCAGCCAATGATTCAAGTAAACGTATTCACATATGTACTAATTTTTAATAAGATATCATAGTCAAGACGACACAGCTAACCTCGACGAATCTGTCAGCGTACAATACACGAAAATAAATAAAACTAACACAACCTGGTCAATGTGGTTGCATTTTTTTTTACTTTTATACATAATAATCTTAAAATAAAAAGTACGTGTCAAAATATCGTGAGAGAACTTAGAGTGCAGGTGTTTGCAGTAGTTACTAGTAGGTACTTGCGGCTATTGATCACGTGTTTGGGTTAACTAATCTCTTAGCACTTTCCTATAATTAGAATTTAAAGGCGATAGTTCAAGCAACTATGAAACTAACTATCGTTATAAAGACCTTTATGTCAAGAAATAAACACTATCTTATGATGGCATTAATGTATTCATTTGGGAAAACTATATTTCATAACTCTCCGCATTTCGTGGGAAATCGATGGTAAAAACAACATATTTTAGATTATAAATACTTAGCTAATACATCGTGCGTTGAAGTTTTAGCTTAATTACCAAAAACCTATGTCTAGCCGTCTATTTATCAAAAATAAATAAAAAATCGGTGTAGGTGAGATACAAGTAGCCAGAGTATTATACATTACATCAGTTACGTCTAACACTGATTGCCCACGTTGATGCCGCTGTCGAAATGCACAGTAAACACAGACTAATAAATGTTTCTATTTTACATACATACATTTGGTGTGGAATCGTACCTCACAATTCCTTTTTAAAGTAAAATATGTAGGAATGGGTTTAAGCATAGAGAGAACACGGAGTACAGCAGCCTGTAAGGGCCCGTTCGCACATCGAAATAAATAGCCACCGTATCGCGTTCATTTTGTATACATTTTTTTAAACACAAATTATAGATATTTTTGTTCTGGCGTTTTTTTTTTCCGCCGTTGCCTATATAGATCCCATGTGTCACAGAACTTTGCAAAGAAAACGCGCGGTAAAATATCGCTGTGCGGACAGGGCCTAAATGGATGCGATACAGGCAACGAGAGAGATGGATGCCCGATAGATCCATCTGTCAGCTAAGCTGCGATTGGCTATCGTAATTTGGGCATGGTTTTGATCGTAGAAGAGGCGGGAGATTAGAAATTTCCCCAGCAAAACACAGAGATCGACCAGAAATAGATAGAGGGAACTATCTATTACCCATCTCTCTCGTTGCCTGTATTGCAAGATTGGGGCTTGGGATCGGGATTTAAGTATTTCACAGACAGTCTTGGTTACGATATAAATAATCAACAACAACGGTGTCATGTCAAATTATTTGGTTCCCTCGCAAAACCATTTTAGTATAATTTAAATATTTGTTGTGAATGATGATTTCAACAAGGCCTGACAAACACAGAAAAATTCAAAAATTAAATATTAATGTCGATACTTATGTAGTAAAATCAATCGAAGTACTTCAACCGAATGCCTCTAAAATATACGTGTACTTCCGACACTACTGTAACTAAAGGAAACTGGAGAAAAACGAACTAGAACTTCGAAAAGGACAGTCAAGAGCATTAGCTCTTGACTGTCCTTTTCGAAGTACGGATTTTTCATTTTCAGATTAAATCTTATAAAATATAAACAGAAATCATTATAATCTGCAGGCAGTTGTGCCTGAAGTTTATTCAGGCACAACTGCCATGGCAGCGATACCAAAAGTGATCATTCCCCGTTACGGTACAAATCAAAACGAGGGCTAACTTCTAACTAACTTCTGCTTACCCTACACGTGAATTAGGAGCTTCATTTATATTGTTTTCTTTTTCAGGTTTATGAGTAGAAACTACAATCCATTGCTATTAAGGAAAATTGAAAGCGAAGACTTTGGCTGACAAAAATATGGAGCAAAGCCTACTAGCCGTAGTATCAGTTATGCTGCACTTAATAACAACAGGTTTGTGGTGTAAATTTTTAGTGTCTAAAAACAGTGAGACTAATTTACTGCACAAGGTAAGCAAGTGATAACACAAAACGAAATAACAAATCAATTTATACCTAATTTGAGAATTGTTGGAGAAAGAATTTACCTATAAGTCCTCTCTCCAAAAATTCTATAGTTATACGTCACACCACAATATTTTGCTGTATTTATGTGTAATGTATGTTGATACCAAATACCAACACGTTTAGTTAATCACAAACTTAATTTATAAGTTATATAGAAGCACATAGTCTTAAAAAACAGTTTTGGTGGCATAAAATTCAATGGTCCAAGGAAGAAACACTACGTAAATTTGCAGATAATTGATTATAATTAAAAACGTAATGCGAAACAAATGCATTTCATAAACATAACTAAAAAACGTGTATGCACTTTACCTAAGTAATGAACTAATTTTAACTTTTCTTACTGTGATTATGTACAATATCAGCATTCAATTTCTTGAGTTAGACGGCCTTCCTTATCACGTGGTTTTAGTATGACTTCATTAGAGCATATATACATTTACTCATTTTTAGTTATTGATAAACGACTCGATTAGGTGACATTTTTACGCCTATTTCAAATTTAATTTTGTCTCATATCAGTCCATTTAATAACATACACGGAACATTTTATATCCTTCTTAAGAGATAGAAATTGTCAGTACCGGGATAGCAATGGCGTTTTCTTTCTGTGTATGAACACCGTTTACAAGAACATTGTTCGAAAAACAAACTCGTTTCTCAGGTCTTGGTGTCCGATAACAGTAACCGACAAATATCATAGGCGATAAACAAGGGTCAAATCTTGCGTTTTTACTACAGTACCGAAAAAGAAAGACCAGACAAAGACCACTATTTGGTGTTTCCAGTTAAAAACTGAACTTATTTTTAAGTTAAGGATAGTAGCCTTGCTATTTTCAATTGCAACGAAACACTCTCGCTACCGTGATACGCAGTGCAAATAAAATACAAATCAAAATAAATAATTGGAAAACATTGTTTAATTATAAATTCACACCTACATACACATATATACGAGTATATCCGTCAACCAGCGGTAGGTCCAATGAAAAAAGACATTCAAGGTTTTAATAATTTATATACAGAGTGGTACAATGTTAGGATTGGAGGTACGGGGTGACTTGACAGGATCTAAACGACGACGTATCGACATTTTGAAAATATCGATGTATGTCTATTTATGTGCCGTTATCAAAGACAATGTATTTTTCTCATCACACTGTGTAGTGTATATTTTTTACGTCGGCAAATAACTTAACTATATTCTATTTCTTTAGTGTTTTAAAAATCGTTTAAAGAGAGTCATAAATATTCTAAATTATGTTGATTCAGTCACTCTACCGTGCGAGTGAAGCCGTGGCAAGAAGCAAATTCATGATCATAACAGGTTAACCTTCGGTAGATATTTCAGCCAAAGCTATTACAATTGATATTGGTAAAACATTTCATAATATAGGTAATATTGCTACCACGCATCCCTAGTCAATTATACGTGATGTCGAATCTGTACGTACTTAGGTCAAATAAAATCTTCAAAAATATCCTCTCTTATAAGACTTATACAACACATGGTGATGTAATGATAAATCATAAAAAAATATTGATTAAGTTTACTGTGATTCGATTTTTTAAACGCTTAAATTTTAGGTAAATATGTTTCTGCCATTGTTCTTTAAATCCACAATAATACGTAAAAAGATTAAAAAGATTGGCCGTGAGTTTGTTTGCCAGTTTGATAAATATTTGACAAAACAGATTGTTGCTATTGTGTGTTAATCTATGAGGTAAGAATGAATAAGAGACGATTACAAACAATTTTATTTTTTTATGAAATAAAGATATTTTGAGTTTGAGTTTTAATAATATAAGAATTGGTCCCGAGATGCTGTATTTAGACTATTACTAGTTTTTAATTAGCTAAATATTAGGAATGACAACTATTATGAAAAAGGTGTCAGATTTTAATTTATACAATCATATTTTTTTTATTACCAAACATAAATAGGTGAGGTATAGACGTCAGAAATTTTGATACTAATTTAGATCAATAATTGGTCTGTCTTACAGCACCACTGAATAGATCATACAAGATCAGTGTAAATAGGGCAATGGGGGCCAAGACGGATACTGCTCTGTAACCAGGCGTTGGGTCTCGAAAATCATAACATAGGCCGTTGAAACGTCTTCCTTTCTCTACACACAATGACCCAGGCTCACCAATTTCATAAATATGTTTACTTGTATCGCATTGTGGGCCGTTGTCTCCTCCAAAAGTATATTTCGTAACTAGTCGAGCTGTTAGCCCTAATGTCCCATTACTAAATTCCTGCAGTTGCTTTCTAACCCATCTTCGCGTATAGATTTTGCTTAAAGTATCTATATCTGAAAATCTAAGTGAATCATTATAGAGCTTATGATTAGTTTGTTCATTATCTGAAGTAGGAGTTTGGATTTTGTGCAAGTGAATGCCGAGGCTCGATAAATAATGTGGTATACTATTTTTGCCATTTTGGACCTCCATCATTTCTTTATGAAGAATGAATCCACAAAAAGATTTAGTATAAATAGTAAATGGTGCACCCGGTGCAAAGGTGCACACAACTCGCACGTCTCCCCACGGGCTCTTACCATACGCACAACCAATTTTATTCGTCTCCGCCCATATTAACTGCACAGTGTTGTAAGTAGTTGGCGTTATATGACCGCAGTCTATATCAGTAGCAGTTAATTCAACACCGCTTCGGAACCACGAATGTATACAGCCAATTAGGGGGTCTATGAAACATTCACGATGTGGTATGCTGGCAAATAAATTACACATTGGTCAGTGATAATGTACATTTTTTTACTATAACTATGTATATACATTTTAGTTTGTATGTAAGATTCGCAGACTGCGATTAGTATAATACTCCTAGCCACTTAACACAGTACTCCTAGTTTTTGTGTGTAATAAAGAATAACTTTTTTTTATGTGCGGAAATCCCTTTGGATACCACCCACCGGTGGTTAAGTCGGACTCTAACCGACCAAAAACCGCACGCCGTCTCGGGTACCAGTTGCCGGGGAACCAGGTGTACCCTAGGAAAGAAATCCCTGATACCCCGACGTACCTCGGGCCATCTACGGCGTGTAAATGACCTCCTCCTGTGTCGGAGCCTCTATGTCCCCTTTGAGCTCCTTACACGCACTCCGCAGCGCGTCTCGTTACCACCCCGGCCTACTTCTGTTAGGGTGACAGATGGCCTCACCTACCACCCCTAGGCCTACGCTTATTAAGGACGGAGGTCGTTCTGCGACCTCCGGCGCCTGAGTCGTCAACGGTACCTAGCCCGTTGCAGGGCCTGTCGGGCCAGGAGAGTTCTAAATTAATATTTTGTATAAATTTGTTTATAAACATACCATTTAGATCCCACTACAGTTTTGTAAGATTTTGTGCAGCATAGGTCTGTATATTTAGTGCACTCAAGTTGTGCAACATAATTTCCTTCGAGGGATGAACAAGTACTGGGACCTGGTAGACATTGACGCAACCAGGCTTCTGCCATGGTCTGCAAATCAAAGTCGTAGATCAGCTGATTCATATCTGTTGCCGTAGGTAAATGTTTGTATAAATCTGTCACTCCTGTAGCAATACGGTTTCGCATTGAATTCACTGTATTCACTAATGCTATACGTTCCCCCATAGATGGAGATAATACTTCGTAACCCGAAACGCATAGTTTTGAATTGGTCGAATCTGAGAATAGACAAAGCGTGTGATCGCCGTAGCAGGGATCTGAAGCACACCATTTATTGAGAATTTGCGAGATTGGTATATTAAACTTCTTGTTGGCTAATTTTTCGGCTTCATATTTTTCAACAACATTTTTAAGGCTACCACCGTATGTAAGAAACACTCCCTCTTTCTTTTTTTGTCCCAATTCAGCATATAGGATAGGTAGATCCCAGCATGGTAAATTTTCTGGTACATACCAGACACTATCGTTAACATACTTTTGGATATCATAGTAATAACCCAATTTGCCAGTCTCTTCGTTTTCTGTCTCATTTGGAGGGGTTGCAGGTTGCAAGTTATAAAAATCTACCACTAACTTTTCACTTGTTACGTAGTCCGATTTACTAATATTTGTTTCAGTGGTTTTATTGGACTTTAATAAATCATTTTTGAACTTGTCTTTTTGTTGACGTAGAATTTGACGTACGGTAACTGGCTCGTTATATTGGTACACATAATCTTTTAAAATATCCAAATATATATTTGCTTTTGAGACGCTCGGTCCCTTTTCTAACAATCCGTCATATGTATCACTGTTATCGACATAGTCAGTTCCAAAAATCCGTTTACCTACAATCATATTTCCAATATTTTCATTGGTAGCAGAATCCCTATAATCATCATAATTATTTATGAGCGATCTTTTAGTAAAAGCAGTTACGTGCGCAATAGACGATTCCGAGGTATTTGATCGTAGCATAGCTTTAAACAATAGTTGTTCTTCTTGGATTGGTTTGGAAACAGATTCATTTTTATTTAGATTTGGCGTATTTTGTTTCTCTTTATAAAGAAAATAGTCTTCACTAATACATTCACACAACGTTGTTATAAATAATAACCAAACACATAGCTTCATGGTTTCAACCATTTCATTTTGCTTTAGCATTATAGTTTGAAGCCTACTAGAGCTACACATAAAAAGTAAATTGGAATAAGAAATAATATTTAAACGTCGGTGTAGTAAATTTGTTTCAAGCGGCCAAAATTGATATTTCGTTTGTAGTCCTGTGGTCTCTATATATCTTATATTTCTCCGAGCGTATGTCAGCATGGTTATTTTTATAATTACTAACAAAATTCCATACTTCTCTCGGACTCCAAATTTTAATTATATTTTTGGTAAGCATAAAGAACGTATTAATAGGGAAACAAAAATACATTATTATATTTAATTAGTTAGACGGCATCATTGTCTTATTATCAATATAAGTATTCGTTCTAGTTAAACCGCCGTAAGCTTGGCCCTCCTGATGGTTTGGGGGACGCGGGGCGGGGGTGCATTCAACCAATTAGCTAGTGCGTCGCTGTCCGCCGGCAGTGACTGACGTGAAAGTATAGCTGTACGTGATATTTTTCTTAAGACTGCTACACACGGTATTATTTTGCAACATGGATAATCTGCCGACTCTGCGTCACAAAAAGATTTAAAAACTTGAAGTTCGGCTTACAGAGGTTATACTGTTAAAGTTCTAATAAAGAATATTTATAATTTTACTTAATTTTTAAATTGTATCTGAATATAATTTACATGATGAAGATAAGGTGATTTTATTAAAATTATTTTACAATATTAAATTTTACAATTAATTAGAAAAACTTACAGTACACTGACATTATAATACATGGAAATAAATTCGATTTCTATTACATTGTGTGAAGATTAAATCTCAAACAAATAAATCTGAAGATATCGAGTTAGTACATAGCCGAGCGCATCACCCGCCCCGCGTCCCGCAAACCATCAGGAGGGCCAAGCTTACGGCGGTTTAACTATAGTAGCGCTTGATGGTGAAGCAATAAAGACTAGTACCAAAAACTGACATTCACCAGCGCATACGTATTGTGGACCTTGCGTGGGAGCTGACAAAACTAAATTGTGACTCATTTAAGTATGATACTTATACAAATAATCAAATATATATCGTTACGGTTCGGAACGAAGCGTATAATATAGGTTTAAAACTGATTTTTTATTGACTGTATGGCGTAGTGGTTTAAGCGGTCGCCACGCCGCTTATTACTACGCTGAGTATTATGGGTCCGATCCCCATATGGGACGACACTTTGTGTCATCCACAAATTGTTGTTCTGAGTCTGGGTGTCCTTTGTGTCCGTTTCATGTATGTTTGTAAAGTCCCCCGCGACACAGGATTTATTCCTAGTGCGGGAGTTGTCTTTTAAATTGAAAAAAAATGTTTTTATTAAACTAGTTTTATCACATGTCTGTTAATTACAGAGTATCAGTTTGCTTGATTATTATAATATCTAGTAACATCTTTTACAAAAACTTAAACATAAAGTTTTTATCAGTAGTTATTACGAAAAGAGAACATGTGTCAGAAGTCATTGACCTCATATACATAGAATCAAGACGACGATCGTGACTAGCATCTGATTTCGACACATGATACATTTAACTTGTAAATATAAATGTATACTTCAATCACCTGCCTCATATTTTTACATCATCACATAGGTAACGAACTTACGCACCTCACCTTTTAGCTTGGCGCATTTTCATTTCTATATTAGTTACCAGACTATATAGGACGCTTATGATTGTCATTCAAAATTCAAAAATCATTTATTTTATGTGAAGCGTGATTTTATCTAATTGTGTTAATTCCTGAGATTTGATCCCTTTTCAAACAGACTAAATACGCATATAAGTTAATACAATACTGTATTCTGTTACTTATTTTTTATCTAATTTTTTACTTGTAGAACTCATATAGTCAATAAATTAATTGTAATGAACTAAAATGTTCGTTTTCAAAGTAATTAAATTGTTGTATATTAGTAAGCAAGTCATAGCATGTTTTTTACATAAAACACGTGAAGAGATGAGTCATCTACCACCCGCACATTGAGAGTGAGTAAGATCTTTGCTGACACTATAGGTGCATTCCTAACCGCATGACGGATATGTTGTTTCTTATTCAACAATAATTATGCTAATACAATTATTGAATGTATTTGTTAGATTAGAGTTTAAGTGGTTGACACACTATGAGTTAATAATGCATCTCTGTCTGTAAAGCTTCATGATCGTGCACTATTTCGCATTCTCATATAAAAAAATTGCAGTTGCTATTTTCATCTGTTTACTGGACTGGATACTATATACATAGTAAGTACATATGGACAAACGTTTTATACGTATGACAGGTGCAATTTTTTTACTCTTGTTAAAGAAATGACTTTCGAAATATCTAACTTTACTTTTGAAGTTCTAATTTCCAGCTTTTTTGTGGCTACAAATAGTACAAAATGCTTTGCCCATATCTATGTATATATGTATGATAGAACAACTAAAAAGCAGGTATGTCCCTATATTTTGATTTTAATAATAAAAAACTCAGTTGTCAATTGTGTGTAGTAAATATTAAAGAAGCTTTTTAATTCATATAATCGATGAAAAATATTAGAGAGGCTTGACTGTGTATTCTCGATCTCGATCTTAGCGTAAAATAAACAAGAAAAGAAAAATGGCGAACTCAAATTTCTTGATAACAAAATAGGTTTGATGTTATGTCTATTTTGCTAAATTTCGCTCCAATAGAAACTATTTTAGTGCTCTATATTTCAGCTAAGTAGTATAGTTAAAAAATAGAGCTCAAAATAGTATTATTAAACTGACTGCACGGATGGCGTATTGGTTTAAGCGGTCGCCACGCCGAAACCGACAGCGCTGAGTGTTTTGGGTTCGAGCCCCACATGGGACACCACTTTGTGTGATCCACAAATTATTGTTCTGAGTCTAGGTGTTCTTTGTGTCCGTTTCATGTATGTTTGTAAAGTCCCCCGCGTTACAGGATATATATTCCTAATGTTGTCTTTTTAAAAAGGAAAGAAAAAAAGAAAAAGACCCTTAATATAATTATATTTTTTAATATTCTTCAACAACCGCCAAAACATTGGCAGAGTGGACAGGAATCGATATACGTGCCTAGTAAGTTACATGACATGAATGAAACTGCAAGTACCTTAACCTCGAATGTGTAAGCGAAAGTATGTCGATTTATAATTATGTTAAGAGGCTAAATGTAGTTTTTTCTGTATTTGAAAAACAGTTCAAACCCTTGTTTTCCATAACGAAATTATTACAAGAACCAATTATTACGATACAGGATATTAGTTACGTAATGTTATGAAAAAACCTGTGTAACGGTAAACATGAAATTATAAATTAGAACAGAAGAATGACAAATTAACATAATTTAGTTTACGATAATTTTAAATACCATAAGTTACAGTGTTGAATAGTTGAAAACAGATTAAGTAAACATTAGGTAAGAGTAGTAACACGGTATAGGTACCGGCACCGATCTTAAACGCTGACCTTCCCCTGCGCAGAAGTCGATTTTTGGGCCCCGTTGGTGGTATGAAGTAGGACAGGGGGGAAGTAGGACATGGGGGGCAATTAAACCATAACGTCTTCCAGTGATTGGCTCACCGATATTGTCGCTGCTCCTGATTCGTTTCCTCGTAATTAAGTACGACGAGTACACTTTTGAGCAAATTAATAGGGTCTTTCTTTTTTTTTATTAATAATTTCTACTTTCTCTCCTCATCAATTAAATTTTCTGGTAGTTAAAAAGTAAGATTTCTATGTAAGTGTATTAGATAGCATAATGTATTCTCTAATATGTACTTATAACACAATAAATGAAGTGACGATGAAGAAGAAATGGCCACCGTACCAGTACCAGCTTGTATAAGAAAATTATTTGATGGAAGATGTCACTCCTATTTCACCGCAATAATTTTATGGCGAAAATATTTAGTCTTACCACATAATCAATAGGAAGTTACGTAATGACTTTTCTACGTAACGTCGTATGGTTTTGATCTATTTTTATTATATTCTAACTAAGAAAAAAATAACAATAGTAAATGGGTGTAAATTCACATCCATTTATTATATATAATAATATATGTAATTTTTGCCATAAGTGCACGATGCGCAAAGCGATCCCTACTCTGTCGCCGAGCGCTCAAGATCCGTGCCGGTAACTATACCAGTACAAGGTTAATTTAATTGGTCAATAGAGGCCGCACAGTCAATTGTTACGCCTACTACGTATGACAGCACTATATTGTCAATCTGCAAAGAATTAAGACCAACATAGGTGGTAGGTAGCAGTAGGTGAGTGGAGGTCAGATTTCATATGATAAAATCTTCGTGTTCATCGCAGGTGAGGGTATTTACCGAGCTGTAACGATGACTTTACTGAAGTGCGTTAACATTGAATAAGTAAGAAAACTATTAAATCATGTGGTGTTTGTTCTTTTCGTACTATTTTACGTAAACACTTTTATATCCTTGCTTTTTATCATATTGTCTAATAGACAGACTTAATTACACAAGAAATTGGCGTTAAATGCATGAACATGTTATTATTTTTTGTTTTAAATCTTTGTACAAATCGGCTAAAACTTTATTAAGGTTACTGGAATTCATTTTAACAATAAATAGAATAACTAACTTAACCAACTTAACTAGTTGTTGAAATATTTTTGGATTTTATCTTGTAGGAGTATCTTCACTACAGTGCTACCAGTGCCTGATCAACCCTCCACCGGGCCATTACTACAATACGACGAAGCGCCTATGCGTTAATTTCGATCACTCCGACAAGTTCATCGTGGACTGCCCCTACTCAACCATGTGCATGAAGCAGGAGTTTCATCTTGATATACAAAATGGAGGTGTGTAATAGTAATCTATACTAATATAATTGACACAATCACCAGAAAATTCCACACCGACTTAGGTCTAAACGCACCTCTGACAACAATACGTTAGAGAATATAATGGCATCTCATCATGTCTCTCTTATTAAATTTAGAAGCACTATTCCGGAAAAAACATACTAATCTCAACATTTTATTTTATTTTTGGTCATTCCTATTGTTCGACCTTGATTTTCTTTAACATTATATAGTCAGTAAATTAGATTTTAGTAGTTTTAAGTTGCATTTGGCTTTTTGTTATATCCTTATAAATGTTTAAACAAATACGTAAAATAGATAATATTATAACAAAGAAAGTATTGTAGTTAGTCATTATCGCTGGATTTTTTGTAATAAATTTACTTTTCGTAAATAAATATGGTTATCGATTGATGATCTGGCAGGAATTAGAGAGGCCTCGTCGATTGAGAGGCCCTGGGCACATGCCAAGATGGCCCAGTGGGAAAATAGGGCCTGGGTGTTACCTACTTTGGTAAATGTTGTGTGTAGATGTAATTGCCATGCATTGGTACCAGGTATTAACTATTTAACCACAGAAAACTTTCGCGGAACAGCGCCTGTAAACGCTCAGGTAACCGCGGAGAACATTATTATTTACGCATTACGATTAAACACGAACTGTACACGTCCAAATACTAATTTGTGCCCCATGACCCTGACTGTCAGTGCCCAAGGTGTGGTAGTTTAATAAAACCTACAGCTATTGTATTATAATCAGGTAATTTATTATGACAAAAAAATCAAGTTGACACAGTTGACAACTATTCACACTTCCACACAATCGTCTTTTTAAGTATGGTTTTCATAAAATCATTAGCAGGCGAATTACAACATTTTCTAAACTTCTTATTTACAAAAAATTACATAAGATTTTTTAAATTATTCTGCAATAACGATTTATTTTAATAACGTTAGATAAAAACTATTCAAAAAGATTAAGTAACTTATCCGCTTGAAAATTTTCGGCATGTATAAGAAAAGAAATGTCCGATCCTTTATATTTCTATAGGTTTTCTATTTCGTCCTAGCTTTTATAAAATTGCATTTGTATTGCACAGTTTAATAAGATTTTTTTTAGTATAGAGAATTGTAATAAGATTCTAATGTAGTCCTTCATACTGATCTATATATAGACACAGACACAAAACACACATTCATGTAAGTGACCACAACAAATCTATGAAGTTTTTAGAAATAAAAGAAAACAGATCCAGTGAGCGCCCACTTGCTTTTCAAGGAGAAAGAAAGGAGTAATCTAAACAAAATAATTTTGAATACTGCACTTCTAAAAGTCTAAAAACTTTACGAAAGTCTTACCTTCGTTAAGATTCAAGAGGTTTAGAAGGTTATGGTAAGGCATGACCCAGTTCCTTAGTTTGATATCTTTACTAATTTATTGTGACCTTGACATTTTTATTCATCTAATAAACTATGATATATCAGATTTAAGTAAAAAAAATACCAAAAGATGCAAAACTTCAGAAACTTACCGAGGTAACTTTGTACATGATATGAACCGCATAGTTTTAACAAAAAACGTGAATGTAAAACTTAACAGTAATACTATTTCAGAAACAAACGTTTTAAGTTCTTGTTTCTCAACCTTAAAAAACTATCTGTCATTCTTACACAACTTCGAAACTGGAGTCTTGACTTTCAAAAATATTATTTTAAAATATGGCGAAATCTATCACGGTTATGGATGTCAAGGTGTTCAAGTTAATCAGGGAAAATCATAATAATAATTTGCCGTAAGCAATAAAAAAACGTTTAGTTTTAATCTTTTGTTTACCTATTCTACTCTATTAATAATGTGGGGTCGCAACATTGACATTGAAGAGCTCACTAAATTACATTACTATCGAGAAATTCTATTTTTATTATATTTATAATTTTACATAAATCAATCAGCCTAGCGCAGTCTACTGCTGGATATAAGCCCTTTTCAATATTGATTTAAGTTCGAGTTTTGATATTAAGTAATATAAAAACGGGTGAGGTTATTTCAGACCTCAAGGCCTTTTTTTGCGTTGGTAAAGTTGACTGTTATATGTACACTTAAAAAAAGTTAGATCTATTTAATAAAAAAATATTTTTAGATTAGACCATAATGTATTATGTTTAAGTAACAATATAGTTAATTTAAATTACCTTTTTGTTTAAAAAAATATTATAGAATTATTTAATTACGTGAAATGATAATGGCTTGTGTTAATTTACAGTAAGAATCAACGGTGTCTTACGGGACTGTGCACCACAGAAAAATGAATACCAAGACTATAAAAACGGTAGATGGTCGCCAAAGATGGAGATTCTAGAACCTTACCAAGAAGGTTGTGAGCATGTTGACGATAAAGGTGAAAGAAGTACACCTACGAGGTAAGCTAAATCATAAAATTTTGAACCTTAAAAAATTGCTAGCAATATTATATTGCATAACTAAATCTTATCTCAATCTTAATTATTTATTAAATTATTGGTTATCAAAATTAAAATTTTGTGGTATAAAATTAAATAACTAATTTGATTCTGAAACGACACCATTACACCTAAATAAGAAGTGGAATGTTTGCCGTTTTCAGTAATTAAAAGTAAACAGATCTTATAAAACTATATATAACTACCTGTGAGGTTTATTTATACCTGAACTAAAGAACCTAAACTTTTAAGTCAATTGTATCCTCCACTGTAGCATGTGGCCCAGTTCAGTTCATATGCTGTTTTCAATATTTAGATCTGTTTTTACTCTTTGACGCCAGTTGCAAAACGCGATGAAATAAGTGGTCTACTATAGTCGCACTCAGACCAATCAGGTTCCAAAATTTCGTACGGAACGATAATTTCCTGGAACCTGATTGGTCCGGGGAAGTGGTTCAATCTATACGTCAGTATTTTCTTAACGCGATTGGACTATAAACTTTGCCACATTTTTATTGTAGTAAAGTTTAAACCGCAACAACAATTTATTCAGCAATGTATACAATTCTTATTTCAGATACTGCTACTGTAGAAAGGACTTATGCAATTCATCACCAAACACAAGCCACGAGGGCTACACGGATATCATGGGCGTGATAGTAGTGTTCAATTTAATGAAATACATAAACAGTCTTAGATAATAATATATTGTAAAACAATTAGGAATAAATGTACTAAGTATCGTTGCTAAGCAACTTACTCGCAATTATTTTGTGATATAAAAGGGTATAGTGATCTTATTTATATAAGTCAATGTTTACACTGTAAAGTATTTCATTTGTAAATATTTTTGTTGTATAAAAGCTATTTTATGACGAAGTAACAAAACAATGTTTTTCAAAACATGGAGTTATGAAGGCAGGGTCGCATGAAGCCAATGAAAGATCTTGTTCTCAGATCTTTTTGTTGGTAATTCATTAGAAACATATATACACCATACAATATAGTAGTCATTCATTAGAAAAATTGATAAATTTGTATTGTATAATTGATATTAATGTAGCCTTAATTTTCATAATAAGTTATTTATATAATACGTGTTCATAATTACAGAAGTTGTGGAAAAGAGATTAAAGTCAAAATTTAGAGAAATAAAGTATAAGTAAAGATTTTATTACATATAAAGAGTGGTCACGCACCACAGTAGGTATGGTGTGGTACGAGTATCAAGACTTACCGCACAACAGCAAGCAAATAACAAACATATTAAACATGTTACTAAAACATTCATTTGAAAGCTTGTTTATTGATGGACATAAAAGTAGGCATAAATAGATATGTACACTTGTGAGAAAATACCATATAACTAAAAAAGAGGTATTGTAAAATGATTGTCATAGTTTTGTTATAGTGCATAAGATAAATCAAAGTGCCAAACAGACGGCAGAAATAGTATTGAATTTAAGTAATTTTAATTTTCAGCATAATTATTATACATACACCGACACAAACATTCTATGCATAAAAACGTTTATGGAATTGTTTTACTTTAATATATATTACATTTACTGAACCGAATCAATAAAAAATTAACTTGGTATGAAATACGCGTATATATAATTTCTTCCAATTGTATCATTTCATAAAGCCGTAGCATTCTTTCGTCTTTAACATAGAAAGCTGTGACTTTGCACTTTTAGTTTTACTAGGCCGTATTGTATATAATGCTATTGTATGTATAGGAGCTACATTACAAAAACTAATCACGGTGTACTGGTGTAACGGCTGGAACTAGTGATAATTGAGCAGAGTAGGCACCACCACAGCAATAGGGAATATGCACGTGACACCAAAATGGATAAAATATTTTTATTTGTAATTTTTATTGCTAAAAAAAGATAACCATACAATTATTTTTGAAATTTATTATAATTTAATAGTGAAATTTAATCATCAAAAATTGGCTTTTTTAAGATTCCCTTGCAAATTTCTAAAACGCAACGCTATTTGTTGAATAAAACGTGACGTCAACCTACACTGTCAAGAGTGTCAACAAGTTGTGTGTATTCGTAATATTTGGTTTCTGGTGATTTTTTGTTTCATTTTAAGTTAATAACTAATACGTTTTCAGTGTTAAATTATTAAATTCCCGTGTAGAAAGACTCAACACAATGACTGAAACCGGTTTTGTCAAAGCACAATCAGATAATCTACCTAAAATAGACGTGTTTATGATGAGCACCTATTTCGCATCTAATTCAGATTTTACGTCTGCTGAACTCAGAGGAATAAAAGCTGCGAGGTAAACAAGTTATATAAATTTTATTAAATGATGGTTTTCATGGTTTTGTTAATTGTCGTATAACATAAATATAACCTAAAATACGCTCAGGTGCAGTTTTGATATTATTTGGGCACAAAGGAACGGCACAATATTTATAATAAGTTTTTATTGGCTTTTCCATGGTAATAACTAATTTTTTATCACTCACTTTTTTAACTTTCAGAAACTTTGTGAACTTCACTCCGTTGTTGACATCGAATTCGTCTGAAAGTGTAATCTGACGTAACAAAAAAAGCGCGCCAAAATAGACGTGTTCAAATTGTCCCAAAATGATAGTGATTTTAATAAATGTGTTATATTTATTTTTGGTAATGTAATAACTAGTAGAATCGTAAAAAAAAAATACATGCATATTCCCTATTTAACAATTTTCGTACCAATTTTTTTTGAAGCTAAACATCATTGGAAACATTGTAACTGATGATGCGTAACCAAGTTAAACGTGATAGGTTTTAAAATTAATAAAAATATCTAACAACTAGTGCAATTTATGAAATAAATACTTATTGTATTTTACAATAGGACTGTAAGAATAATCTTAAATGTGTCATCAAATAAATTATAAAACTCGTAAATTATTCAATTTTAATATTTATTTATTTACTTACTTATGATTCAGGAAATGTTTCTTTTAAATCACAAAAAATGCAATCATAATACCTAATATTTTTAAAATTTTCCTGAATTTGCGGAATATCGACAAAGAACAGCATTAATTTCATTTTAATACGAAAATTAGGTATTTTTAATTAATAGTTTAAATATGTAATACATTAATAAATTTAAAAGTATTAAAATATTTAACGGGTTTTTTTTAAATCATTGGTTGATCAATTCTATTAAGTTTCGCAAGTGCACTGCGCAATATTATGAATTTAATTATTCAATCAGTTTTCTAAATCTTATATAATTTAGTATCTATGAAATAATTTAGTATACCTAACCTCATTATAACAATGCATGTAATTGTTTAGTAATTACTTGTGCATAATTTTTGCACAAAATTTGACTTTCTTTAATGAAGGAATTACATAATATTGTATGTATTGCTATATTTAATATATTGCTAATAAAGATGACGTTTCTCGTCGCGTTACCTGTTTATAATAATATAATCAACCTTTATCCTATGGGCGAAACAATCAGGAAGTCCATTTAGTCTTTCGTCTAACTTGGTAGGGTAATTTACAGACGGGGAGGGTTGTCTACTCGTCTGTAGATGGCCCGAGGTATGTCGGGGCACCAGTGACTTCCTTTCTAGGGTATACCTGGTTCCCCGGCTATTAGTACCCGAGACGGCGTGCGGTTTTACTCGGTTCGAGTCCGACATGCCACCGATAGATGGTATCCGAGGGGATTACCGCACGGAAAACAAAAAAGGGTAATTTACATAAATAAACGAAGTCTTCATTTGCATAACATTTGGTAGTAAAGTAATTGTTATTATGTTACATTGTATTATAAGTATTTTTTACATTCATTCAGTCGGGGACAAAATTAGGCAGTTTTTAAATAAAAAAATAAAAACACGTGGAAATCTTATTTTTGGTTTCTATAATTATCCTATCTCTGACTGTAACATAATAATATAATAAAATGTTAAGATACAGGTATGTTAAGCACGATGTTTAGGTTCGATCGGTATGTTTAGGTTGCCTAAAATCCTAGATAATGGATAAACTACTAAAGCTTACTAACAAGTAAGCCAAAAAATAAAGGCTTATGATTTCATAGCAAAGTTTAATAACGGACCTCTAATAAATTAAAGCCTAGAAAATACTAGAAATATTCCTAACCGTACTAGGCATACCTGACTGTCGATAGGACTGGTAAAACTTTAACAGGAAAAACGCATTGACAACGAAGGAAGTGGTTATAATTCCAGTTGAAAGATTGATACAAGCGAGATAAAACGAGCAAGAAAAACAAAAGCGGTGCACATGGTGAAACATATAAGCAGGCGAATCCAGAATGCCCGTAACTTTTGCTACATTGGCAAAACAATGTTATTGCCAAAGAGGAATTCGGTTACAACTACGACCCGTCATTTAATTATATACTTTTAATAGTTGTAACTATTACCTCACAGTCAGCCTATTCAAACAGTAAAGGACATAAACCTTGTGCTCGTTAAACACACCCACGTCTCTATTGTTTAATCAATAGTGAACTACGGTTTTATTAATTTCGACCTACATGCTCGTTTATGATAACCTCATACACGACTGATAGTTTACAACGAGAAACATTTTTATATACATATCAAACTGAACAACATCGTACATGTCCATTTAAAAAAAAGTTTTTTTCTAATTTCACAGCAATAATCATGTATCTTTTACAGGTTCTTGCCTTAAAAAAGGAGGAGGACCTTTTTATTATATGGGTTCATCGATTTGTTCTTTACAGACTGATTGCTCGAAGATGGTTCTACCAAAACTTAATGATATACTGTTGGAAAATTATTTCTTTTTGGTTCCATTGTCAACAGATGAGTATCTGATAGTTGGGTTCTGAAGGTACTTTTCAGATATTATAGACAAAACTATAGCGATTTAGGTATTATTTATAGCAGCTCGTGCATTTGCAGTACTAAGAAGTAAGTTGAAACTAATTATGAAGACCACAAATGATAAGCGGAATTACTGTATTGAAAATATTTACCTTATTAATAATATATTTTTTGCTAAGCAATCTTTGCTATTAAACAACATATGGCTATGGTTACTTAAATAAATTACAAACCAACTATCCACCCCTTTTTCAAGCAAGGATAAATACTGCCGCGATAAAAAGGTCCTTATGTCAGTAGTATCGTTGATGGTACTAGTGTCAGCGCTTTGTATTATTAGTACCATTAATGGAACTAGTGATTCTAGTTTATTAATTGCTGTATCAGTAGTAATGATGGTATAAATAAATGGTACAAAGGATACAAAGCTATTTGATAATGTATTTGCAACTAAGCAAAGTCGAAGTACTGTCGGAGTACTATGATCTAGGAGGTTAATGGGCAGGAATAATATATACTATACATACTTAAACGATAATACGGCGCAAAACACTAGCTACTTAGCTACCTTGAAAAACAATGTGGTGTTGTTTTGGTGAAAGGAGCAGAAAACTAACGTATGCGTAGGGTGGAATGGGCAATTCAACAATACCTTTAAAAGAAGACCAATAACATTATTCCATCTGTAGAAAATGCTCAAGGAAGAAGCATCGTTTACCGTATATATCGTATCGTATACCGTGACAATGGAGCCGTTCAAAAAAACGGTCCAAATCCGTGATCAAGCGCAATGACTATATACAGCATGTTTAAATTCAAATGCAAAGCATTCATGGAGAAGTCAAAGTACAGCTATTTTAAGGAAAATTACGTCGCTAGTTTTGTGGCTATATTTTATTTTCCTTTTTATGTATGCATCCAATATTTGTTTTTTTTTTACATGTATAGAAAATAAATAATACAACAATTGCATTTTATGACTTTACTATGATTTGTTGTACTTATTGTACCGTCGATGTTATGGGGCAATACCATTACTTTTCTTTAATGGTACTAATGATACAAAGTGGTGTCATAGTTCCATCAATGGTACTACTGTGCGCTTTTCAAGACAAGAGTCTAGCACAACCAATCTGTGTGTGATACGACCTTCAAACCATCAAGAAAAGAGCGTACTCCTTCCTAAAAGGCCGGCAACGCATTTGTGACTCCTGAGTGGTGTTTATGGGCGGCGGTAGTCAGTTTCCATCAGGTGACCCGTCTGCTCGTCTGCGCTCTCTTCCATAAAAAAGAAAAAACTACTGACACAAGGGCATAAAAAGACCCCGGGTCTGAAACAGGTCAACAAGCAACGTAATAAGTGAGTAAAAATTTTCTTCCAACTAACATGGCTGCAATTCCCATTTTCGTTAATGAGTAGTATAGAGAGTATCGACTACTTAACGTAAAATACTACAGGAAGTCTTAAACGCTTGCAAATCTACGAGTCAAAGATTCAATGTCAAGAATGACACAAATGTATTCAAAAGTAATAAATGTTAAGGCATAGCGGAATACGCGGATAGTTCAAGTGAAAATGGTCGATACAGATAAAGTAGCTCCATCGAGCATGGGACCCGATTTGTCATAAGGCGAACATCATTAATTGTAGATATATTTTTCGACTCCCAAAGCATAATTTTAAAACATATTTATACATATCTAAATTTTAAAGAGTAATTTTATAGTTCCTAAGTTGATGTAAGGTTGTTTTTGTTTACAAATTTTATGTTGTTTCTTTTTGATGGTCTGAGTTTTACAATTGTAATAGTATTTAGTTTATTTTTGTTAAAATTAGCATAGATATAAGCGATTTGGTGTATACTGTGATGCTTATATTTTATTAATAAAGAATTGAATTGAATTGAATTAATCATTTATTTAAATGCACGGACCATTATTTGACTGCACGGATGGCGTAGTGGTTTAAGCGGTCGCCACGCCGCTTCCTACTACGCCGAGTGTTGTGGGTTCAAACCCCACATAGGACGACACTTTGTGTGATCCACAAATTGTTGTTCTGAGTCTGGGTGTTCTTTGTGTCCGTTTCATGTATGTTTGTAAAGTCCCCCGCGACACAGGATTTATTCCTAATGCGGGAGTTGTCTTTTTAAAAAAAAAAAAAAAAAAAACTCAAGAGATCGGTACCAAACTCTCGCATGCTTGTTATTTTTACCGTGAGTAATAAAGGATGTTGCGACGCCACCATATCAATAGAGTAACATTTCACAATACGCCAAAGAGCAAAACGACAATGTAAGTAAGATATCATATTAAAAACCACCTACTTACTAGAATATTATTTTATAAATATTACTTAAGTAAAAAATAATGCTTGAAGTTTGATAGCAATCATGTAATTATTATATTTATTTATTTTAGACAAAAAGATTCAATAGATTCCTTGACCAGAGACAAAAGTGTATATTTAAAATACATCATCATCATCATCAAAAGGCTTTACTAGTCCACTGCTGGACATAGGCCTCTCCTTAGAAAGGAATTATTAAATACTACATGTATGTAATAATTATGCCTAACTGAATGAAAAAACAAAGCACTATCATATAAAACACCATTAGCGAATAGACTCAACGACTATAATTTGATTACAAGGAATTTTTTTAATAATAAAGTACCAGTAAAACACATATTAATTAGTTTGATTACATTACGAGTGTACTTACGTACATGGGTATGCATGGGCATATCAAGCTATGTAGGTAGCGATATGTATGCGCTTATTGACAATAGAAGCGACTTGAGAAAAAGGTGGTTTGAAACCTAAACGACCCTGAAACCGGCAAGATATTTTTGGAATTTTAATTTTATAAAACAAAATGAAATAAATAACGAACTTCGGTATAGAGACAAAACATTTCATTTGAAGTACCAGAGACCGCCAAATGTTCGTCAGTGTCGCGCCGGCGCCAGTATCGATCGCATGAATCAGCGCTATTGCCGCGAATATAAGAGCCTTTTTCCTCATGCATTCGCACATGCCCCGTTTCGCCACTGGGCTTCCTGTCTGTAAATTATGAAGTTGTGCGGAGAGGTGCCAATTTCAGTTCAGTGTTAAGAACTATCGGCCGCATGTGTAGCAATCGGAACGTTGTAAATACATAATACAGATGTGATTATCTCAAACAACACGTAGTTTTAGTGAAGTGTGTAGCAGACCGTAGTGAAACTTCATTCTAAAATGGATTTAGTCGGATCTTTGTTGACATTCGTTATGTTTTGGAAATGTAAGTGAAAGTGTTTTGATATAATCACGTATATCAATTGGATAACATTAGCAAAAGTTTGTTAAACGCGTAACTCTTTAACATCAATTTTCCTTAAATGAAAAAGCTATGTAAAAATTGACTGGATTTTTTGTTGAACATTTAAACTTTGTACAATACTTTAAGGAGTCTAAATTATAAATAGATACCTTTTATCTATTTATCTGTACATAAATATCTTTTTTATTTATTATTGTTGTTATTAATAATTATATAAAAGGACCAAATTTCGACTACTGGGTGAACACTTGTTATTCAAATTGTTTCAGTTTTATTGAAATGTTACACACGACTTTTTTTTTATTTCAACAATATTTGTATATATACAAGTTTGTTTCATGTTTTAAGCATTCATATTAAGTAGCACATTAAGCCGCCCATTTTTATTTCATGTGGGCACATGCCCATATTGACATAGACAGCAGACCTCATTATAAATTGTCTCATGTCCCTAAAGCTACGTTCGTAGGAGTGGTAATGAAGGCTAATTCAAATTTGAAGCAACCGATCAAAAGCTACATATCGCCATGATCAAACAATGCATGTAAATTATATAAACTCCAAGTCCTTCAGTTATGAATTTGAAGGAGTTTCATTTCAAGGTTGCGGATCGTAACATGTAGAAAGGCGAACCAAGTGCTTGATGTCAACTTTGTGCTACTAAGCTATTAATTGACATCCTTTAAACTGTTTTTTAATTGTTATAAAAATAAGCAGTGTATACGAGGCCACACGATAACAATGATAGCAATAAACGCAACAACCGAGTCTGTCGTCAATTCAGTAGATTATAATTTTAATGGTTGTGCTATAACTTACATTTCGTATTGAATACACAGAAATTATTTTTTGCTTCATTAAAATAAGTCTAAATTTATATCTTAAATTGTTACAATTGCAAGGAAAACCTGCTGTTAACGCCTGCAAAATTTTGTATTGAGGCAAACAACCCAATGTGGGCCCATATTGAATGCGATAATACAGTTAATTTGATATCGTGGTAATACAAGAACACATAGATTAATATAATTATGCGGACGTGTATGAATGCTTTAAGTGGAAACTGCATCTTGTATTTAATATACTTCTTAAACGGTTTTTCGATGGTAACTTAGTCTGCTTACTATTTACCAGAAGAGAGTATAAATATATAGTAGGCCAAAACCTCCTTTCTAAGGAGAGGCCTATGTCCAGCAGTGGACTAGTAAAGGCTGTTGACGATGATGTGATGAGTATAAACAAATAAAAATGTGATTATGAAGTCAGAGTCAGTTGTATTTACATATACCAATAGACAGCTGCTGCACCTAGTACCTATATCTATTCGGAAAGGTCATGTTTTGGAGCCTATCGACATTATGTTAGTGTCATGACAATACAAAGTAACTAATCTTTATCTATGACAAAAATTAGGTACTTAACCAGAAGAAATTAAACGTATATTTATTTGTAAATTCAGCAACTTTAGGATATAAAATTTAAAAAAATAATATAGCCTGAAGCTATTTAAATTTTTCTAGAAAATCACGTCACTAGTCAGGAATAAACCATAATAACAGTTGGGAGATTATTAATATACATATATATATATATTTACACATACTATTATTTTAGGGTCTGTGAAGGCAGAACATTCGTACAATACAATAGTCAATAATATAACATTGTTCACGATTGTTATAGTAAACAATTGAGTATTTTGCAACAACATGCTTAGTGTAATTGGTGCCCTGACATTGTAAGCCGTCTTTCGCGTCAGAGGTCAGTCAAGTTAAAAAGTAAGATTTGATAATAATGTGTCTTACACATAAACAGCAATAATATGTATGAATCGTTCTTAAAAGTTCCGAGTAAATTATTTAAAGCATGTATCCACTATGTTAGCTTATTGCTCTGAAGTAATGTAAAAGTAAATGAGTAAATAACAGTACACTAGTAGAAAATATAAAAAATAAATCGAAAGGGAATATTACGATGACCTATATAAACTCCAGTGTCATTATAGTCGTGCCCAGATATAGCAACGTGCAAAACGAGGTATAAGTTAGAAATATGACAAACTCTTGTTTCGGAAACTGTGGCCATTAGTTCTATGTAAGAAATCGTTTTTTTTTTATTTAACTAGAATTACAGCATTCATAGCATTCAGAGCAGAGGTGTTCTCTCTAGATGCCAATCCCGTATTTACTTTTACTATGTACTGTACGTTAGTAACTTTAACGACTACCGACCCTTTATAAGAGAAGTAGTCGTTTCTTTATTCAAACACTGTAAAGATAATGTCCCAGTAGACTATTTAATATAAATCAGCTGTGAATTATTTCATGCCTCATTAAAAATAAGGGTAGCTTATCGTGACCAATTGGCCAGTAAGAGTTAAAATTTACTAACCTTGGAATATAATTATTGATACCACACACACCAACAACGTTGGAATTACCCCTCATAGCGAGTTGATGGCAACTTGAATCGTGCGGGGTTCAAAATTTGCAATATATTGCATTTTTAGTCAAAAAGGAAAACCAAAGAGTTATTCCCATGGTGCAGGCTGGCAGAACCTTACACTCAATTTTTTTTACCCGTGCAGCGATAGACTTTGCAAAGGCTAGACGAGTACTTTTACCATTGAGACAGCAGTAAAGCAGTTTGTATTGTAATAACTAAAGTAATTGATTACTTTTTACCTTTCTGTGGGACCTTTAAGTAAATTTAATATATGCGTCCAGAAGTTTATAGCGTGTAATTAAGTATTTTCGATTTCTTATTGTGCAAATTTTTCTTTAAAATTTTCCAGTGTCTTCGAGTCTACAATGCTACACTTGTGATCCAAAATGCCCTGTGGACTTCAACGAGAGCGTACGTGACAAATACCTTAAGAACTGTGAACACTCCACTATGTGCTACAAGAGAGTGAGCACGTTAGACTTCGGCAACGGACGTGAGTGTTTAGGAAAACCTACGTATATAATACTTAGAAGAATTACTATTTAAGACATATGTTTACAATGGTCAGTGCGTCACACATCAGTAAATTTCAACATGTGTAACACGAAACGAGTAGGTACATGGTTTAAAAATACAGGGGTAACGTTCACCAGGTACTTGAAATTAATTGTAAGCATAAAAAATCAGACAAGTGTGTAAGTAAATAGTCCGTTTTCTCGAGAATCGATTATCGAAGATTTAAGATTTTTACATTAGAACGTGTTAACACCGAACATTAGAAATTAACAACAGAGTTAATTCATGCTGAAAGATCTAATGATTATAAAAATTAAATAACTAATAATTAGAAAATTTGTAAATGTAGACTTGATATTTTTTTTAATAGCGGTACCTACTAATCAGTTGAAATTGCACTTTAAAGACCTTCATCTTCACTAGATCAGATACACAATTTTTACAGGTTTAGGGATATTATTTTTGCACTGTTTCGGTGTCTTGCTGCCATTAAACGTATATTACTACAACGTTAATCATTGTTCGTATGCGTAAGCAAAAAGTGATCATAGGTTAAACTTCATCAACCAATCTCTTACAAATATATGTGTAGAAATATTAGGAACCGTTAACGAGTTTGGTAACCATACGATCCTTGAAAGGAAAATGTGTCATTCGTCGTGTTGTGTGGCGCAACTATTATGCTGTATTGGGCGCGCAGTAAAATATATTACTAGTTTTAGTCGCCATACTAGGCATGGAATAAAAGCCCAGTCAACTGTGATTAATCATGTATTATGATTTTTTTGTACGTAGGTTAGGGTGGCAATTTACTCATGCGTTGCTGACAATAAGCTGTGTTGCAACGATGCATAAACATAAAATATAAACATAAATAATAGTAAAAAACTAACCTAAACCTTTAAGGTATGGAAGAACTTAAACATTCTGGATTTCTAAGTCATGTCTATAATCTTGCAAGCTTGTTAGTTAGGTAGTTGTGTATTATTTATTTATTGAAATATTAGTCACAATTAAAAAATGAGAGAAATACACACATGTTAGCTTACTAATCAAAAGCATTCTCATTTTCCAAGTAATTTAATCATTCTGTTATATTAAATATGATGTCAATAACCGCGTTGTGTATAAAGTACTGAATCTCTATGTGAGTCACGAATTATCTATCAGTTCCGCTTATAACCCAACGATGCTAAACAGGACTGCATGCTTTTTATAGCATGCTTTTTGAGATTGTTAAAACTTTAGCAAAAAATAATAATTTTTCCATGTGTTCCAAATGTTTTACGAATTGGAAGTACTTATTATATCTTAACGTACCTATGATATTAGGTAACACAACAACAAAACACGTACACTTCTCTCGCTAAGCAGAAACATATTGTTACAGTTCAAGCAGAAGGTTTTGCAATACCATTTTAAGATTGAATTTTAGCCAGTGGCCAAAGATCAGCATTTATAAAAACTGGCATCCAAATCGACAACTATTTCTTTTATAATACTGGGCATATACGACTATTGAGGTATGACATCAAACTATGAACAACGGGATCAATCTTAAAGTATGAGATCTAAGCTTATTCAAACATAATATTCAACTATTCTAACATTGAAAATACTGTAGATACTGTACACTTTGTAAATTTGGTTACAATTAGTAGGTATGCATAACATTATTAATACACTTTATTTCATGATTAAACCTACCTTATCTTTTTACAGTAACATCACAATATACAGAAAGGGGATGTGCTGCTCAAACGCAAGACGGTGAACAAATCAAAGTAAATAGGAAATGGATACAAGTACAAAATATATACGAAGTATATGAAGAGGGCTGTGCCGTGGATCAAAGTTATCCTGAACGTAGAACGCACACCTTAGCCTGTTATTGCAGAGGCGACGGGTGCAATACAGCGACAACTAATATATATGTAAATTTAACGGGGATAATTGCAACAAGTATCTTATTATTATTCTTTAGTTAACATTTCCATTTGAAGGTGCTTTTGGAAAATGGTATCTGGATAATAGGTAAAATCCAAGCGAGATATGAAAATTCATATAACATCACTGTGTTATTGAGGTATAAATGTTGTAGCAGTACGTTTTTTTTTGTAAATCGTGATAAAAACAAATGTAAATGTCGGATCTGTATGACATGACGCGTAGACACGACATATTTCATTTAAATTAATTTTACATAACGTACACCATATTTTGAAATTTCACGTTTCTATTTTGAAGAGACTATAACAAAAGATACCACCACAATTCGGACAATTAATATGAGTCCAGTACTTTATAGAAATATTTAATCGCCCAATTAATAGTGTTATAATAAAAAATTATACATAAAATATGGTCGATATATAATATCGATAAAATGACTCAAACATAAGGTTGGATTTGGGGCCATGGGCTCTTGGTTAGAACCCTTATACTCATACGGGTCTGCACAAATGCCAGTAAGTTTAAATTTTATAAAGGTAAATTTCAACATTAATGCTTCTCCAAAATGTGGACCAAAAATACTAGTTTATATAAAATATATAATTTTAAAATTAAAGATCGGGTCTAAACTTCTGTAAAATAATTTACATTAAGTTGTACTAGTCAAATAATATACAGGAGTACAAATAAGTTCCGCCGTTTATTGTCAAATAATATGTATTGTGAAAGAATGGTAGTTTAAATTTAATCGAAGTATTGTCATCTCACTCGCAACTACTTTATCTGATCTTTCAGGCAGCGTTCGGATTCCACGTCTGAAGAACTCCTATATTTTGAGGCTATATCCACGAATCAACCCAATTTTTGGTATCTTCATATGATGTGAACCGCTGCTCCGACAGACCATGTGCCATTGACCATGAAATTCAGACGGCGCCGTATTGACCAGACATTGCGCCGTCCGACTTTCATCTGTTCCGGTCAATGGGGTGGGCACTTCCCAATCAAGTGTTTTCAAATAGTTTTTCACCAGAACCGCTACATGCGAAAGAGCATTATCATGTAGAAAATTTTGTCGTGTCTGAACTAGAATGGAGAGCGTTTTTCCATCCGAGCTCGGCTCAATCTCATTAATTGTGTTGGGTAGAGAGTTACAGTGATTGTTTGACTTGGCCAAATAAACAGCATGAGTTTTTTTCCATGAACATTCAGTTTTGCTGTGGATGTTGAAGCGTGGCCATGATTTTCTTCTTTTTGGATTATCATAATGTATCCAATTTTCATCACCAGTGACGATTCGATGTAAAAAAAACTTTTTTTTTGTGCCTAGCTAGCAGCATTTCGCTCATGCATAATCGGCGTTCAACATCTCTCGGCTTTAATTCGTATGGAACCCAATTACCTTGTTTATGAATCATTCCTAACGATTTTATAATTCTGCATCTTAGAAACTAAACTTTTGAAACTACTCATGACATGTTCTTTCACTAAAGGCAGCCCCATTATATGCTTCTAGGAGCAATGGATGCGCCTCAGCTGCAGATTTTTTTAAATTAAAGAAGTAAATTAAAAGTTCCTTGAAATTATTTGGCTCAAAATTAGACATTTTGAATAAAACAAATATATTGAATCTAATACGAAGTTAATAATATGACAGGGGATATGTTATAAGCCGGTTATCATAACTAATAATTCTAACGTAATCCTCGTGCCATGCCATCTCTCTCAAAACGGCGTCAAGTTATTTGTACTCCTAATATGCTTATTAATAATATATTTTAAAGTTATATAATACTAAGATAAATATAATTGATAATGAATATAGATATAGTAAAATTTACTACAATTATAAGTATACGCACGAATGTAAATCAGTCTGTCTATGCTTTAAAATTATTTGTATGGATTCGGCACTTAAACCTTAGATAATTATGAAAATACTATCAGCCCGTCAAAGAGATAACATCGGTACAATAACGGTATAACGTTTCCAGATAATGTATTATTTACTTTTTTATTAAAGATTGAATAAATCATTCTTATATTATTGTAACGTTATCTTTCTTTTTCATCATTATCATCATTTTCAACAATGTGCCTTACGCCTTGTGCCTAAAGCATCACTTTTTAATTATTGGTGATCAAAGTGTCGGGCACTTTGATCACCAATAATTAAAAAGTGATGCTTTTTACACACATTTAATGAAACAAATCTGCCAAGCGTGATTTGTTCCGTTAAAATTATATTCAACTTTATCATAAAAATGTCACAAAATTTCTAACAAAAAATCAATGGTATTCTGCTTAACCTAGCTTATTGCCATATTTAATGATTTCTATAGGTTTTGATTCACCTATGAAGGGTTAAAAATAGTCAGTAAAAGGGTTAAATGGATATGCGTCCAATCAAATGATGGCATATGATTACGAATTGACTATGAAGTTGGTTTTTTGTAGCATCCAGGGACCGCATTCATAGTTAAAAAAAAAAGCTTAATAAAAGTTTGAAAAAAAAAACTCGGAAACTTAACAACAAAATGATGTTAAAGCTTATTTAATATTATTCCAAAACGTTTCCTGAGAAATAACTTGTTTAACCAAAATCTTAGAATGGAAAAAAGTTAAATTCTTTGAAGAGTGCATTAATTGCGTATTTTCGTCGGTTTATTGAAAAGCTGTAAGAAATTGATTGATCTTCATTTCTGCTTTCCAGGTGCATTACGGTGTAAATTGCTTGTTGTGAGTGTTACCTAAGTTAACTTTAAGGGAAAGTCCTAAATCGTGATTGTGGTCACAGCGTTCAAGTGAATGTGTTTTGGTTGCAATCTCATACACGTTATAAACGGACGTTCACTAGCTAGCACTAGCACTAGAGTATTCTATTTTTATTAACTAAAAAATATGATATTTGTAAATTTAAAACCTGATAATTAGGTCAACAAATAATTGACCTAATTATTCACAAAAATCTTGAAAGATCAAAAATATTTATTTTATGCTAATAAAACAAGAATTTAAATATGCGGTATAATAATTTTTGTAATAGCTAATTTAAAATTAGAGTAAATAATCTATTGAGTAAACGTGCAACCCACACCAATGTCCGCGAAATAATATTTAAAGTAATAAAGTGTAAATCGTGCGTATTTTACTTTTTTATATATATGTAGATTGTGGAAGTTAAAGCTTAATGCGAAGTTTTAAAAACATGAGTTGCTCAATTTGAATTTTGTTGTACGTTTCTACAATGTGACCGAGAGGAGCCTGTACACCGACATTGGTTCTGTATTTACCAGTGTGGAACAGCCGAGGTACGCGCACCTCGCGGCTCAATTCAGTTCTAGGCACCACATAACACAACTGATTAGTAATGCCGCAGCAAGCAAATTTATTAATACATATGCCATATAACGTTATACAAATCAGAAGTTTGCGTCTAGACTCCAGGCTTAATAAGTTATAATCTACAAATTTAGCGGTGAAATTTGCAGAGTATGGTTCTCAAAAACTTCTTTTGAACCAAGATTATAACCAATAGGATCCCAAATTAGAACCGCAAAGGGCGCGACCTCATAACAAAGCCATTTATATAATAGCATTTGAAAATATTTACTAATAATATTGTGTATAATTAGATCTAGATGTAGTATTGAGTCAATGGTGACACCCAAGTCACGAATGTAGTCAACCTTTATTAAATATTGCTTTACATTTATGAAAGGAAGGAAGTAAATATCTTAATGGTAATAAATTATACACATATAATTTTAGCGTATGACAACTAGTGTCAAAGACAAAATAATAATCAAGAGTTGCGCACTTGTTGGTCTTGTGTCTTAAAACTAGAAAATCAAGATGCGTGTCTTTCAGATGTTAAAAACTTTTTTTTGTCGTAACTCTGACCTTTTGCATTCCATGCATATTATGGAAATAAAGGAAAATACGATTTAGATTTGTAGTATATAACCTTTGAACAACCTAATGATTCAAAAATATTATAGAGGACGTGCATAGGTTAACAACCCGATAATTCTTTCACTAATTTTAATACAACATTTAAAACAAAATTACTAACAATTTTTTACATAATTTTACGTTGGGTAATTTTATGTATTATATAGCTGGGTAAGAAGTTACGTTGTATAAAAATTATAGAGTAGGAAAATAGGAATTACTCACGTTAGCATGGTTCTCGACGAGGCACAGGAAGACGACATCTTCACGCAACAGGCGCACTGCGCCATGCAGCGGCTGCGAAGTCTTACTCTTCAACATTCTGTACAGGAGCGCTGACGACATATGCGCGAAGTCCTCTCCTAGATTGTACAGTAATACAACCGATTAAGTATTAAAATATAGTTGAACCGACTTCAAACAATACTGACAAAGAGCACTAAAAAACAAAAAATAATTTCATCTCTAAGTAAGAAAACTATTATAACTATCCTCAATATAACAGGAAATATTACAATAGCAATAGAAGTCGCTAAACGCAATTACCTATAAAGCTAGAGAAATAAGCTAAGCCACGTTGTCGGGGCTGTAAAATTTGAAATCAAATTTCAAATCAATCAAAATCCTCAGAATCTGATTTCCCATTACCACAATGGGACCACCTCGGGAGCATACCCTTACGATTACAAAAAGAATTTGAAAATCGGTCCACAATTGACGGAGATACCGCGTAACAAACGTACAAAAAAAAAATACAGACGAATTGATAACCTCCTCTTTCGTGTTTTTAAAGTAGGTTAATCACTAATATCATAAAATAATATTCATTTACCTTTCACCCCCGTTTAAAGTCATTTATAGGCGCCTTTCTCAAGAATTAGGCTATCAAATCTGGTACGAATTGAAACATTCTTCTAATGTTGGATAGTCCCTTTATGGAAAAAGGCTATATAACATCACGCTACCCATAGAAGCCGAGCATCAATAAAATATGTTGCAAAAAATGGGCATATTCCTTTTGAGAGACGCAGACGGGGATGGGCTGGTCAGTTAGTGCTAACATAATTCTAAATCCAACCGGTAGTTCCAGTGAAAATACAGAGAAGTATAATCAACCTCTCAGCCTAGCGTATGTAGACTACGACAACGCTTTCTATGTCATCGAGACCTGGGCTATCCTGGAATATATGCAGAGATGCCTGGTCGACTGCCGATATATCCAATGAGCGCGCGCGCGGTGCTAGAATTGGTCATCAGATAGTAGGTGAGATAACGATGTTCCACATCATATGCGACTTCTGTAATGTTCACTCGTTTTTTTTAAATATATAGATTGGCCTGTAGGTCTAGTGTTAAGAGATACTGACTGCTAGGGCGTGGTTTCGATTCCCACTCAGACCCGAACTTTTTGTAGATCTTTTTAAGATATTTAATTCCGTAATAGGTACATTATTTTGATTCAAGTCGTAAGGTTTAGCCAGCGTTTGAACCAAAAACATGTTTTTTACGACATCACACTACAATTCTTTGAAATTCTTGGAATTGCTCTCCTATAATACGCATGTATTATATAATATGCACCTACCTCTTGCATCACTCTTTCTATTGATGAAAACAGCATTAAAATACATTGTGTAGTTTGAAAGATCTAAGCGTACAAGAACGGCAAGCGACTTCATTTTATACTAAGTATAGATGTGTGTATGATTTCCGCTTAGTTTGGGATGAGATGACCGTGTGATTTGTCTCGGGTTATTACGGAGTGTGATTTGTGTTATGTGTGTAACATATAAGTGAGTAACAGCGTGTTATTAAACGTTACTCGGCCTTTCGACATTCAACAGAATCCAGCTGTACAAATGTTATTTATTTGCAGTTCAAAAATAATACAAATGATATTAAATAGTTACGGTTGAAGAATAACTATTAACATAAAATACATCGCGAAGTAACCAATGTGTTTATACACACGTGTATAATTATTTTCCTAGATTAAATAATTATGACAGTTTATGTGCGTTTAAGTCAAATGAGTCTCTGAGGCGACTTTCTCAATTTCTTCAATATTTGCATGACTGACTAAAGACATAATATCTAGTTTAAAACGTAATTATAAGATCTGAAACCGGTAGCAAGTTGGCCGGATACACGATATTCAGCCAACCTTGAAGCAGAATGGCCGAATATGCGACCGAACATTGCCGATTGGCAGACTGCGTGTCGGTATAAAGCCACCTATTTAAAGCTGCATCAAAGTATACTATACTTTAGGTATTTGTCGAGTTCTATGGTCAATCTGTTAAATCAAGATTAAATTTCAATAACTGTCCTAAAACTAATCATACTCGAATGCTGTGTTTAATGTATTATAATTAAAGAATGACATATGAAAGTTCCCACTAATGATAACTTATATCATCAGTCTGAAATTTCATATTCTATTTTTTAAGTAGTTATCATTTATATAGTTGGATTTTTATTTAATACATGAATCTTTATTGAGTTTCTAATTAACACCTTATTAAAGGTGCAAGAGCAGATGAGAAGTGATTATTTGTTTTGCTTTTACAATATGAATTTTACACATATAATATGAATATAACTCCTAGTTAAAATATTATTAAGAATATTATTTGTATATTGCTGTGACTACAATGGTAAATGACAAAAGTGTAACATTTTTTCCTTTTCTTAAAAAGACAACTCCTGCATTAGGAAAACATCTTGTGTCACAGGGGACTTTACAAACATACATGAAACGGACACAAAGTACAACCAGACTCAGAACAAGAATTTATGGATCACACAAAGTGTCATCCTATGTGGGGATTGAACTCACAACACTCAACACAGTAGGAAGTGGCATGGCGACTGCTTAAACCACTACCCCCATTCAGCATTTTAAACACCTCAAAGTAAATGTAAAAATATAGTTTTGTTTACTTTACTTTGTATTTGACACTCATAGTTCAAATGCACAATTATAATGTGTGTAACATCACGTGATTTATTAATCAAGTAATATGGGCAGGTCTCAACTGCAATAAATTGGTATTTAAATATTAAAAGTTTTTATAAAAATCAGTGACTAATTAGTTACCTGTCAGATCATCCCAGTGAGCAGATATAAGTCCTGAACAATGTTCTTTGAGTGCAGAGGCACCAATCTCATCTGCAGCTGAATAAAACTTTACACATGACCTGGAAAATGGATATTTTACAAATAAAAATCTCTTTATTTTCAATAAAATAACATCTATTACAAGAATAAGATAATTATTATGTATAATCAAATTTTAAAGTATTTTTGAATAAAGAATTATTGATTTTGCTTTAGGTCCATTTATAACATTTAAAGTATCTAGTTCTTAATATAATTGATGTTAAATGTACATAACAGTCAGTTAGTTACCTCACTCCCACAGAAGCTATAAGCGCCTGTTCACATTTCCCAACTAGTCCATGTAACTTAAAGCCAGCTGCTGACTTCATTAGTTGTAATGCAAAACTGTCACCTCTAGAGAGGTCCACTACATCTGTATAAAGCCACTTAAGAAGAGCCGCTCCAATGTCATCTGGAAGATTGGTCCAGTCTGCAAATATAATACATGGTTCATGAGTTTGTCATAAATATTGCATCATTTCAAGAGCAATATTTAGTTAAAGACAATTTGCATGTAAAGCGTAGCAGCAAATGGATTGAGACTGCCCAAGACCAGAATAGTTGCACTCCTTGAGGGAGGCCTTCGTTCAGCAGTAAATGGCGATAGGTTGGTGATTATATGTATATTTATTTCAGTAGGTAAATAATTGATATAAACAGACCTAATTCATCCAGATTCTTAAGAGCTTCTTCATTCCAATCATCAGAACGTGCATTCAACACAAACTTGTGTCCAGGCATGGATTTACTCTGCAACTTGATTGAGATATCCGAATACGTTTCTCTGCCATACAAAGTGGCAACAGTCATGAGCAGTCGTGCTACAAAACTGGTCTCGCTCAAGTCGCCGGCCGATGCAGCCGCCAGCGTGTATTTGCGCTCCACCTCAGCGCAATGACTTTGTAATTTACCATACTCTTCTTTCAGCAGCGCCAGGTGCTGCTGAAGCTTCGTCACCTCGCTCGAAGCTAAACAAATCGACATAGTCACAAGATTAGATCAACAACACCGCCCACTGTTACGAGTTTATCAGACAAAAAAACATTTATTTTCTTGATATGCACTCACCCATGGCGGGGCTTTTTTAGATATTTAGGCGGAATCGTAAAATACCCTAATTTCTTTTGTCTAGATAAAAAAACTATCTAGTCGCAAATTATAAAATGACAATTTATCTATTGTCAGCAAATTGTCGGCCATCAGTCAAGTCAATAAACATAACGTTTCTTTATATGGTTACAGTTTTGAAGTTCCTGAATTTATGTTTTCTATCCTACCTTTTTACCCAATATAAATTCTAACCAACGATTTAAATTATGAATAAAGTAAAAAACTGAACATTTATGTTCTCATGAAACTGTTTATAAAATTTCTACAAGGTAATGGTCAACCTTTAACTGTTTTTTTTTTGCGTGAAGAGTATTGAAAACAAAAATTTGAAAAGTTTGTTGTGTCGACTCATGTTAAGCATAGAGATGAAACAGACCAACGCACAACCAAAAGGAGAGATAAGGATACATAATCACTTTCGTCATTTTTTTTCACCAACCTGGACCAGCCGAGTGCTTTCTAGTTACGGTCACTTGTGACAGATGGCGCTATGTGCAGCCAAATCTATTTTCATGATAACCTTCAAGTGATTTTGTCAATTTAATATTGATAACAGTTAGTTTTTATCAACCTCTTATTTGTAGTTTAGAATCAGTTAATAACACGTTTTCTTATAAGAATAAATATGAATTCTGTTAATAAAGTGCTAGGTATAAGTTCAACTTTATCGAAGAGTTCGAGGTATTTTAAACTTTTAAATAGTGTCGGGTTTTTTAATTCTAATTTAAAGTCTAAACAGGAGTTATTTTTATAGATTGATTTCTACGAGCGCTCGTTTAGGCGCTGACGATGGATGGTTTTCAAAGTTGTTGGTACGGAGGATAGAGCCGACAAAGGAGTCCCACAGTCGTATGCTTAGTGACAAGGAAATAATATATGCACTTCATACACATAATATAAGGCCTGATTCTATGGATAATTACTTGAAAAATTAGTACGTACTCACAATATTATCTTATATAAGTTAAAATATGCCGTTTGGCAGTGAACACAATCCGATTCTTATGCAACAGCTGTAAATAGAAATCAACATAATACAGCATGCAGTAGCTAACACTAACAAGAATAAGATTGACACATTCATTTTAAACCTTAATCCCCTAGATCTGTGGTGTGTTTAATTAATGTAAAAAAACAAACAATGTCTAATATTTATCTTCGGTAAATACCTATATAAGAATGAGTACACTGCCGCTATGGTTACCATAATATTGTATTTCATCGACTCTTCACTTACAATCACAATAATTTAAAAAAAACAAGATTCTTTCAAAAAATATTCACCTATTCTTCAATTTAAAGTACACATATATTCTGCATTCTGCATGGTAAAACTTTTTGTGTAAATCTTAAAAAAAAAAACTAATTTAGGATGCAGTTAATGGTCTAGAGGCATATACATACAAGTCTGTTTTATCATCATCATTTTATAGCCCCAAAAAATTAATAGATTTAGAACATTTCTTTCAACCAAGCTATCACTCAAATGGTAATTGAAATTTGTTTATCATACATGTTTGCAATATATAATATTAAGGAACGAATGGCATTACCCATTAGTACAGATGACTAAAATATGATGTACAAGTACTGATTTAATACAAACTTCTTAATACTTTTTTAGTAAAACTTCTGTGGATTTTGTTCATTCAAAAAAGGCAGACATTGGCTGTGAGCTGGTAGGATCATGGACAGTATCTGTAGGAGATATGGACCAGGCTCTTCACCTATGGAGATATGTCGGCGGTTTTGAAAAAATTGATAAAGCCAAGATTTTGTTTAACACTGATCCTGTAAGATATTTCAGTTGTTTGTAACCACTACTACTATAACATTTAGTTATCTTAAAGACAATACAAAGGCTTTGTTTAGTACTGATCCAGTAAGATATGATCAATTCATTGTAATAAATAGTGCCATAGCATTTTATTTATCTTGGAGATAATAAAAAACCAGTCACTATATTTTTAAATACTAATTTAGCAAATGCAAAATAATTTTTCTGCAATATTACTGAGTTTACACTACAACAACTGGTGATGTTTTATGTAAAACAATGAAAGATCACTGGAAGTTTGATATCAGACAGTGGTCACACGGACAAGAAAGCGATCTTATAAGGATTCCTTTTTTACCTTTTGAGGTACGGAACCCTGATAAATCGTTCAAAACGCTTTATTGACCCTGAAGAAACCAGTAGATAGAATAAAAAAACGAAGTGCAGGTCAAATTATTTCTTTTTTCGCTGCACTGTTCTTTATGCTAGCGCGAGATCGCAAGGACGTGTCATACTTTTTAACGGTGACATAGCATCGTACTGAATGAAAAAAATGTACGAAATCGTACGCTTATTAGAAAAAAGTACTACAAACACTTATGAGAAAACACAAGGAGCAAAGCGCCGGCATGGCGGTTACCCAGTTTATCAAATATGTTCTTCCTTACAGCTTTGTTAACACTTACTTTTCTTCGATTGCATTGTGTTGATAATTTTTTACAGACTTACAAGGCTTTAGAGAAAGAACGCGGACAACTTGTTCGATCACGCCACTTGCAATACTTACTTGCATTCAGTTTCTGGCCGACCGGTGAACCCCGCGAGCCCAGTAACATCTATGAGATACGATCTTACAGGTACATATATTTATACCTTTCATCTATGTCCAATTAATGACATAACACCCTTTCAAAATATAACACTGAACTATAAGAAGTTTTTGTATGCAATGTTTATTTTGAAAAACTTGAATGCTTGCAACGTTAATAGCGGTTTCACATAAATCTATAGAACTCTGTGTTAAGCAATTAACATAAAAATGATAGTGAAATTATAGTTAACATTATTTACACATTATTCAGGACTTAATTTTTCTGAAAAAAAAAAATGATGGTCTAGTACCCACATTTTTTGTTATTTGTACCTAGACCAGTGTTTTGGATTGTTTGTTTCAGATTATAAGTGTGACTTATTTGTTTACAGTCTGAAACCCGGTACTATGATTGAGTGGGGCAACAATTGGGCAAGAGGTATAACTTATCGCCGCTCACAAAACGAAGCATTCGCTGCATACTTCTCACAGGTCGGCCGATTATACAATGTTCATCACATTTGGTGTAAGTGTCTCAAGCTCTTTCTTCATTGACCCTAATTGACATACCTATGTGTCTCCTATGATACTGATTGTCGTGAAAGTAACATTGTGGAGTCGTAGAAAGTATTTTCGGTGTGGAAATTTTATACACTTTATGGCATAATGAAGTGGTTATCAAACCTCCAGCAGCTCTTCGCCACACTAAGAATTCGCTTCAAATGCGGGCTAGTCGCGTTGCAGTGTCGGAAAAAGGGGTGTGAGGTGGGAATACGTCTCACTTCACTGATTAAAACGCAGAGATTTCAGACGGCCAAGTGGGAGTTTATTTCACTTCTACTCGAGGCCCGCACTGAAATCGCCACCAATCGCAACGCTAAACGCGCTCGCCGTCGAGAGCGAGTCGATATGAAACAACTTGCCATCAGCCCTCTGAGAGCCTATTGTGAGTTTATTTTACTCGATTGTTACGACAAAAGCGCTCGCTGTTGAGGGCGAGTTGATGTGAAATTAACTTACACCAGGCCCCGTTTGTATCTAAATTTTTGAACGCGTGCGCAAAGGTTAAAAATACGTCGTGTGACTACGAAAAACTATATTCTTTACCTATTGTTTTTAAATGCCATATTAGTCATTTCTTAATATAGTTCATTTAAAAATATTTTAATCATAGGAAGTACCTTATGATTATATGAACTGACCTGATCATCGGGTAAAGGGCTTACGTAATCACGTGATTGCTCCTCGTACTCATAGGAGTATCACTTCTTTTCATCCGTCCACTGCTTACTATGCTAATATCACAGATACAAGAGAGAAATAGTCTCACACAATTGACAATTCCCATCTCAGCGGAAAGTTAACTGCAAGAAGAACCGGCTCCTCGAAGGGGAAAGGAGTGCCCGGTTTATTTTGTTAAAATTGCATAATTTTCTTACAAAACTACACCCCAGATAATTCGCTATTGCTACTTAGATTGAATATGCCTAAGAATAATATTCTTTCTCATCGTCGTCTTCTTGTCCTTTGTCCAAACTTATTTTAAGTCGGGCGCAATGACTTTTTTCTTCAAATCTGCTCTATAACTCGTCAGTTTACTGCTTACTTCCTTTTCAGTCACGTCTTCTTTTAGGCAGCCCATCACTCTTTTCTTAAGTCGTTCTCTCTTATAAGAAATAATATTTATAAGCTCAAAGTCATATCAATGACAATTTGTGGCTTAAATCTTTACCGTTTGACAGTTATCTCAATTCTTTTAAGTTTGACGTTATCTGTTTATTGCTGATATTATGAGTCTGGGACAAGCTGTATTAACATCAATTATGTTATCAGTAGGTACGTAACAAATAACATTTTAAGAGACAGACAATTTAGATGGATCCACTTATAAAACTTTACATTCGATGTGATGACGTCTATTTAGTAAATACTTTTACAAAGTGTAAGAAACATTTTATAGTATTCATAAGCCTTATTTTAATACTTATAAATACTTTAAAGCACTCAACCCCTGTAAAATGTTGGGGGTAAATTGGATGTATGCGATATATGTTAGCGAACCGTAATACTAAAATAACTTCGCATCAGTCGTCATCGAATTGCATAATTTACCTGACATCAATCATACAAAAAAATGTGCGAAACATTACACATCTGATTTTATAAGACTAGTTTATATATTTTTTGTTCCTCTTGCGGACAAGGTTTGACCGCCACACTTCACTATAATTCTAAGCATCGTAAAATACCCATCGTCGCCTTATCTACAACCGTTTAAGATAAGATTGAACAAAATTACTATAATACAAAGTGGGGTGAAGGACACGAGTAGATGCATTTATGATAACTATCCCTTTGAGGATTTGATTAAGATTTGCCGTCTTTCTTGGTGTTACGATTAAAGGGCCCAGTATCAAGTTAGTTGTATAAAAGAGGAAAAAGATCTTTTAAATGTGAAAAGAATCATTTCATACATGTTGCTAAAACAATGTCTAACAATGCTATGTCAACAATTAAAAGCCTGTTTCCATTGAAACTGTGTAAAAGATTAAGTCAATATTTATTAAATACTTACCGATATTTGTGGCTACCAAACATAATATGCACATTAGTATGTGCACATAATTTTTTTTTGTATGTTTTGGTGTCTCCTAACGGAGATAGATTAGAAATTACTATCGTCTAATTTTTATATTGCAGGTTACAAGAATCTGCAAGCACGTCGGGAGACCCGAGAGCTCACGTGGCGTAACCCGGGCTGGGACGAGTGTGTCGCGTACACAGTACCACTTATCCGCGAAATGCACTGCCGTATCCTGGAACCAACTGCATTCTCCCCTACGCAGTAAACAACGTCAAGCATAGCCAACTATTTTATGAACATCGTCTATTAACAGTAATTTTTAGGTTCTAAACACGAATTTATCGCATGAATACTTTCAGACATAGATTTATGGATTGTTATCCCACCTGAACCATATGGTCTTATCTACCTATTGTTTAAAATGTGGAGTCATCGTAGGGTATTTTATCCATAGAATTTTTGCTATAAAAAGATAAGTAGTAATAATAAAGGACTAGTCAAAATGGAATCATGGCCCAATATTCATGAAATGATATATTCTCACTTCGATTAACTTGATTCAACTATCAAAGAAAATGAATAGTAAGCCAGATACAATTTTATAAGCTTTTCAATCATCAAATTCGACCAGCGGTCCTCACTAACCGCCAGACAAAAACGTTATTTAATGTGCAATCATAATTATAAATACAGTGTACATAGTGCGAAGAAAGTAGTCCCATGCAGTGGAGGATAAATGTTCATAAAATGTTTGTATTACAGTCGCTTTCCCAGATATCTTCGAGGGATATCACTCTATTTTAGAATATAATCTAGTATGTGTTAGTCTATATATGATATATACCTAACAGTATATATAAATAATAAATAAAAATTATTCAAGCAAAGTAATAATTTAGAGGATTTAGGTAAACAATTGCATTAATTCGCATGTTTAGGTAGGTAGGTATACTTGTATATGATCTAATTCTGAAAAAAAACTTCATCTTTAATTGTACTGTGTAATAATATAATTCCCCAAATAAAACTTGTGAGCACAATTTTATCCCAGACCTGGGATATTTTAGGTTATGAACTTAAAAAAAACTTTGTTATATTAATTTTGTATCATTTACATTTTATCAGGGGTCTAATGAAATAAACTCACACTAGGCTTTCTTAGGACACTATAACCATTGCTGTAATATTTCTTTTATTTTTTTTATTTTGATAGCATTTACTATATTTATGAAATAACCTAAACATTAAATGTATTGTAAGAATATTAGTTGTAAATGGAATTGCCATCTAAGATTGTGCTTTGATATTGTATATCCTTTGTTTTTTTTCTTAAAAATGTTACTACAAAAATATTTTTTTAAACGAGTTGTTTTTAAACGAGTTGTATTTTATTTAGCACCGTAAGCATATTTTAAAATCATGATCATAATAATACAAATAAGTGATTTTCTTTCCATTTAATTTATTTCGGTTTGATTTTCATGAACCTGATTATATTACAGTATTATTAGTGATAATAGTTAGATTCTAGAAATTCATTGTTAAATATTATGTAACAAAAAATAAAAAGAAAACAACGGTGCACCGAGCGAGCCGCAAACAATTGCAAACTATAACGTCGGCCTCGGCACCTTGTCACATGTCGGTCACAATATTGCTAACTACCTATCTGTGATAAAATACTATACAATGGTAAAATATAAAAATTGTATAGTTACAATTTACAAAATACGTGACCGCTAACTACAAGTTTGGTACTTCTATCTCATAATAATTATTCTGTAGATCGTGACCATTATAGGGTGGCAAAATCAATAACATCTAACTCTAGAACAGCTAGGATAAATGGTGGGAGTTTTGGAATAGGAAAAGACGGGCCTACACTATACTCGTACCTCGTGCAAAGCACGCCTCGTTATTGCAGTTCCATATATGGAGGCAGACTTTACACTGCGGTCCGAGCAGAGGTCTATGACGGCGAGCAAAATACTAAGCGCCTAACGTTAAGTACTGACCATCTATTGCACGCAAGCGAAGTTACAGCTTACAATTCAATTCCATGGTGCTTAGGTTACTGCTTTCGCTACATCTTCGAGTTTAGACTTAACAAAGGGGAATACTACCATAATTAAAATGGTATAAACTAAAGAGGGTTACATTATAACGAGGTCAACTCTAACAATGCTCGTTACACACTGTCATATTACATTTAATCAAAATTATTTGTGACATTTTATCAAACTTTATATATACATAGTGAGTATTTCGTATTGTATCATAGTATAATTATGTTATATACAGCGTGGGTCCGATGGTTAGTCCTTGTCGCGCGCTCGCAGTCTACATTATGTACAGATAGACAAGGTGATAAGTAGTTAGGCTGTGTCTAGAGATTATTGTCATATATTTGGTCAGTTCAGGAGGGGTATGGCAGCGTCTACGAATAATTAGGTATCCATTCACAAAGCTATTTACTACCTTCTCGGCTATTTATCTAAAAATCGCAATCGAAGCAAATTGTTATAATTATTATACGATTATAGTAAATAGCTTTATGTTAACATTTTAACATAAAATAGCTGTTTTTGTCAAACACTATGTATACAATTTTATACCTAAATCACCTAGGCTTCGTTTTACTTAAAACCGTTTAGAAACCTCCAAAAAAAACTCAAATAATACGATCACATCGTGTGATGCTTTAGGAAGAGAATATTAATAAAAATAATAAAAAATATTTTAAAATAGTATTAACTAAATTTGGGTATTTATGACTATAATCCATTTTAAATTAAATAATACATTTGCTATACATATTTGACTGGTAAGCTTAGTACACAATACGATAGGGTATTAGGACACTAAATAAAGAAAATAGCACATAGTCGGGCCCCGCGCCGGGCCCGCCGCCTCGCACTTCCAATGTACACAGAACCGCACTCGCGCCTTACAAAAGTAACAAATTATTTATAATATTTTAATTATATATTATTGTTCTTTATATACATACACCATGCCCCGCGCCACCACCGCCCGTAAGGCAAATCGTGTGCTCGCTAATATTCACATACATACATATATATATACTTTATATATTTACAGAAGATAACCGGCAGTTCGCCACACAACGTTACGCAGCACCTGCATTGTATTATTTATGATTTAGTAAAGCGTGTTACAATCATTTAAAATCTAAAAGAATTCTAAAATAATCATAATATACGTTTTCGTACTAAACTTTTTAAACATTTAATAAACTCAATACTAGGTCTATCACGAAAGAATAAAGACGAGGAGGGGCCACAGATTTAACGCTCTTGTCTCAGTCATACGGAGTACCACTACACTTAATTTATCGCGATGATTTTTTGTAGTAAATTAAATGATCGACCACATCGTATATTTTACTGCTGGAATCTACTACATACTAATATTTGCGTCTGTTTGAGATTGGTGACACCAATTGCAATGCAAATTAGACATAGGTTTTTACTCGCTTTATTATTTCGTGAAACCAATAAACAAATGCCTTCAACATTCAACTTACAATAATTACAGGCAAAAATGGTTCCTAAAGTAAAAACTAATGATATGAATGTTAGAATTTTGACTATCTAATGTTGTAAATAATAAATTCCTCTGTTCAATAGTGAGGTGGGAGGGCGGGCGGCGCTCGGCTCGGTGTCTCGCCACTGACTACTTTATCTAATTAATGCCTTTTGTCAAACATTTTAAGCGTACACTTTGAGGATCAATATACCTTGGCTTCACTACAAACTTTTGCCTTCATTGTAATGTGGTGTCCGCGGGTATCTCTTACAAACTTGTTCATTCTTGTTTCACTAGAGCATCAAGATGAAAAATCAGTTAGAACCACTGTGGAAACTTACGATAAACTACAATATTTATACAAGATTGGATCAGGAATAGTAGACTTTAAAATTTAATCATTCCCTCTACTCGACACTGTCCCGTTGTTCGCGTATGTAGTGCAGGTTTACGATGGACGGTCTAGAGATTGATAATAAAATTTCTTATGTCTAAGAGATCGAATATTCAGACGTGACTTAAATTAAATTTAGGTTTAACACGAATTAATTTTAATGTTTACGTGCATCAAGTTTAGCGTTACGCGTATATTTTTGGCCGATTATTTTGGATACCAGTTAAGTATATTCTCATTTTAATGTATGTTTTACATGGCAGAGGCGTTAAGCGAGGACAGTGTCGGGCTGTGAGTAAATGCTAATAGAAAAAAGCGTCTCATTCTCACATCGATGCATCATTTAAATAACCTCAGACAAATGCAGACAGACTCGCAATTATAACTTTTATCTTCACTTTGATGTATGCAACAACGTGCTTCTGATCTTCTGACTGTTATAATTAGGCACGATTTTGATTGTAGTCTTATAAAAATTCTCAAACAAGATACAAAGTCAGTCGAAAATATAATTATCATTATTGTGAACTCTGGTCCAGGTACAACGAAACTTACATAGAAATTATATACATTCAATATATTTAAACCAAAATATCAGAAACAGGTTGATGCATTAAAACATGCGTCGACAAATAACTTACTTTGTGTATAATCACATCATACAATAACGACCTTACTGAGAATACAACTAACGTACATTATTGCGTGGTGTAAACCATTCGCTTATTCTTCAACTCGGCTGTAACTAAGAGATATTTATTTAATTATGGAGTGCAATAAACTTAATAGTGTAATAATATAGGAAATGCCCTCCCGAACCTATTGTCATGACGGTCGCAATTTTCACTTGGAAGACATAACAGAAAAAATTGTTTAAAAATTAGGCTAATATTAGCAATATCCAACAGTATATTCAAACAACACAATGTTGTCAATCAACGTGAATTTTCATCGCGCGGGAGGGCAGACAGTCTCAGTGTTTAGAATGGGACATGGGAGGTCTATTGCTGCTGCCAAAACAATGTCGCTAGATATTCTCGAATAATACTTAGCGAAACACCAAATACTTACACGACACATTCAGTCAACACGTATAATTTCTTCAATTACAAGTCTAATGAGGTAGCCTGTGAACATTGCTAACGATAATAACAATAATCGATGGTATATAACGCGCTCCGAATACATATACAAGAACGCAGTGTATGTCTCTTAAAAATTTGCGATTAATGATTTTTACATTACTTAATTACACTTGGTTCCACAAACGTATGTGGATTGTATAGACGTAGCGTATTTCTAGACCGATTTATAGACTGGTTCAATACTGCAATTCGACACAAACCAAATCTGTTAAATATTTTCATTGTAACGTTACTCTTTAATCTCTAATACTATAATGACCCGATTGCTGTTGTTGTATGAGTGAGTTGTTAGAAAGGTCTAGAGTTTGATATGATTTGCTGTTAATCCACTTACTATTATCTTTCTTTCTTTGTAATCACAACGTGGAGAATATTTTTAGTTTAAAATTATGAAAGTAATAAGTATCTTCATAGCTGAGCTAGACTCGTGTTTTCAAATAAATATATTCAGGTTAATTGACAGTTCAAAAATGTTTTACTCATTTCCTACAGTCCCTATGAAGTTTACACTGTTTGTGAAGTTTATACATTTAAACTGTTTTAAAGTAAGATCGGTTCATTTAACAACAGTATAAACGTTTTTATACATGTTTGTAGCATAGCAAGTATTGTGTGTGGGCGTATGTATGTGTGTGTTGGCAGCAGCAGTAGGGTGTGTGCCGGGTGTTACAGGGAGCCAGCCGCGAAGCTCGCGGACGAGTTACTGTGCGCCAACGAAAGCATGGAGCCCGAGAGCGACTGTTCCTCTTCGCCGTATCCATCTCGGCTGCCTTCCGCGATCGCCATAGCGCTGTAAAACACATTTTTAATAGAGTTATTCAGTGATGACATGAGGCAAATTTACAAAGGTCCGTCATAACATGTTCGCTATTCGTTCACATTTGACAGGCTTTTAAAGCATCCGGAGGAAGGCAAGAAGGTACCTGAAGCCCAGGCGAGCGCTCTCGATGTCGAAGTGCTCGAGCTCGCGCTCGTGGCGCTCGTGCAGCAGGCGCGTGCGCTCGGCGCGCTCCGCCACGAACTGCGCACACTCCGACTCCATCTGTTTACACACCACACTTTCAATACTAATTTTTGACCAACCATATTACTGATTTTTCGAAATTAACCCTTGACATGTAAAATAATTTTGTAACGAGTAAACAGTATCCGCCAGAGTCGAAAGTACCTTCTGCTCCAACAGTCCCCGGCGCACGGCAACCCTGTCCTCCAGTTCACGCCGCTCGCGGTTCCGCTGCGCCTCCGCCTGCATCTTACTCTTGCTCTGGTAAGCAGTGAGCATGTCCAACTCGTGCTCCAGCTGCATTTTAAGTTGCTGGCACTCCATCTATATACAGATTGTTAATATGTATAATTTTTTTTAATTACAAATCAAAGATAAAACTTCAAATACATTATTAATGTTTCGTTTCGTTAAAGTTCGTACGAGTAGCGTCGCAAAATAACTAATAGGTAGGTAGAAAATAATAGGTATCAGAGGGATAAGCCCTGCGCATCTTAAGGTGGGGGGAAGGGACACGTGGCTGTCGACGCACCGCTGCAATGTCAGTCGCGCTTTAAGCAATTAAGTTATTTCACTGCTTTGCTCTATCTTTTATTTGTACGCTCAGTACCTTTGTTTGCGAGTGTACCTGCGCAAGCTGCCAATAGACCAATAAAATACATAAAAAAGAGCCTATTTCAAAACCATTTTTCAACCACCTTGTCTACGTAACCTGCAACGCGTGGAGCGTTGCAGGTTGCGTTGTCTCTGTCCCCATTTGCGATTATTACTTTAAGTTGATGTGACACACTTTTGGTAAAATAACCTAAAATGCTGTTTGATAAGACCTTTCATTTCATCATAATTCAATTAAATAATTGACAATGGGACCTTAACAACGCTTGTTTATATTAATGATAAATCTCTTTATTGTTCACTAAATATAATACAAAAAGAAGTAAACTAGTTTAATATGGCTGGTATAATTGGCGAACTACAGGCCCAGTTTATATATTTGTGACTAGCAATTTCATAGTTGTACTAAAGTGGTGAGAAACAAACTATATTTGCCAAATCCTCGTGTAACATTTGCCCAAATAATACTCGATTTTCATCAATAGTAAATCGAAGTTCTTAAGAAAATATTAATATTTTAAACAGTATATTTGTATTGTGTATAACGGCAACCATTGCAGAATTTATTAATGTACCTAATTATTAAATAGCATATAATTTTATATTTTATGCATTATCAAATAACAGATGGGGGCAATATAATTCTTATTCCGTATTTCGTCCTATGAAATGTCTGGCGAATAGCTGTCATATATTGACAGGATGCAATTGTGTATATTAGTGTTTTTACCATTTGGCTCTCATCGAGTCTGACGGTCTGTTTCTGTAACATCTCCGTGATGCTTTGGTCGTACTGCTCGCCCAATAACACCAGCTTGCGACGCTTCTCGTCTTTCAAAGTCTTTATTACTTCCTTTTGTTGCTCCTGTCAGAACATATAACTTATAAATATTTATTTAAAAATATTTTTTTGTGAGTTACGATTCTGTTACAAGAACATCAATTATTCGAAATTTTAGGTATAGGTGTGTTATCTATCAATATGTGCGTTAGCAACACAAAAAAAAACATTCGAAATAGAAATACAAATACCTTAGCGGTCATCTGCAGTATTTGCGCTTTGAGCGCCTTGTACTGACGCGTCTGTATCTTGCACGTCTCGCGAAATTGTTTTCTAATCTGCATCTCTTTTTGCTGGAATGAGGTAAGTTTGAGGTTATTTAAGTTCATTTCAGTTCATTATGTTTATATCCCTTTTAGGGAACACTTGATGCCAAGGCCATTAGACTCGTCGGCGCAATCGAAGATTTAAAACATAATAACACAAGTCATTCCTGGTACTGCAAAGTGGCATATCAAAGATTAAAGCACTTATGATTCGCAGGTGTAACCGGGCAGCAGGCACTTACCAACACCTCGGGCTCTATTTTGGTCCACACTTCTTTCTATATATGATCTATAAGTAAATAATCTATACACTACCATACTATATGCATGAACATAGGACCATACAAATTATAAGGCTGACTAGTACACTAAACATTTAACTAACATACTAGTAAATAAACATAAAAGAAAACATACTTTGAGGCTTTTAGGTTGTTGCTTGAGCTGCAGCGCGTGCTTCTTACGCAGTTCATGTTCGGCCCGCTGCATATACTCTCGCTGGTTCGCCAACTCAGTCGCATGCTGGTTCGATAACTGTTCCTCTCTGGAACGTCAAAAGTTCGTACTATACAAACCTAACCAGAGTGAAAAGCTTTATTCTCTAACAATAATAAGAAAATCTATGAGAATTATTTTTCTTAAAATTAAAAACAGTATCTCAAATGTAATGTGTAGCATACCTAAGTGCATGAACGCCTTTCTGCTGACGGTATTCTAGTTCTTGTGTCTTTTCGTGATGTCGTAACAACATCGCGTGTGCTTGCTCCAACTGGTTTTGGCGCTTGTTAAGTTCCTGTGGATATATTATTGTCTTTTAAACACTGAAATCATCGCGTGAACGTGAAAATTGTGTGTGATTATTATCCTCCTTATAAAAGAGGGTTTTGGCCTACTACACCACGCTTGCAAGACGGGTTGATAATGTTTGTGTCAAGTTTTCGACATCTACGGGATGAATAGGGGTGATGACGCTCCATATTCTATAGTGAAACCGCCGTAAGCTTGGCCCTCAAAATGGTTTGCGCGACGCGGGGCGGGCGATGCGCTCGGCTATACACGACACGATGTACTAACTCAATATCTTCAGATTTATTTGTTTGAGTTTTTATCTATTCACGATGTTATAAAAATCGAATTTATTTACATGTATTATAACTTCAGTATATTGTTAGTTTTTATGATTAATTGTAAAATATTAATACTTGCAAAATAATTTTCAATAAAATGACCTTATCTTTATGATGTAAATTATATTCAGATACAATTTAATAATAAAGTAAAATAATAAATATTATTTCTTAGAACTTTAAACAGTGAAACCTTTGTAAGCCGAACTTCAAGGCAGACCCCAAATAATTTGAGTTTTGGACTTACGGAAGTATTTGACTTAGGCGGATTTTGTAAGGAAATATTCGACTTGTAAAGGTTACGATTCTTTCTTTGACCATTTTCAATTGCATTCCATTCCATTTTCATGATGTTTGATTCATTTTTGAGTATTGTTAACATTGACTCATTGATACGCCTAATTATTAGGGTTGGTTTAGGTTTTGTTTAAGTTTTTCTTCTCTTTGCAGTGCTGTTGTCCTGCGTAGTTTGCTCCCTTAGTCGGCTCTTACGAAACACACGGCACGAATAGGGGTGGTGATACTTCGTATAGTATACTACTGTATACTGTTTATTAATCAAGTAACTAAAAATTAAAAACAAAACGAAGCGTTTATTAAAAAAAATGAAAATTAATCAAAATGTTCTTGAATCTTTTGGTGACGCAGAGTCAACAGATTATCCATGTTGCAAAATAATACCGTGTGTAGCAGTCTTAAGAATGTACAGCCATGCTCCACGTCAGTCACTGTCGGCGGACAGCGAAACACTAGCTAATTGGATGAGCGTACCCCCGCCCTGCGTCCCGCAAACCATCGGGAGGGCCAAGGCGGTTTGACTAAAATCGGTTACGGCAATATGTTGCTTCGGCTTCAATATGTTGTTGCTTGAAGAGGTAATCCCAAAGGAATGGTTTCAAACCCAACTCGTACCCATTTTCAAAAACAAAGGAGATGTTCAGGAATGCAACAACTATCGAGGAATAAAGCTCATGTCACATACTATGAAAGTCTGGGAGAAAGTGATTGAGAGAAGAATAAGAGATGAGAGTCAGATAACCCAAAGTCAATTTGGGTTTATGCCAGGACGCGGGACAACAGATGCTATATTTGCAATGCGCCAACTATGTGAGAAATACAGGAGTGCGCACAAAAACTTACATATAGTGTTTGTGGATCTCGAAAAGGCATATGATAGGGTACCCCGAGAGGTTTTGTGGTGGGCTTTGAAAGAAGAAAGAGTGCCTGTTAAGTATGTAGAATTGATTCGTGCTATGTACAGAGAGTCTAGCACTCATGTAAGGTCGGTCACGGGAAACACTGATCAATTCAGTGTCTCTGTAGGCTTGCACCAGGGATCAGCTCTGAGCCCATACCTCTTCCTGTTGATAATGGATGCTCTGACATCGGACATACAGGAGGAGGCACCTTGGTGCATGCTATTTGCAGATGACATTGTGTTGGTCGGTGAGGATGGGGTTGAGGTCCAGAGCAGACTGGAAAAATGGCAACAAAGGCTGGAGAATGTTGGCTTGAAAATCAGCAGAACCAAAACTGAGTACATGTTCTGCGATTTCGGCGGTCTCTCCAGTCCTGAAACCATTTCGCTGGATGGGATAGCGATAACAGTCTGCTCCAATTTCAAGTACCTCGGCTCCCTCTTACAATGTGATGGTGAGATTGATCGAACTGTACAGCATCGAATCAATACGGGATGGATGAAGTGGCGGCAGGTAACGGGAACAACTTGTGACCCCAGTTTCCCCTTAAAACTGAAGGGACAAATTTATAAAACTATTATCAGACCTGCCGTACTGTATGGTTCTGAAAGTTGGCCCATTAAGAGAACGGATGAGAGACGCCTGAACGTAGCCGAAATGCGAATGCTGAGATGGATGTGTGGTGTGACTCAGATGGACAAGGTTAGGAATGAGTATATACGAGGGAGTCTGAAAGTAGCGCCACTGGATGAAAAGTTAAGAAGTAATAGGTTATCTTGGTATGGACATGTCATGCGGAGGGATGAGGAAAATGTGGCGAAGAAAGTTTTAGGTATGAGAGTTGAAGGGTATAAGAGAAAAAGGCAGACCGAAGAAAAGGTGGATGGACTGCGTGAGGGAGGATATGGCTAGCAAGGGAGTAAACAGTGAGATGACGCATGACAGAGTAGAATGGAAAAATCATACATACTGCGCCGACCCCAAATAAAATTGGGAAAAGGGTAGGCAGATGATGATGGTTACGGCAATATAAGTTTAATTGACACAACTTAAAAAATGCTACAAAATTACTAAGCTAATACTAGTTTTATTTATTTGCCATAAATTTTCCAATTGCTGAACTGATATGACACTAAGCCGTTATCAGCAAAATGGTGTTCAATATTTAGACTAGAGGATTCGGGAAACAATCCCGTTATACGACCACAAAGTGTTACACCTAGCTACGACGGTTGGAGACAGAGAGTTTTATAGGTTGCATCTCATATTCTGTATGTCTCACTTTGCTTTTCTGCTCCGTTCTCTATCTATCCATGTATATACATGCTATAGTCGTGCTATAGTGACTTATTTTAATTACAACATTATTTTCGTAATCGCTGCTTAACCTACAGTACCTATAATAGGATTTAAATGTTAGCAGTACAATACTAAAGGTGCTGGTTAACCACTGTCCTGTGTAGTTTAGAGCTATTTGGACAGGTTACGACTTAAACAGTGAAGGTAATGCGTACCTCCCGTAGCAGCTCCTGCTCCTTGTGGTGCACGGCGAGCATGCGGCGCCGCCGGAAACGTCGCAACTCGAGCTCCAAATACTCACGCTGCGCCCGAACCAGTCGGGCTTCTTCTGCAGCTTCCGCTTGCTTAAGATTGTCTTTCTGAGACCTGACAATTATGATTTAATATTGAACATACTTAGCAATACCATTTTCTAACTACTTTTAGATGGTCACTGCACTCTTTAGGCATATACTCGTATGTAAAAACCTCTTAACATGACACAGTATCAGAGTAAGAGTAATTTCCGAATTGTGAATTAAAATAGAAATAGACAAATGAAACTTTCTTATAATATTTGTACATTACTTGTCAGATAAAACAAGCCATGATAAATATTAAAGAATAGAGCAAAGGAAACAGAGAAAATTGTTACATACTGTAGCGTGGCGTCCCGCTGCCTCTTGGGCGTGGCGTCATCCATACTGAGTTCTTTTTTCCACCGTTCCTTGTTTGCCTTGTACTCGCGCTTACGCTGCGTCTCAAACGCTTTGCGGTCTTGCTCCTGTCTCGAAGTAATGTCCTTGATTAACTTCTTCTCTGTTGCCGCATTCTGTTTCTGTTTGCGTTCTAGCTCTTGCACGTGTTTCGTCTATAAATATAAGTAAATAAAACTAATTATTTTTTTCGAAAATTAATATTTTAGCGATATGTGTATTAATAAATGACACATAATGATATAGGATCAAAATGACATTACTTTAGACTGACTATTTTGTTATTCCTAATAATTACAACGCCAGTAGGTCGATTTGGAGTTCTAAAAGACTGTTTTACAGTGGCGTCTATAACATCTATTATCTGCATGTAATGTTGTAGTGGTTATCTTTGTTTATCTGTGATACAAAACCATATGTATAGCATCAGGAATAAGTGTCAAAGCTTCATCCATACACAACATATTTATATAATAGAAAACATATCTAGTAGTCAAAGTTTAGTCTTAACCAGTTTCTTTAAAAAAGTAAGAAACTTCAAGAGTAATTACCTGTAATCGCTCTAACTCCCTGGACAATTGCTGCAATAGTGCTTCGTACTCGCGGTCGAGCTGCGCTTTGTGGGCCTCAACGTCAGCCTTGCACCGTTCCTCCAGCTTTAACAATGCTGCTTGATGTTCGCGTCGCATGCGCTTATAACCTGACATCTGTTCGTGCATCTCCTGGAACATAACACCACCCACTCAAGCAATCTAACTCCTTTTGTTTTGCTAAGCACGACACATAGTCGCATACTGTTTGACAGAATAGTCTGTCAATACATGAACGCATTTACCTGGTTGTGTTCTTTTTGTTGTTTGGTAACGATGCTAGTGGTTCGTATCGTTGCAAAGTTGTTCGCGCCATGCTCCGACACCAGCGACATCGCAGCTGATACGTTATTCGTTATACCTGCAATTGGGTAGGAGACTGTTAAGCTGGGCTTGTTCAAAATAAAGCTTTATGACGCCATATCTACTTGTTGTGAAATAATTTATTTTAATGTATGCGTTAAAAGGTTAAAAGGTCTTTAAGGTTTAATTTTTATTTAAATTTAACCTTAAAGAATGGATTGTCTTAATTTTTTAGGAACACTAATTCCTATTAAGTAAATAATATATGGTATGTTTCGCCATTTGTGAACCGATTGCAATAAATATTTTTTAAATTTAATAACTTCCAATCGAAGTTCCATTAAAACTAGAAGAAATTATTCCACTTCTAAGAATGGAAAATTAAAGGACGAAATACAACCTATTACAATTCTTCGTGGTTTAGGCGAATTTTGTTTTACTATTTTACAGTTCATTACATTATTTTATAGTAGGTTCTAGCCCTATGATAATAAAAAAGCGACGGCTAATATTATATCATGTAAATATTGATATTTATTACTATTTGTAAAAGATACTTACTCTTGCTACCCTGCCGACGCTGCGTATTTCTGTTATCATCACCTGCATCCTGTTGCCAGGCTGCGGACGCGTTCACATATTCCCGATACTCATTGGCATGCCGATCCCGTTCACGATCTCGATCTCTCTCCCGTTCTCTCGCCTCACGTATCGCGTCACGGTTGGCGTAGTCATCGCCATAGTCATCACAAAGAGAGTCACGGTTAGCGTAGTCACGCACTGCGTCTCTATTGACATAGTCGTCGTGGGCGCCCGGTAGAGGACTCTCGCTCTCTCTGCGTACGAAACACCAACATGAGTAAAGCCAGCTCTTGCGAACACTTCTGAAAGCCAAGTGCAGTCTATCCAGTGCACGTGCATTGTGCAAAGCTCTACTTCATACAAGTGCGAGTGCATTGCTAACGTACACACATATATACAACAATAGCGCCATCTTTAATACCCACATAGCCTTTGACTAATAACATGCATAACTTACACAACTACTACAGCAACTACAATTGTCTTTAAGAGGTTTAATATAGAATACCTTGAATGATATTCTGTAAAAGCCTAATAGAGACAATAATACAATGTACATATCCAAAGCATTACAAACAAAACATTGATGTCTACATTAAGTTTTACTAAATACTCTTAAAAAAACTATCATTTTCACTACATAAAAATCACATTCAACCAATAATAATATAAAATTGAATAAATAAACAATCAAAGTTACTTAAGGTAAGTTAAATATGGGTAGTTTCATAAAATACTTAAATTTCAAGGTCACGCGGTGACTTTAATAAATAGAAAGTATTTGTACCCACCTCGTGGAGTGTGAATGCTGATGGTTCAAGTGTTGGTAAGTGGGCTGTTGCTGATGTTGACCATGGTGATTCGCGTTTACCTATGAATTTATTGTAATCTATACTAATATTATAGGGCTGAAGAGTTTGTTTGTTTGTTTGAACGCGCTAATCTCAGAAACTACTGGTCCGATTTGAAAAATTCTTTCAGTGTTAGATAGCCCATTTATCGAGGAAGGCTATAGGATATATATTATCACGTTAAGAGCAATAGGAGCGGAGCACCAATGAAGAATGTTTCAAAAACGGAGAAAATTTATTACTATTGAGAGACGCAGACGAAGTTGCGCGGGTCAGCTAGTAGTTTATATATGCTGCTAAAAAAAAAAGTTCATCGAATATCTTCTAACTACCATTTTCAATCTTACGGAGGTATTTATATATAATACTTGTCAATTTTAAAATGTTTCCTTCCTTTATTTTTTATAAAGTTTTCTAGACATTTAAGAAAACAGCAGAATCCGGAGTGTCTGTTTGTAAATAGAAACAAAGGGATTAAAAATAAATAGAACAAGTATTAGAATTTTGTTCGTTTTTATGTGTGTTTGTAAAGTGCACATCTTTGCAACTACAATATATACTTTCATGTAATCTTCACAGATGGACAGTGTAATTTGGAGCAAAATATAGGTAAGGTAAGATACGCAGATAGTATAGAGTGTACTGACAGGGTGTGGCCTGCGCCGAAGACTGCCGGAGGACGAGCTTTGGCTGGACGCGCCCGCCGCGCTGTGCTCCGACGTGGCCGAGTTTGATTTGGAACTGTCGCCCCCGGATCGTTCCTCGGCCGTCTCTTCGCTGTCACCTGCCGAATGACAGTAAGAACCATATGAGACACGAATAGTACCTATACAATATGTGGAAATATATTTTTGGTCACTTCATTCCTCTTTATTCAAATTGAAAAAATGCCTTCTAGTTCGCATGCCTCAGGGCGTACTACCAATTGCATTATTTTTTTTGTTTAGACAAACCTGTAATTTTTCTATAAACTAAAAGCGCCATAGCGAGACACTTTAATACTACTAGATCTCCTGAAAGCTACGACCACGTTTACAATCAGATAGGCCTTTACAGCCGCGCCATCAGCATGTAAAATCTATAAATTTTCTCGTCTATTGGGTACAGAGCTATATAATATCTACTTTTACTCTATTCCAAAATATATTGTAAGTTTAATCCTACGCTCGTCTATATTTTACCAACTTTAAAAAAGGGGTTCTCAATTCGAATGTACTTTTTTATGTTTGATCCCATTCCAATTTGAAAAAATATAATCCCTAAGGGTGAAAAATTGAAGATTGATGAATACAGGTTACTTAATGCCATCATATTCAAAGTAAGTATTGAAATCGACGATTCTTACTTTAAACTTATTTATTTATTCATCTTTAATTGGTGTAAAATGAGAATCACTTTCTATAGCTACAATATATAAATCATCCAGCACATTAAGAATTACATAAATATAAAATGAACAGACGTGATATTGGCATTAATCGTACGATGTAGAGGTCAATCAATCGGATAAGTCGGTCAAGTGTTTATAAATATATGGCAGATAAGTACGTACCAATAGCACTTTCGTTATCTGCGTCGACCATCAATATCTTTTTCATCTTCCTATAGTTGAGATTGTCGAGGTCTCTAACTGCTGCTTTAGTCCTTTGTATAAGGTCGACAAGCACATTTGGAGATCTTTGTCGTGTGAGGAAGATATGTGAGAGTAAACCCGCGGACGATGGACGTTCTTGGGGGTTCTTTCTAAGACACGCTTCGACAAAAAATCGGAATGTATCCGTCCATTCTGGAGCCTGTCAAATTATTGTTTCATTTAGAATTAAGTTTTAAGTCTTCATTAATGTTACGGGGCTATTGAGAGTTTAATTTTATCATAATACATATTAAGTTACATAAGCAATACTAAAATTGAAAGCCATTTTTGATAAGAAAACATTTAATTACGAGATCAAAGGTATTAAGTGCAAGAAACGAATTTATTTCTATATTATTCCTAAGAGATACCCATAATGAAACAAACAACAAATGTGTAAAAGTAGGTGCAATCATGCTGTGTGCACTGTGTGCAGAATGGTACTGTAAGATATGGGTATCAACATAAGAACACAGTAATTTATCTCACGCTTTTATTTACGATATTACAAGTGATCCGATGCAGAGATTCAGTATGCAAAATTTAGAAATTTTTAAAAAATTTTGGTTGTCTCATTATAGTTTTTATTTGTCAGTTATATAGGGTTCATAATAAATAAGTATAAGAAAAAAAGGTAAGTATAAAGTTTTAATGTTGCCAATGTTTAGAATTCCCAGTTTGTTAGAATTTGTTGGTTTTCTTTCAGGTCTGGTATTGGGGCAATAAAAGGAAATATTGTCACAACCTTTTAAACTTCTTATATGTATTGTTATGTACCCTACTTCTGTTAAGCGGTTGTTAGTGTAAATGTGAAAAGAACATACATACTTGTAGGTAACTCACCTGCAAGGTGGGTGAGTCGTTCTGTGCGATGTGGTACAGCGCCGACATTGCGTTCATGTTAAAGTAAGGGGGCTTGCGTTCTGCCAGCTCGATGCAAGTTATTCCTAAAGACCATACGTCTACCTGGAATAATACAACATGTATTTTAGTAGAATACAGTTCAGAGATGGTCAATTTTTGTTTGTGAGTTAAAATGTTACAGCTATACAATAATATTCTCTTTCTCCTAACGGGAGATGGGCCTGTTCCTGGTTGACAACAACTACTTTAAATTGCAGGTTGAATTAGAAACATTTTATCTAATACCTTTAAACAAGCAATTCTCGTATATATATATATATATAATCTGAATCTCGGAAACGGCTCCAACGATTTTCATGAAATTTAGTATGCAGGGATTCCTTGGGCGATTCATCAACCTAGCAAGGTTTCATTAAAAAAAAATACAAAATAAAAATACCTAATCTAGGTACTGGATAATTAACAGATATCGCGGATGAATAAGTTAAAATTTAAACCCATTATTTTTATGGCAATTCGTACTTCATACTTCTAGTTCATTCATTTAATTTCGACTTATGTGTGGAAAGTACCTGTGCAGATAAAGTTTGACCTTTATATTGCATGCGATTTCAAACATAATTGAAATCTTTTAATCATAATTGAAATTTAACATAATTTACAAAGCGTTATACAGTGTTTTTTTTTTAATGGGCCAGTATGGGTAGATCTGAAAATTATTACAGAGACTAATTGAAAACCACAGAATAGAATGTGTTTCCATTAATGCTAGTTATTAAAAATCTAAATATTTTTATGCGTTTTAATGGACTCCGGTTAACGTGGGGAGAGCTATGTTTCGGAACAAATGGGCTGGCTCAGTGATACCAGAGCCTCACAGAATCTAACAGCAATTCTTTTGTTGCTCTTCACCGAGTAAGGTTACTAGAGTCTAAAACTCAAAAGGCAGCAACTCACATATGACTCTTGAGGTTCATGGGCGGCGGTAGTAACCTATCATCACTCCTCCTATCATCAACCTATCGTGACTCGGGTGTTAAAAAATGTAAATACTAAAATTATTAACACAACAATAATACAGTCTACTAACCTTGCCGTCATACTGCCCTTCATCCATGGCGAGTATAACTTCAGGCGCCATCCAATAAGGCGTGCCCACGAAGCTGTTAGCCGGACACTTGATACTGGCACTACCAAAATCTGCTAACTTAACAGTTCCATTCTCGGTGAGCAAGATGTTACCCGCCTTGATGTCCCGATGGATTCTACCTAAGCTGTGCAAATATGACAACCCGCAAACGACACCTTCACATATCGCAGCGATTTCTTCCTCGCGTAACGGCCGCTTGTGTACCTGCAGACAACAGTACAACCTGATAAGATTAACTGCTTTATAACCATCTTTCATTATAACGCAACTTTCAATAATAATAACTTCACACATCTCACACGCGGCCGTCTGATTCCAAACTAGGCAGAGCTTAAATATTTCTAAATACATTCATATTATAGATAAATTGCACCCAGAAAATCATAAAAAAAATAAATCATCGTGCTTATCACACAATTATTTGTCCTTCGTGGGAATCGAACCCGACTTAGCAGTCAGGTTCACTGACCACTAGATCAACAGGCCCGTCAAGTATTTAACTTGTATAGGGATTACGTCGGTGCTTTAATATAGGTTTGAAGAACAACAAGCCATTACATAGATAACTGTTTTTGTACAAGAAAAAAGGACATAATTATAAAGCAATTTGTTTACATTTGAATGAGTCTTATTATCTAGGGACAGTTACACAAAGAAAGTAAAACTAGTTATATTAAATAGTTGTACAATTTGCGGCCTTATCGTGATGTGCGATCTCTTCCAAGCAACCGCTGGATGGAGAAGGAAATTAGGATGGCATGGGGAGTTGCAATTTTACATTACAATACGATAGTATAGGTACAAAACAAGATATGACTAACAAACTCATATAATTACTTACATAGCATACTGACTACACACATACACTATTGGACACACAAATGCACTACTCAAGATAGGATACATTTAAATACAAGTATAAGATGTGGGTACACACAGGATTTAAGGACATCAGAGTCCTCTCATCGCTCAACAATTTAGAAAATGCTCCTTCAATAATTTTTTAAAGTTAGCGAGTGTTTGTGCTCGTCTGATTTGGCAGTGGTAATGCATTCCACAAAGTATGGCTTGCACAGAAATGACTTGTCCATCAAAGTGGTAGAATATCTCGGGATTTTTAAAGTCAAGTTCTCTGACGATCATAGCAACCTAGAGTGCGTATCATGTATGAATTTGAAGCGTTCTTTTAAATAAAGGGGAGAGTTGGGATAATGGTGAAAGGATATGGATATTCCGGCGAAAACGAACGAGTAACTAGTTGAGCTCACTCCGTTATTCAGAAACATGGTCAAATTTGCGCAAACCAAAAATGTGCCTAATGCAAAAGTTTTGAAGCCGCTCAACCTTATTAAGTTGGTTCTCGGTGAGATCAGGATAGCTGCTGGATCTGCGTAATCGAGGATTTGGAGAAGCAGGGATTATGCAAACGCAGTTTTGGTGGTAATTGGTAAGAAGTTACGCAGCCTTCTCAGAAATTTTTTTTTGACTTCTTGTAGTTTTTTGGGACAAGTTTTTTGACGGTTTTCGAAATCGGGACTAGGGCTCCCTCGCAGAATATTTGGGACTGATGTGACCAATCGACTTTAGATAGAGAGAAGACCTAGTGCTACCGATTACGGTCGCTTGTGTTTTCGATGGGTTTACGTTTAACCCATGCTGCCTGCTCTATACACAAATCTGCTCAATATCCCTGTATATTATTGTGATTGCTGTTCCTAGTTGTTCCACGGGTGCTTGAGTATAGATCTGAAATCGTCTGCATAAAGGTGGTAAGAGGAAGCTAGTGTTGGAAATCCATTGTGATATGAAAGTTTATTTTGTACATATATCATAACATATTCATTTGCAGACAGATTAATTAGTACTGTGAAGTTTACAGATCGATTGTTTAGAACCTCAGGTCAGAACGGCGTTTCTGGTTACGATATTACAGTTACCTACTTGGCGATATCTAAGGTACTCAGACAGGTCTAATTGTTACCCGCAATACATATAATTATTTAATATATATCTATACTAATTATAAAGCTGAAGAGTTTGTTTGTTTGTTTGTTTGAACGCGCTAATCTCAGGAACTACTGGTCCGATTTGAAAAATTCTTTCAGTGTTAGATAGCCCATTTATCGAGGAAGGCTATAGGCTATATATTATCACGCTAAGACCAATAGGAGCGGAGCACCAATGAAGAATGTTTCAAAAACGGAGAATATTTATTACTATTGAGAGACGCAGACGAAGTTGCGCGGGTCAGCTAGTATAATATAGTTGCCAATATATTCTTTGTATCCTTCTTATGCAAGTAAATAATGTGCATAAAACAAGTCGAGCAGATTATTCGCTGATTTTCAGACGCGCCGTCACAGATCATGCGTCGAAACTTAGCTATTTAGTAAATATGTGTCACAAATTAATACCAGTTGCAACAGGCTTCTAAGAAATACTGACTAAGTATCACCACCAAAATGTACTATAATATCCTTACTGTGTTCCAAGCAGTGTTATTGTTAAAAAAAAACACAAGCTGTCTTTTGACTCGACTGTATTTTATCTTTTCGTTGCTTGTTGACTTTATCAGTTTGGTATGATTTCAATAAAATACTCGTACTCGTGTATATTTGTGATATCAATTGGTATTCTGAGATATTTATGTGTTATGAATAATTGTGACGTATTTTTCTTCAGTGCTTTTATAGTCCAGATTTGATCGATAACTTACGCACTGAATTATCATAAAAGTACATCAACCAGGTCACGTCAGACAATTAATCAGTTTACTTTTATATATATGTAGGTGTTTTTTTTTAAATAATAATTAGTTAGGTTGGTTTTTACATGAAGGTTGTTTTCACATCACAGAACTACCGTTTAGCACCATTACTAGTGTAGTGAGAGATACTGTCCCGTTTTATTGTTCTACGAAAAACCCGTAACGTATCAAGAGAAGTTCTCAAAATGTCAAGTACTACCGAGTTCCATCAGTGCGCCTATAAATTAATTCTAAGCCAGAAGCAAGCGTTAGTCGCAAATTAAATATATTATGATAGAATGTCATATTGTTTCCTGTGTTTGTCGTACAATCTAACTTCCGACATCGTGAATCGATTGGGTCATTGCTTTCTTATTTTGTTGAATGACGAATGTTGTTTATCCTTAGTCCTTTTGTGATTCTAGTGAATCATGTCAATGTTGTTTTATTAGATTTCCCTTCAATTAAGAAGTTTGCATTGCAGTTATAGTATAGCGTACCTACTGTAAATTATTATTAAATCTTATTTTTTTTCAAACATTTACCTACGGACTGGTGATGATAAACTAGGCAGCCTTAGTTTTTGAAAAGGCGATATCACCTAAAAACACATTAGTAATTATTAGCAAGTAGAAAGGTAGGAGAGGACACGTCAAACAAGAAAGGATAATAGAGGACTTTTAAAAGTTATGTTTGTTTTTAACAAGATACCTTATATCTGACAGGGAAGTATTTTAAAGGTAGGTCTTAAGCTTCAGCTAAAAATTGACAGCAAACTGATATAACAGATGAAAAATTCATGCATTACATTAAAATACCAAAATTCAAAAGGAAATTTTACCTATCCTAGTAAATATGTAATTGTAAATGTAAGTAACTATGTATAGTCTAAGTAACTTAAACTCTTAATAAGGCGTCGACCTTATTAAGAGACAGCGTAAAGTTAAACCTATGAAATGTCACTTACGTAGTCTTATTCTAGAGGAATTGTTTTATGTTTCGTGTTTTTTTTTATTATTCTAGGAACTAAGTTCGTATATATCTCCGATTGCCGATTGCACTTCGTCATTCGTTTTTATTAAAAGTAATGTATTTATACGTCAACATTATTAACACAATATTACTGCTATCTGTTTCAAAGTGATTCATGGTTTTACGATCAATCATTAGTGTTGCGTTTTTAACATTATCTTTTAAATTTTATCAGTTGTCTTGCGATTTGAATTCTTCGAAATATATGTTTCCCGTAAATTTGTGAATATACAAATTTCCTTAAGTCAGATTCCTATTCGTTCTAGTAAATTGTCGCATCAATGACAACGTATATGCTATTGCAATACTACGACCTATTGTTATTTTATTTTCAAATATAATTGGAGGTAAAAATCATAAAAAATCTTTACAATAGAATCTTAATTTTAAGATATTATATAAAATATATTTAATGTTCATATCAGGTATTTCTCCGTACAACTAGCCGTATCTCGCAATTTTACCTGCCTAGCAATAATCCGTTTCCTGGCAGGCTGCTCGCTCTGTGTGAACCCACACAGAGCGAGCAGCCTGCCAAGAAACTGTCCCCGAACGAGCGCGGCAGCATCGGTATCATCGTGAGGCTGCTGCTCGCAGCAAATCCGGGCCATTTCATTTGTTCGTTCGTTCAGTTGAGAGTTAAGACATCATGGCAGAAAAATGCAGTATCTCTTTTACATTTCAAAACAATCTATACCAAAGATGGATATGCTCGATCGAGGCACGAAATAAAACACGCGTGCACCAAGAGTGCGCGCGACAAATGACCGAGGCGCCTTTGAGCAATACAAAACTCAGTTATTATTATTTATGACATTCGGTGGATCGGCCACACAGGCTGAGCAGCTTAGCTCTTTAGGTTTATTGTATAGTATTATAGGTTTGGTGCCAGTTGCCCCATCGCCATGTATCCCGTTATGTAGTCCCCATGTGTAGTAAACCCTTTCTTAAAACATGATCGGGTGATAATAATACCCTAATAGTATCACAAGGCGGGATCAAACACCAGGACAAATTGAATAAATATTCATATCAGACAAGTCGTTTTTATTTTGTTAGTCGTAGTTTGTTGGTAGTTAGTATTAATTTTGAATAATTTGAGTCAATTTTTTTCTATATTCCTACGCAAACTGGTAATTAATCAAGCTCGAAATGGTTAGACGAGACTAGGATTACAACATTATTAGGAACTTTGTTACAGATCGAAGGTTTAAGGAAATGAGAACAGTTATGACAATATTTTGGGAACGCCATTATCGCGGCGGTAAGACCCGTTATGGAGGATTGGCTCGAAGGGCATCACGGCATTATACCGGTTGACGCAGGTGATCACCGGGAAAGGATGCTTCGGATATCACCTGTGTCTGATCCGCAAGGAGCCAACGCCTGATTGCCACCACTGCGATGGCCGGACCGTGGACACGGCGCTCCACACGCTGGCAGAATGCCCGGCGTGGGTGGAACAGAGGCGTTGCCTCGTGGCGGCCATCGGAGATGGAATTCTCTCGCTCGGTAACATGATTGCCGCCATGGTACGGAGCGAGAGTTTGTGGAACGCCGCCGTCTCCTTCTGCGAGAAAGTTATGCTTGCAAAGGAGATGGCCGAGCGGGACCGGGAGAGGTTTAGAACTCTCCCGGTGCGCCAGGGCCGGCAACGCCAGGACGGAGGTCGCAGAATGACCTATGTACTTAATAAGCGTAGGCCTAGGGGTGGTAGGTGAGGCCATCTGTCACCCTAGCAGAAGCAGGTCGGGGTGGTGGCGAGACGCGCTGCGGAGCGCGCGCGCCCTTTCGGGAGCACAAAGGGGATACAGGGGTTTCCACACAGGAGGGGTCATTTACACGCCGTCGATGGCTTGAGGTACGTCGGGGTATCAGGGGTTTCCTTCCTAGGGTGCACCTGGTTCCCCGGCAACTGGTACCTAAGACGGCGTGCAGTTTTTGGTCGGTTCGAGTCCGACATAACCACCGGGTGTCGGTGGGTTGGTTTGGGTGGTGTCCGAAGGGATTTCCGCACAGGAAAAAAAAGGTTTGACAATATTTGTCTGTAATTTTCGGATTTTCTTATTACTAATAAATAAATTAGGTACATCACCTCTATAATATCTGATGCAGACCCCACACAATACTCCATGACAAGCCATGCCGTATGTTCGCGTTTGTAGCATCCCTTGTATTCGATGGTGTTTGGGTGGTCCAATTGCTTCAGGAATCTAAACAAAAGGATAAATTTGAGTAAACTGTAAGAGAAGAAAGTACTTATAATTGTTGAACTGACAACTACATTAATGACTAATTCAGGTGTTTTTAAATTAACTACATTCATTGACAGTAAGCTTCATAATAAATACTGTTCTAATCTTAACAGTACAAATCAAACATATTTTATCATTTGCAGGTGGACCAAACGCAAGTTACAGCTATAGTTTACAATGTGACTGATAGCGTAGAGTAAGTGGTTGCCACGCCGCTTCCTACTGCGCCGAGTGTTGTGGGTTCGATTCCCACATGGGACACCACTTTGTGTGATCCGCAAATTGTTGTTCTGGGTTTTCTTTGTCAAAGTTACATGTGTGTTTGTAAAGTCCCTCATGACACAGGATATATATACCTTATGCGGGAATTGTCTTCTATAAAAAGAAAGAGAAAGTTTACAATGTACGCGAGCCTGGCAACAATCTCAAAAATAGTGTTGCTGTGGTCCTACACTTCGTACCGTAAAAGTGGTGGGCCTTGTAACATTGGCTAAAATGTAGTTTTTATCTCTTTTAAAGGAGTAAAATACTCAATACTGAAACAGTGTTTTTGACTTGGAGCTGTGATCGAAACTAACTCCCTCGCAAATACTAAGTTGATTAGAAAAATTGTCCATTAAAATTAAAACTAGGACAATAATTGAAAATTATTTTATTTTAGACGCTCATAATAAATAACATTACAATTTTCAAATAAAAAATATTTATAACAAACACAACAAACAATGACCTACAAAAGTTTATGAAATATATTATTACACCAACATTGAATTAAATTCATGGCTTCAATACCTACATATTGTAATGTTACCAGTTAGAATTACCTCTAAGAATATATAAAAATAATTCGTTTTAGTTAAAAGTTAGTTGAAATTATTGTAAAATAATATTATGGATGGGCATTGTATGTTTCACTACCCCTATTCAACCCATGTGTCATAACAAAGCAAGAACTTGCCCACTAAGAAAGCAAACTATGCAGGACAACAGCAAAGAGAAGGAAAACTTGACACAAACCCTGTAAAAGTCCATCTGGCCATGGTGATATAGTTGGCCAAAACCTTCTTTCTAACTGAAGGTCCATGTCCAGTAGTGGGTATTACCACCATTAGTCTACACAATTTGTGTTTTGAAAGTTGTGGTTGAATAATGTTGAGGATCTAGGGATATTACTACAGTCAAAAAGGCAAGTCCAGCTGATATTTCAATGATCAAGAAAATTGACACCAACATTACAGGTTGCTTTTCTATTCTATTATATTATACCTTTGATATTCGAGCATATGCAGTCTTGTAGAAACAGTTTATCACAATGAGTTTTAACTAAACATGTGGGCAACTATATCACACAATTTTTTAAATGTCAAAACAATACTTTAGTTTGCTTACATTTTTCTGATACTCTTACATGAAAATTATTGGAATGCTACTAAGATCTTTATATTTTCGGATACATATCTTATAGTTTTTCTTCCAACATTATGTTTCCTACAGACTTACATTTTCTTTCACAATGGAAGTTTTAAGATGCTTTTTCTTCACACCTTTTCAATACACCTACACAGTGATAACTGCTTTTTTTTATGGTATAAGAGGGCAAACAAGCAGATGGCAAGCAACCACCGCCGCCTATGGACACTCGCAACTCAAGTCACAAGCGGGAGGTTGGATTTGGGCTCCGGTAACCTCACTCACTCAGTGAAAGGTAACGAAAGAATTGCTCAACACCGGTTTTCTTTGAGGCTGTGGTATCACTCCGGTCGTTTGTGCGGAAGCATGGCTCTTTGTGCTGATAATTGAATAGTTGGTAGAAAACCATGCAGGAATGTAATATCCTTAAGAAAAGCAATATTCTGACTTATACATGCAATATTAGTAAAAATATTATAAAAGCAACTCACTTAATTTCTTTCAATATATCCTGCCACTTCTCTTCACTCTGCTTTCCTACATATGACATTTTTTTAATTGCCACAATCTCTTTGGTGAGATTGCAGCGAGCATAATAAACCGCCCCAAAAGACCCATGTCCAATCTCACGAAGATCTTCAAAGATCTTCTCTGGATCATGTCTACTAAATAACTCGGCAATATCTGGGTCTTTGAGACTGCCAGGTCGTGGCATTTTTAACTGCAAGAAAGAAAAATAATTAAAAAGGCTGAAACACCATTTAGCTTCAAATAATAGTGTGTTGTTATGTAATTTGGCCATACATAAAGAAAAAGAAAATTCCAATGGATTTTAGAGGATTCATCAAGGAGTTACAACTCAGCAAAATATTGGCAGATATAATCTATTAGCGACATGAACTAATTTACTAACATTGTTCTCTGAAAGTTTTACCATCAAGATTAATGTGATTTGTCAACATAAAAACTATAAATTAAATTTGGAATTTGTAAACTGAGGATTAAAAAATAAATTTACAATTTCCTGTTTATGGTCAAAGCTAAAGGTTTTAAGACATTAAGATAGCTAAGTAATAATAATAAATGTATATCAGTGTCAAAATATAGCTGTAAGGAAAGAAGGCAATGGAATTTTTTTTAGCAAATAATGCAGTCACTGATCTCAGCACCATATTATATTTACATAATAGTGCCTACAAACTTATTAAATCAAGTCTGTGACCTTTTAACCTAAAACTTAACTCATATAAATCATTTAAAGTTTTAAGCAAGAATAGAACAGTAATATATTATTTGTAGAGAAAAGTAGAGATATTCTTCCATTCAAATCTTTGATATCCTTAATCACTAATGTTAAGAATTATCTATCAATTAATTACAGGACTTCATTAGAAATTACCTATTGCTAAATTATTTGTAATTTAGCAATAGCTAATTAATTGATCAGTATCACACTAATTTGAGGTATGCTAATAAGCCTACTCATATTTGTATTAAAGATAGGTTACACTATATTAATGAAAATTAGACAATAATGCAATAACTTGGTTCTACTCAATTATACACTATTTAGCACCATTTGAGTAAAACTGAAGTAATTATGGATATAAAGATTGCAATGTTGGTCCATGGTAACACTTCATCTGATTACAATAAACCAAACACATGATATGTGGATCAGCTAAGAACAATGAACACAAAACAGAAGTACAAACACTTCATTAATTCTATCTGAGAATAATAAAGTACTAGTTATTACAACTGAATGCAAAATATAGTTTGATATTGTAGCCATAAAAATTAATGTCAGGAAAAATCAATGTCAAAGAAATGATGTGTAATTTCAGAAAGGTACCTACTGCTTGAGCCAGCTGTGAGCCGGCAGCGTCCGTCAGTTAATTAGAGCACTCCTGTCGGCTCGGGCCATCCTCCGCACCACCCGCTATCTGCAACAGTCGGAAACGCCACCGATAACACCAACCACGCCGAAATACACTATTCCACATTCACTACACTCGTTTACATCTGGTTTAAATATGGCACAGAGTATTGCCTACAGCGCACATCGTCGATTATCAATTTGTCAGTTCGATTTAACACTATTAACTTAATTAATGCGAGGTCCAGATAAACGGCGCCGCAACCCACCTCGATGCAACCATCGAGTCTGGGCATCTGTCAATGCACTTAATCACATACTGGTACCTCTACAAGTGCGTTTCACATCCACTGTTATCGGTAATTATCAATCACATCCCGTTGACGAGGGTGAAAATTGAAAATATTGCGAAATACTTGGCACTTACATACAAAATTTCGCTTCAAAATGGCGTTGGGGTATCGTGCGCAATGATAGTTTTTTGTTTCATAAGGCACACCAGTTACGGTTTCCCATCACTTTCAGAACTCACTTGGTAATCATTAGGTCACTATTTATTTATCTAACGCTTTTCTTCAAGAACTTTGTCGAAATTTTTATGAAAATTATTTACAACTTTCCCGTATTGAGACATGCATAGACACACATTTGGACACACACAGATAAATATAATATATAGTTAAACTTTGAATCGATTATTATATTCGAAACCAATTTTGTACTCCATGCGATTTATCACATTTTAGTCGATTAATTTTTTGTTATTCAGTTTTGTTAATATTAGGTAAAATTTTAATTTAATAGTATCAATACATTCTGTAGTTTTACTCTTTATTTGGCAACGCGTTTGTGACTCCTGAGTTGTATCGTTCATCGGCGACAATGGTCACTTTCCATCAGGTGACGCGTCTGCTCGTCTGCCTTCTCTAACATTTCATTCGTTTTTTTTGTTATGAATAAATTATGTAGGTATCTTTTTTACGTTTGTAGATTTGTACTAAGGTTAGGCGGTCTCGACTCTCGGTTCTCCGGCTTAGGTCGTTAGCTGCAAGAAATAAAACCAAAAAGCCATTAATGATTTAAAAATGGGAAAATGAATAAATGGAAAGCTACAAATATTTATATCCCATTCCAACCTGCCTATGCAAAAAATATATATTCTTCATAATACTTTTAAGCTATTCCGAAAAACACATTTAGTAGCAAGATTGTCCGCAAGATGAAAATAAAATGATGTTTACAGAGCACGAGAACACTGTGATTTAGTAAATTTATGTTATTTTTTAAAAGGAAAGGTTGAGTCCAAGAAAAGCCAAGCAGAGAATTTGTTAGTAGGGTTAACAAGATTATAATAATTTGACTATCTTAATTACTATATTACATTCCGATTACAGAATTAAAGAGGAGGTAAAGTGAATGATTCAACTCAAGGAATGAAAATGTACATGAATTTTCGTATAACTTTTATTCCAGATCATTTTGCAGATACTGATCACCTATTACATACCTTCGAAATAATACAACCAATAAATACTTAAAATAACGACAAGTATTATTCTAGAAATGGAATACTATATTCTATAATACAGTGATAGGCGTTTTTTTCATCTAGCTTTGGTTCTCTAGAAAGTTGAGTTTTCCCAACATCTCACAAACCTCCAGATCAGTGCCGCAGATTTAGAAAGATGTAATTACACAACCTATCCCCCAGAAATGATATTGTGCGATCTAAACAACTCTTAAACGATAACCGTCACCTTAATTCTTGTAAAAAGTTGTTGTTCTGTGTCATCTGTGTTAGCAACTAGCGTAGTAGGTAATGCCCAATTACAACAAGTTCCTTGCTACTTAGACGTGCTGAGATAAAGCTAACCCTAGGCACAAATCGTTTCTTTTAAAATTTGCGGTCTTAGGGTTGCTCTCCCAAGTAGAGCTAATAAGTACAACACTTTTTATGGTGGGTGGATGAAGTTGCGCCATATTTTAGAAACATTTGTCTTCAAGTTGACTATATTTCCTATCTAGTGTTCTTTCACTTTACAACTTCTCCTTCTTCGCAATGCACTATACGACATTGCAGTTCATAATATTTTTTAATTTTTTTATTTGGGGTACAAATGTGTACATTAGTAATTTAGTTAACGAAATGCCAATAACAAGCGGAAGCTGGAAAACAAGAAACATTATAATATTGGAAACAGATACACAAGACACATTCTACTTAAGTTAAATTCTAATTAAATGATTAAAAATGTAAATAAATGAAAACACATGCAGAGCCAAGAGTCACAATTCACACTGTAGTAATTAAGGTAACACTATCAACAAATCTGATAGTTAGATATGATCTAGCACTACCATTATTGTACTAAGAAGATCGAAACCACTGTCACTATTTAGTTTGTTCAATCCAGTGAAAAATCTAGGCAGGTAGCCATTTTTTTCTATCGTTGGTGTGACTCGACGGAAGATAAAGTAAAGAATTGTGACGCAACATTCCAACGGGTATTCTTAACCTAATCATACTGAGTAGATTAGGGCAATCGATCTTACCCTGAGCCAGACTGAGCAGGAATTCTAGTTCTGAAATATTACGCCTAATGTACAAAGGTAGAAGATGTAATATTATGGCACACAGCGCTGCTCATAATTATATGTAAGATCTACCAAGTGGCAAAATTTAAATTTGAAACCTAAGTGTCTTTTGTATTTTCTCAATTTATAATTGTAGATGCACCATGGTAGGTCACTAACTAGAGAACTTGGTATCAAAACAGTGAAAGAACAAATAAAGAATAAATAATTAATAATCATTGTGACAATATTGCTGAATGTGACCTAGACAGATTGAAAAACACATGCCTATCAAATGAAAGTCTGTCATGCACCACACCCAGACACAGTTTTCCTCTCCAATATATGACCTTTAATGACATCATTAGAATGGAGTATTTGACGCTTACGTGTGAAGCTCATGGAGATTTGAACATGGATTGGATTGGACATTTGGAACCATTGAGGCCAAAGTTATTATAGTAGCAGTCTGTGTACAGTCGCTGCAGGTCTTCTTACAATAATTTTGCATCATTGAAGTTAACTTCACTGATGCAAAATAACTGTAACGTGTGTAATGATGCATAAAACAGTAACCAATGTCGTTAATAAAAATAAGAGCGGGCCTAACAGAGAACCTTGAGAAACTCCAGACTGTATATTAATCCATGATGTAGTGTAACAATTCAACATTTCATCTTATCTTCTGAACAGGTCTCAGGCAGTAGTGCCTGAGACCTGTTCAGAAGATAAGATGAAACCAGCTTTATAGTTTACCATGGATACCAAGATCTAGAAGTTTTATACGTAACAGTTTTTAGTCTATACGATCCAAAGCTTTACTATAGTTAGTATATACTACATCGACTTGATTGCCACTGTCCATGTTGCTGGTTAAGTATACATTAAATACCACCAGATTAGTAGCAATCGACTAACCCTTTAAGAAACTATGTTGTTCTGGAATAAACACAGATTTAATTGCTACATGTAGTTGACTGAAAACAATAACAATCAAGTAATCTTGCATTTTATAATTAGCAATTTCACTCTTCGAGCCTTTTAGTATGGGTGTGACAAGTGCAGATTTCCATGTGGAGGGCATGACAGCTTCATTCAGTGAACGCCGAAAGAGCAGAATAATCGGAGTAGACAATTCATTGGCACAGGATATCAAAAAGGTAGCCGGTACTGTATCCGGCTTTAGATACATCAAGGCCTTTTGTTCAACGGTGGAGATGTCAAAAGCTTGACCAACATTTAGTGGAAAACTAAGCAGTGAGCAAGTAGTAGTGTTGTCATTAGAAAGGAAATTCGATGAAAAGTATTCCGAGAAGAGCTCTCTAATACCTGCTCGATTGTCACTAAAACGGTCAGCAAAGGTCATCGGACAATTACTATTTTCTCGTTTGCTCTTGACATGTGACCAGAAAAGCTTAGGGTTGTTGTTATGGAATCATCATTTTTCTCATTATAATTTTTGTCACAAACCTCTTCCAGTTATTTCACTCTATTTAGAAAGCAAATTAAAGTTGTATGAACCAGATCGGTTGTTATAAGTTTATTTTATTTGAAATACTTAAATTTCTCTTTTATACACTTAATAAAAGCAGAATTGTGTACCACAGTGGATTATTTGTATTTTTGATTAAACCTATTGGTACATATTTATTTCTCAATTGGTACAGAATTCTATGTAAACTGTTAACGGCGTCTTTTATACAGTCAGCACCAAGTACAATCAGCCAGTCGACATTAGAGAGTTGCGAATGTTGTCATAGTCAGCACGTTGATATAAGAATACATTACAGGGATAGCTTTAAAGTAACTCTGATATGAGAAATACTGGTCCAATGATCAAGCTCCTGTGGTAGGCCGCTACCTCTCACTCTACCTCTTTAACTTGGGTCCGAATAAGTTGAAACGGTGACAACATCTATACACAAAACTAAATCTAATATTTTTCCAATATTATTTTTGTGTGAGTTATATTAGACAAGACCACGTTCCCTTAAGGTACTAATAAAGTTATTGTGGTGAACGTTGTTTGTAACAGGCCCTTGAAGCCTATCGTCATGCAAAACTCAGGAAATATCATTCATATTAAAGTCTTCCACTACTAAGAAGTGTTCAGTTCAATAAGATTTTTTATAGAAATAAAATAGAATTTACAACACATTACATAGAAATAAACGAGGTAAACTACTACTAAAAGAATATAATATATAAATATTTTCTTTTAGTTCTGTCTCTCTTTACTGAGGCCCACAGTAAAGAGAAAACGAAAAGAAAAAAAATAATAACGAATAGAGATATTTTATTGTTTATGTCAATTTAAAAAAAGAAGTTAAGTCATAGACTAAAAACTAAAACAAACGCACGCACGCAAGTCTACTGTAACGTACGCCGGTTAATTTGCCGTTTCTTCTAAAGTTTTTATTGTTATAAAGGTATGTATTACAGAAAAGTGTTCTAAAGTTTTTACAAACTTTCTCATGTTGGAATTCTGATGGAACATACTATGAATTTTGCGAACTGTTAGCGACTTGAAAGGTATGCAGTCTTTTATCCTTGTACAAGCCAAAATGGCGGGACATGATGCTGATTTGTGTACTATTTGAATCTACTATTATTCTACATTTGGACATTGTTTAATTGAAGTTATAGTAATTTTGTTCAGTTTTAATCTTAAAAAAATATAAATTCCTATTATATCTAGTTGTTAGTTACTTTTTGCGGTAATATAACCTCATCACAAGATACTTCAAATCGTACTCGGGAACAGCTTGACAGCCAAATACGCGGTAAACGTAAACAAAAAAGTAAATCAATGCATGTAATGGTCTTATTGATTATTTAATAGAAAAGTAATAGGAACAATTTAACTGGCCTGGTGATCATGACTGCTAAACCAAAGGTCGTGGGTTCGATTATCATCTAGAAGAAATAATTTTGTGATCATTTGTTTGAGTGGTATGTTTCTCAGCGGTCTAGTTACGATAGTACAGGCTCTGTCAAGTTTGAGATCTGAAGGCTGTGTGTGAGATGTGTAAAGTTATTAGTATTAACTTGATTAACTATTAGACTTGCACTAGTCTTATTATAAGATGGTCATTAGGCCTGTCATCTTGTACAGATCTGAATGTTGGGTCTGAAACAAAACGAATGAGAGAGAGAGAGAGAAAGGTATTTATCTGAAATGCAAGTATTGAGATGTTTGGTGTGTGACTAGTAGTAAAGTAGGATTTTGAGTAGAGTAGGATTTACAAGATGATAAATGCTTAATTTAGAGGGAGCCTGATAATGGTCCTAGTACATGAGCAAAATGTGGTGATAATTAAATGTGCATGCAAGTTGGCAGCAATAAGGATTAAAAAGTTAATAAATTGTACAATTTTATTTGGGGTCTCCTAATAAACTTGAGACAAAAACAGACAGGTGCTGATTAATTAATAAAAAGAACTATATAGACTGCCTAAATGGGTAGTATACTGAACCAGTGACCAGCATGGGTGCAATGTAGATACTAATGTAGTGTCAGTGTGGAGTAATTAATTGTATTGTTAGTATGGTTAGACCATACTACAGGATATCTTTATATACAATATTTATAGGCACGTTCAGATGATATACGGCTCAAGGGCTGCTCTGCCTCCACATTTTAAATCTCTGGTAGCTTCCAAGATTCTTTGATCTACATTCAATGTACTACACAATGCATTAAAATAGCTTCGTAAAATATCCATTATTTTTTGTTCAAAAATGGTTACTGTGGGATATCCTTAGGAGATAGACAAATACTATCATAGATTTTTTTGTAGATCTTTAAGATATAGGATTCTGTACATTTACACAGTACAGTACATTTTTTTGATGCAATGTTGTGTCTCCTTATCCTTATTATAATAGGACATGAGGCCATGTATATATATATTTTTTTTAAGGCAGGTAGCTACACTTCTAAGAAGATACTTTCATCTACAGAAGGTATTCCATTATGCTTGCAGTTGTTTATATTACAGTTATTGAAGAGTTTATATAAGGTCCAATTCTTATGATTTAGGGTTAACATAATTATAGCTGTTAATCAAAAGCCTTTTTTTTCCTGATGCTAATTTCTTTATAATATTATGATATTCCAGAATAATGGCTGATAAAAAAAAAGATGAGCCTGAAGGAGAAGAAGAATTCTCAGTTGAGAAGGTATTAGACAGGCGTGTCAGAAATAACAAGGTAAGATAAACTTGTAATATGCAAGATCATGCCGTTCAGCAAAATATGAACTATCTTTTGGTATCTGTACTTTTTCCACTTGAATTTGTGATTGATAGAAATTAAATGTCCGTGTAGTGACGGATTAAGAATACGGAATGTCACTACCCCAATTCATCCCGTGGGTGTCGTAAGAGCCGACTAAGGGCGCAAAACAACGCAGGACACCAGCACTGCAAAAAGAAGGAAAACTTGACACAAACCCTATACCAACCCGCCTGGCCAGCGTGGTATAGTAGGCCAAAACCTTCTTTCTAAGGAGAGGCCTATGCCCAGCAGTGGACTATTAAAGGCTGTTGATGATGATGATGATGATGATGATGAGAAATTAAAATATTTTAAGTAAATAGAATTACATTGAAATAACATGAACCAAGAGGAAATCATGGTCACAGCAAATCACATGGTCGCCATATAATTAAGGCCTTATACTTTTACACAAAATTTAGTATTTGACAGATTTTGAATTGTAAATAACTTTAAGGTTATTATTATTTGTCCTGAATGGTAAAATGAAAGGAAAAGTATTCATAAATAAATAAAATCATTACAGGTTGAATATTACTTGAAATGGAAAGGATATAGTGATGAGGACAACACTTGGGAGCCTGAGGAGAATCTTGACTGTCCAGATCTCATTCAAGCTTTTGAAGAGGCCAGAAAAAAGAAAGAAGCAGGTGAGAAGAAGAAAGCAAGGAAAAAGAAAGAAACCTTTATTTGCACAGTGGCACACGGGTGGTTACTAGATTTAACAGTGGTGTATTGTTAAAGCTATATTCTGCCTGTATTAAGAATGCATTTGTTTTGTTATTAATAGTTAATGTTTGTATTTCAATGTAAATATTTATTTACATTGAAACACAAATATTAACTATTAATAATAAAACATCAAGATATATCCTAATTATATTAACTAATAAAATTAACGAAATGTCAAGAAATATCATTACATATTTAGCATAAAAATTATTATTCAATCACATATAAAATTTTACAAATGATCAGATACATTAGTTTTATACGGCATGAAATCATTCATCATAAAATAGCACTTATCCACTAGCCATTTTCTCAACTTAACTCTAAAATATTTAAATGGCAGTTCCCTAAGGCTCTAAGTAAGTTTATTAAAAAGTGATAGTTGAGTTGAGTGAAAGTTGTTCTACAGAATGCAATAATTGTTTTTAGTAGGATCTCTTGGTCTGTATTTAGTAACATGATCCCCCTTGAATTAAAAAAAAAAAATTATATTCAAGAACACATGCAGGTCAAAAACAGCAATTTAAAAAAAAACGGTTTATAAGAGTCGAGTAGACTTACTCCACAAAGAGCTCTTAAGCATTTCTTTTGCGCAATTAGTGCTTGATCAACATCAGTTGAATTCCCCCATATCTAAGGAGAGATTCACTACATGACTTTTATATGCTACACCTCTTCACCAGACAGGGTACGAAGTTTTTTTAAGGGCGTAGACAAATCTACTTAGTTTGAGGCAAACATCATTTATATATTGATTCCAGTTATAAAATCTATCCAGAGTTAAACCTAAGAATTTTATACTGTAAGCTTCTATAGTATCTTTTGCTATCTTTATGTTATTTTCAGTGTTTTTGACAGATTCACATTTAACTTATTTGCTTTTTACGATCCTAATACCAATTACTGTACTTCTTTAATTATTTTAGTTTCGTGAGATGTATCTTTATTCTTATCACTATTATAGCACTATTATAGACATATCATTTGCGAATAGAACACTATGACAATTAAAAAACAAACAACAAAATATAAAATATATAAATGGTTCAGTAAATGGTACTCTAACGAACTTGGATGAAAGGGCCAAGGTGACTGAATATACACCACATTATAGAAAGGTGTGATCTCATTTAAGGACATCTTGTCTATTAAGAAAAACGAAAACTGATTTCATAATTTTCAATCCAAAGGATCAATCAGTGCCATGCTAGTTTAAGGATTGGACTATTTCTTGTGTTTGAACTCTTCCTAAATTGCTAGTTCGATTTTGATAATTTACTATGTTATATGCGGTTCTCTGAATAATTTCGAAGTTCAGATTTTCATCTAGATTGAAATCATGCAAAATGTATTAGTAGATTAATCTATTTTTTTGGACCCATCATCAAGGTTATCTTTAGTAGGTAATAAGTAATACCTCTTAAATTTCATTTTAACATTTTCTTAAATAAATAATTGAATTAAATTTCAGAGGGGAAAACAGTAAAGGTGGACAAGGATCTTAAGAAACGTAAATCTTCAGCAGCAACGCCAGATCTAAAAGGGGCTAAAAAAGCTAAAACCGATGACAAGAAAGCTTCAGGATTTGATCGTGGCCTAGAACCAGAAAAAATTATTGGTCAGTATGTTATTTTAAATACAATTTAATCAATTTACACAGTTACTTTCTTGATCATGGGCACTTGAGTTGTTTTAAGAGGGAAATTTTTCTTAAAACTATAACTTGGATGACCTAAAGTAACGTCATAACTCCCTTGTTCTCTAAGTTTATGGAATCCGTAATCAACTGCCAGCTCCTCTGGTACTTAGAAAATCACCAGCTACTCAATGACCGACAATATGGTTTTCGCCGGGGTCGTTCAGCTGGTGATCTTCTCGTTTATCTAACACCGGTGGGCACAGGCGATCGAGACCAAGGGAGAGGCTTGTACCGTAAGCTTGGACATAGCGAAAGCCTTCGATCGGGTGTGGCATAGGGAGCTTCTCTCGAAGCACCCTTCCTATGGGCTTCCCGAGAAATAATGAATTATTATGTAACTGGGTTACCAGTTACCTTGCAGGTTGAAGCATTAAGGTCGTTATGTAAATGTAAATGCTGGTGTCCCGCAAGGCTGTGTGCTATCACCCACACTGTTTCTTCTGCATATCAATGATATGTTACGAACTAGTGGCATCCATTGTTATGCAGATGATAGCACGGGAGATGCCTTTTGTACCGGCCGTCCCAATATTTCTCGGGAAACGTCATCGAGAGTCGAATCGACCTTGTCTGATGTTGAAACTTCGTTAGCGGAGGTTTCAGCTTGGGGTCGACTGAATCTGGTCTATTTTAACCCAAAAAGGACACAGGTTTGGGCGTTCACCGCAAAAAATATACCGTTTGTCGTATCGGCTCGGTTCGAGAGCATCTCCTCCTCCTCCCTAACTGCCGCAGCCAGTATTGCAATCCTGGGCATCGAGATATCGGGCGAAGTCTAGTTTCACGGTCATTTAGAGGATAAGTTCAAATTGGCATCGAAGAAGCTCGGTGTACTGAACAGATCAAGCCAGTATTCCACGCCAGCCCATCGGCTCCAACTCTATAAGGTGCAAGTCCGACCGCATATGGAATACTGTTCTCATCTCTATGCAGGGACACCACAGTACCAGCTTCTCCCTTTGGCCCGAATCCAAAGAGCGACTCCAATCGTCGATAGCCAATATATTTGGACGGCCGGATGGCGTAGTGGTTTGTGTAACGGACTGCTATTCCAAAGATCGCGGGTTCGATTCCCGCTCAAGTCAAACATTTGTGTGCATGAACATTTAATGTTTGATTTGTTCTGAGTGTTTCTATGTATAATATGTATGTATTTACAAAAGAAAAGTATATATGTATTTATATCAGTTGTCTAGTACCCATAGTATACGCTCTTCTTTGATTGGGACTAGATGGTAGTTGTGTGAATGTGGTAGAATAATAAATTAATTGTATGACGTGTAATTTTACAACAAGTTATCGGCTTCGGTATTTTCGGACCGATACGACTTTCAAATTTTCAAGAAAAGAGCTTATTCCTTCCTCAAAGGCTGGCAACGCGCTTCTGACTCCTGAGTTGCAGTTGCATGGTTGCATGGTTAACTCTAGCATAATTTTGTATCCCACCAGTTTGACATGGCGCACACCTTTATGCGATTGGTCAACTGCCCTGTTAAAATTTACCTCAACGCCTTTCAAATGACCGATCAAAGCAACCAAGTAGGGTGGGGAAAAGCTACAGAAAAGGCTTGTACGATTTGCAGTGCGGAAATAGGTACAGCTAGGCACTTACTGACAGTTTGTAAGGCGCTATTAGACCGGGGTGATTATTCACCGTCATAACCCTATCATTACAAATCATTCGCGAAGCCTATCACTGGCGAGAGCGAAAAAAGGAATAACAACAAACATAAGGATCGAATTTGTAAAGGAGGGCTCAACAAAAAAGATTTCACAAAAGCCGAACTTAATTATAAATGTTATTATTATTAGTGACTGGACATTATTAGTGAACACGTATGAAAATCATTACAGAATACCGAAGGATATCTGTGCCTCGGCGTCCAGACCAGACATACTTCTTTATGCAAATTCAAATAAGCGTGTAGTACTAGTAGAACTCACGCTGCAGTGAGAACCGAACATACCTAAAGACCACGCTTTAAAAAGAAACAAGTACTTTGACTTAACCAACGAAGTAACTAAAAAGGATTATGTCGTTGCGTTGTATGCCGTGGAAGTAGTGGGTGCGAGGAGGTGATGAGTTACAGAGACAGACAACGAAAATCTTCAAAAAATGACATCAAATCAACCGCAATTGCTACCAGATTTGAAGTGTTCTTTGTTAGTATTGTTTGCAGTTGGTTCAACTCTTTTTAAAAGGGTTTATTTATTACAGTAATGAGGTGTAGGTATACAGTGAAGCTGCGGACTGTATAAACACAATATTCTTTATCCAACAGATATTATAATATTGATAAATTTTCTTTTCTTTTTGCTTCTTGACAAGAAAAATGTTGTAAAAACGTTGTGTTATCTAAACAGCCATCATTTATTTTAGCTATTATTTAACTTAAATTATTTTTATTTATTTATTACAGGAGCAACCGACAGCAGTGGTGAGCTGATGTTTCTAATGAAGTGGCAAGGCACAGACGAGGCGGATTTGGTCCCGGCGAAACAAGCGAATGTTAGGTGCCCGCAGGTCGTAATACAGTTTTATGAAGAAAGGCTCACGTGGCACACGCCTGCACCCGATGAAGCTGGCAATGATGACTAGAAATGGTTAGTTGTTTTACTCAACTGATTTACAAAAAAATATTAAATTAAAATTTAAGTAGTGTGGTCATGGTAAAATAATAGATATATAATTATGTTAAAATAAACGTAGTTAGTGGCATGTGGTAGTGATTACAAATTACTTAAATTGTTTAACAAAAGAGAGATGGATCTTTCTTTTACACAATTTGACGGTATTGTGTAGGGTCTAATCTACAGAGATTTATTGCGATAGCTTTAATATTGGCCCAAATCAAAAATATTGAAAAAAAATCTGTTATTGGTTTTTTAGTAAAACTTTTTATTAGAAGTTTTTTTTTTTGAACTATGAATGAGTTTTTTCTTAATATCAGTACATATTTATGTTATTGCACAGTTAATTGACATATTTCTTCACCAACTGGCTCAATGGTGCTGCACAAGGGTATGGTTTCTTTTTTGTTTACTTTCAGTACAGTAACAGTAAACAGGTAAATATGACTATAATGAAAACTACGAATTTTCACGAGTTTCTTTTGTTTGCAGGTAATCCAGTTCCACATGAGTTGTCTTCGCAATCTGATAATTACAATTTTATGATAAGAAAGGAAAATACGGTTTTCCTAATCATTTTGTTCATTAAAAACTCGTTCATTCAAGCAAAATTCCATTTATTAGACAAGTGTAACATAGTACTTAGGGTTATGCTGTAGATAATTGATTGTGGATGAACTGACATCGACCGTCGCGCAACTTTATGTAATGCAATCGCCAATACTGGCATGCATGCAATACTGGGTCGTGCTTGACTAGACGGCAGCACTTTCCGTTACCATACCCTCCGGTGATCGGTTCTCGCCAGTCGGTGACAGTCATCCCTTATATATTACTACTAAAGGTGTTACGATTATTTTTGTACTTTTATGTATAAAATATGGTATGTAATGGTGTTACATAGTTATTTTAAAATGTGAAACTGACATTCTCTTATTTGTTGGGGTTATGTTAGTGTTAAATGTGAATTCCACTTTTTTAATTTATATATAACAAAATTTCTCATTCCGTTGACCAGGTTGATAGATTAGATAGATTATTAAACAACCTTGCAAATCTCCAGAAGGTGAAGCATAGGCTAATTGATTAAGGACATGTGTAATATGTATAAAAGAGTGCTGTATTATCGATGGGTGTATGGGGTGGGGTCTGTCCCCCGCGGCGTCTCTGTTGTGACTGACTGGTTCAATAATTAGCCTAGTTTGTTACGAAGTTTCTTATCAGTCCGAAAATACGTCTAAATAGTTTTCTTTATGAAACTTCACTACTATCCTGTGATTTAGGGAGTTTAGTCACTTTTGTTTAAATATAGAATGACATACTGTATATTACCACTGAAATGTTTTTTGTGTTAGTGATCTTAATACATGACTATTGTAATGGTAAAATATCAAATGCAACATTTTCGAAATACATTTTAAAAAGGTTAAAGATACATAGAGAAATATTTCTTTATTTTGGAAAAGAAATAAAACTTAATAAAATTTTATTGGTAGTGTAAAATGAAATATTGAAGCATGACCAGTGTTTTCTGTAATATCTTTTATATTGTCATTTAAGATAATATAAGAACCCGCAATATTTGTAAGCAGATGTAAGTTAGTACAATAAACAAACATAATATTAATTATGTTTAACTAAATACATTGTCTTATTATATGCAATGCAGCTTATTACATAACACGATACTATACAATGTTCAAATACAACATACAATGTTCACTTTTATCACGACTTATACAATATATAACAAAAGAAACTTCGGCCATTTTTCGCAAGGAACGTATCCTTTGCATTTCTCGCGGTGCGGTGTTCCTTCCTTTGAAAATGCATAGAAAAAGGAGGTAGAGACAGTCACGGATTTCCCCCAAGGCCCAGTAGGCCCGGGCCTAGGGCGTAAGGGGAAATCCGCCACTGTCTCCCAAGCATCGTTACAATAAACATTCACTGACAAGAGAGACAAGAAATAACTAAAAATACAAAATAATCGATGCGAGTACCAAAGAAAATCATTTAATTATTATTTATATAACGGATATAGCACGCGCCACATAACTCTGCGTCAATGAAGTTTGCTGCTAACCGAATGTTAAATTAAATTTATTTAATTCAGAATTGTAACTAATATAAAATGTACATGTGTATCTATTTCCGAACGTTTACGTTAATATTTCAAATACTGTAGTGGCAAAAAAGTAAAAGATATCACGCTTTTAACGAATACGTTATCAAAGAATAGACAGTTCTAGAATTATGTTCAAAACTTAGTCTATTAAAGTGGCAAATTACGAAAATAATACCTATAATAATGTGAAGTAGTTCGGAGTTTTAAAAGTAGGAAATCCACTTACAAACATAAACAAGGAAAATAACAATATTAACAGTTTTTTTTAACAATTATATTTAATATTAATACTTAATGTGTTAGAGCGAGATGCACTACTGACCTTGCAGCGGTAGCGGTGCAACGCGTCGGCGGCCAAGTGCCCACCCCCCCCGTCTTTCCGATGCGCAGAAATTACCCCTCTGATACCTAAAATATCATTTTGCTGCGCTCCTCTCGCGAAATTCGTTGACGCAGAGTTATATGGCGCGTACTATAATAAGCATGTTTACTGAGCAATAGTGTTGTTATGAAAACGAACCTATCTATGTAAAAATGGAACTTGCAGCACGTGAGGAGACGCGGGTCAAATTTAATTAGTACTACTCTATACTACTATTACTCGATACTACTAGCATTATCTTACTTTCGCGTAGCGCTGAGTACGATCTGTGGTTAGCTAAACACGTTTATTTTACCATGAAAATATCTTTTTATGACAGTGAGATCCAGAGTTGATCGGAACTGAATTATGACCAAACTTAGAGGGCCTCCAATAATTACGTGAGAGGTTTTCGGCGATTTTCAGACCCCCCTTGCTCCTCTTGAGATTTGATTCAACCCCCTCCTCCATCCCCCAATCTCACGTAACATTTTAAAAAATGTGTTTTCAGTGTAAAGTCGGATTTATTCTAATAGAAAATTGCTTAATATTTTTATTTAAGACTACTTCAGACTAGTATTTCGAATTGCTTCGAAAGTAGGCTAACTGGGGGGCTACTACTAGGCACAATTGAGGGTTGGCACATTCCAAGACCGACACTGATTCAAATGCCGTTTTAGGTACCTATTTATAAATAAAACATCATTAGTGTTAAATATTTTATTTTAAGAATAATAGGTACGTTTTAATACATTTCAGGTATTATTCATTTCTTCAAATGACTAAACAATGGTTTGTAAGTATTTTATTTATTTGAATCGACAAAAATACATAAACATGCCCTGTGCTCATTCAATTATAGTCAATCACATTTAACATAAGTAGAACTTGTAACATTTTTAATTAAAAAGAAATGAAGTCACGTAAAAAAGAAATGGAAAGGTAAACAACATAAGACGAACTATTTAAATCCAAACTTGGTGAGCTTGTGCTTACCCAAGCCAATTCAAGATAGTAACGTTATGTATGTAGTAGGCACTTAATGTTAATTTATTACATAAAAAATAAGTGTATTCGTATAAAAGCATTAGGTACAATAATTGATTCTCAAATAAAATACATAAGTCGAACCATAATTGCGTTTTCTGTTTGTTTACAGTTATTGACGAAAATAAGTAATACCTAGTAATTTCACAATTTGACCAACCAAATCCAGGCATCAAGTTTCAAGCACGTGTCTAAATTATACCCAGTTAACGTACATACAAATTACTTTCAACAGGTTATTGTACAATTATTTAAAGAGTTTTGAAATGTGACTAGAAGTTTGTGTAAATTATGTACAGAAATAAACAAAAAGTGCATCAAGAAAAGAAAAACCTTTACAAGAACAATGTAGGTACCTACTTAATCTAGACTACATTGGTATTGATACTTAGAAATACAGCAAATATTATTTTTTATGATATTAATATTAATTCAAGCATATAAAAGCAGATTAGTTTCTTAATAAGAATAATTTTCGTAGAAGAAGAAATAAGAATAATTTTCGTAGAAGGTAACCACTCCAACCAATTCAGGAAACGCTTGTGTCCTACATCACAAAAGACCACGTTTAGACAAACGTCCGCCTAGATAGCATGGCGTAGGGTCGCCAAAGCCTAATAGATGGGGAACACTAGTTGTACCACTGACGTTAATGTTTTTGGGCTACTTTAACCATCATACTGATCATGCACTTAAAAAGGTAATTTAAAAAATATTTAACTAAATAAAGTAATACAATAAAAGTGGTTAAATCTGTTCAATAATATTTTGTGAAATAAAATTTCCAGAATAATCATTGGCATTGCGAGATGTTTTTTTTATTGTTAGAATGCATAGTTTGTTTCTTTTTCCTTCTCTTCGATCTTGTTATAATAATGCATTTTTATTTCTACAGAAGGGTGTGACACAATTTGTTTCCATAATGGTTTATAATTTAAATCTCTACGGGAATCTAAAGCAATTTCAATAACTGCTAAATAACCTTGAATAAAATCTTTATCAGATAACATGCCTTCGTAAAATTCCAGCTTCGCATTTTCAGGCGTTATCATAAATAGGAATTGTTTTACACATTTCGAAAAGAGAACGTAAATACAAGGAAAATGTTCCTCGACATCTTTTTTCAGATATTTCAAACAAATTTTACCAAATTCAAGAGGAATAATATTATTATCTTTTGTGGAAGAATGTTCTTGTGTTAGTTTCGCGAATGCAACTGCAAGTTTCCATTTTGTTAAAATTATATAATTTTCTGTTACTGGTAAGTTCTTTTCTAATTCATCTAGAATCAGTGTAAACATTTTAAGCGGTATCAACATATTTTTGTCTGCCACATAGTCTTTGAGGTCGTAGCAAAGGCGTGTTAGCAATTGATAAAAATGTTTTCGTACAAAGTACGTTCCATTTGATTTTTCTCCCCATTTTTCCAGTGATCGGCGCATCAGCGGCGCAAAAACATTTTGGTATTTTTGAATTTGCTCGTCTTCAGTTTTAGAACACAAAAGATAGGCAGAAATTATTTGTACACCATCATCAGAGTGGTAAACATAAGATACATATTTATCATTATAGTTGAAAAACCTTTTGTCCAGATATTCCTGGATTAAAGATATGACGAAGTCTGAGCTTATCGTTTCCATTACAACCCTACTGTGTCCCGCTAGCTGAGTAGTAATCAATTCGTAATATGAACGATCATTCTCATTAAGTGTAGGGATAAGTTTTTGTAGGAAATTATAACCTTTAATTAGGTATTTAGCTCGGATACAGATTGGTACTTGGCTTACTTCAGAAAAGAGTTTGTATATATCTTTATCTTCAGTAAATGTTAAATTATCTATAAATATCTCCAATAATTCCCAGAGACTGGCAGAGTTTGTGGCCTCCTTTTCATTACATAAAAGTGTGTGAGTATATTTAAATATAATAGATCGAATAGTGGTGTTCTTTGATGACTTCCAACAATTTAAAAATAATGATTTAAGCTCTTCACGATCTAGTTTTTTAAACGCTAGTCTAATACCATGTTTTTGTAATGAAACTGGTGAGTCTAGTAGTTTCGGAACATATTGACGCACCACTGGAAATTTAACATTATAAAATATAGCGAGCAAAGATGGAAGGGCGAACTGCAGGTAATCGCCTTTAGCATATCCCAAAATTGCATCAGGAGGTGGTTGTGGGCGGGCTCGATGCATATTTTTAGCAATAAGCCGCTGCACACTGATAACACGATCATCCGCTTGTTTCCAGTCAATTTTAGCTTGAACTGGTTGATATTTTTCGATCATACTTAAAAACGGTTTCTGTGGCAAAATTGCAACAATACCTCGCACTGCGGCTTTTTGACTATTGGTGTCGTTAATATTGTTAAAGTAGAGTTCGATCCATTCTTGCGCTAGCGACTGTGGCCAGTAGATACGGAGTTTGGAAAGGAATCGTTTTAATGAGATAGTATCATCCTTTTTAATGATACCCATTTCTTCACTGTGACGTACGAGGAGCTGCGGCTCGTGTTTTAACGCATTCAGACAAACCTCTTCACAAGGACTTAAACCTATGGATTCTTCAAACATGTGTTTTCGCCAAGATTTATTGATGTTGTACAATTTTGACAAACTAGCCTTATACGAATGTTCCTTTTTTAATTGAATTAATTCTTTAATTCTATTTAATATTAAAGGATATTCTACCAATTGTTTATTCCAGTCCTTAAGCAACTTCAAAATGTTACTTAGTGTCTCAAGTGACTCTGTGAAATCAGTTTCCGTAGTAACTGAAGAACTCATTTTAGATTTTGACAATTCATATAAGTAATTAAAAACCTTATCTTTTTGAGCTTGGTTCATTTTAGTATTGTACGATTTTAAAGTGTTAAACATAAATTGTTTCTTTATTTCTTCAGGTGTTTCTTGATCATTGAGAGCGTTGTAAATAATTATAAAATTTAAGACTTCCGTATTGCATGAAAATGCAACAGGTGATGCTTTATATATATTTCTAGACTTAAAAACTTTGTTCAACATACTCCAGGTTTTATCATCGTATTTAGAAACATGTGTGTGTCTTATTATTTCAGTAACGAATTGTATTTTCGACGATTCGTCTTCATTCATATGTTTGTTTATATAGTAATTTAATATTGTTTGAATATGTTCTAAATTTTGTTTTGCGCATTTTACAAGCACAGTAAGCAATGCGAGTTTCTCTCTACTCTCTACGTTTTGAGATATCAATTTAGTTAGTTCATCAAACGCATTGTCGAACTGAGCAAACTGATACCAATCATACCATTTTTTATTGTTATTATAAATTATTACGCTATTGGTGTCCATGTTTGGTACTTCTTTTTCGACAATTTCATTTTCTCGCATGCACACCTTTTTAACGAAATCAAACTGTTCTTCTTTAGGTAATCTATAAATAAAATATTTTAACGTATCATATCGAAATAAACGACTTAGACCACGATATTGAAAGCTATCAACTTTTTTTTTCGCTTGCACTGTCAAAAAGTTTTTTATCTCATTTACTTCTAAATATTTCACAAATGTAGGTATGTGAATCACTTTTATATAATTATCAATTTTTTCAATTACTCTGGTTTTAGAGTGTTTCATAATTAAGTCTGTAGACTTATGATTTAGTTTAGGGTACTGGTACTCTGAGCTCTCCAAAATATCCATATATTTATCGGTATTGGTATTCAACAAAAAAGTTACTGCCTTTAAGTAATGACTTCCTGCATAGCTTGGGACATGCTTCATTATTATTTCAAATATTGTGATAGATTTCTCACAAAGTCGTTTAAATAAACGAAGTTTTATTTGGCTGAGCCCGGAAGGTTTGACATATTGTTCTATGTTATTTTCTATAAACGCAACTGAACAATATGGTAACCATTTACAAGCTTCGCTTTTATCTATTTCCTTTAAATAGAACTGTTCCGCACGGCTTTCGTCTCTTATATTACGCCGTATTTGTTTTTTAAACATAATTATGGATTTAGTATTCATGTTTGGGAATATTTCAGACTGCAGATAGTCGGGGTTGACGATGTTTGCGTACTCGTTGTCAGTGTAAAGCCACGTGCAACGTGTGAGTGCTCTCGCCACGTACAACATGTCCTCACCCTTAAGTACTTTAAGAATGTATTCGACATTCTTGTTCTGACAAGCTATGTCGATCTTTAGCAAATTACCTATATCGCTTTCACCTATGTCAGCTACGGAAAGTTGAGATTCTTGAAGCCTTTTGTTATAACTTCTGTGTTTCTCGCCAAGAGTTGCACCTTCCAGTTCCTGCGGCGCCATATCGGAAATCTGTAAAAATAAAAAAGAAAAATGAGAAAAAATAATAAAGAAAAGAGCGTACCTACTCCTTTCTCAAAGGCCGGCAACGCGCTTATGACTCCTAAGTTGCAGGCGTTCATGGGCGGTGGTTGTTGCTTTCCATTAGGTAACCCGTCTGCTCGTTTGCGCCCTCTTCCATGAAAAAGACAAGTTTGTTTCGACTCTCAATAAGTTTTCCCGAGAAATATTGACTAAATATAACTACTTAATATTTACGGTATAAAGGGCATCTCCGCATAACAATCGTCCGCATCCATTGTTAGGCAGACTGTCGTCCGCATAACAATGGATGCTACTAGTTTGCAACATTGATATGCACAAGAAACAGTGTGACACAAGAAATAGCATACAGCCTTGCGGGACACCAGCATTTACGGATTTCTTAAATATAAATAAAATCTTAAAAATAGATAAATTCTCCTATCTGCAATGATACTGGTGATCCAGTTACATAATTTCTCGGGAAGCTCATAGGAAGGAAGCTTCGAAAGAAAGCCTCTCCCTTAGTCTCGATCGCCTGTGCCCACCGGTGTATTAGAAAGACGAGAAGATCACCAGCTGAGCGACCCCGGTGAAAACCATTTTGTCGGTCATTGAGTTGTTGAGTTGAGTTCCTGGCAGTTAATTATGGATTCCTTAATCTTAGAGAAGAAGGGAGTTATGGCTGGAGGTCGGTCGGCTGTAGTTGGACGGATCATTGTGGTCACCTTTTTTAGGGATCAGGTCCATAAACGCTACTTTCCAGGAGTTAACGACGACGCCTTGGGAGTAAGAGAGTCGAAAAAGGCGCATTAAAACAGTTGCCAACTATGGAGCACACGTCTTTAACACGGTAGGAGAGATTCCATCGGTCCCACTCGACTTATGAATATTGAGGGAAAAGAGTGCTTTAGTCTCTCACCAATCCGGCTGACGTGCTTTGTTTTCGCCCTATCAATGGCTCTTTTAAAGGAGTTGGAAGCAAAGTTATATTGTTTTTTTTAGCGTGTTGGTATTTACATAGCCTACCGTTGCTTCAATTGGCCATGCTTAGTAACATTCCCGCTTTCCGCGGGACGCCATTTTGCAGGATCTGTCGAACCAAGCCTTGGTTCTTTCACCGATGCTAATTAATGTAGATAGAACGAATAGTTCCATGCTCTGAAGCACTACATCTGTGAGATAATCGGCAACGACCGCGGGATCACCCGGCAAGAAACAAACCTGCTTCCACGGGTAAGACACAAAGGAAAGTATCCCATCCCAGTCCGTTAACCTTTAGTGCCATACGCGGCGGCAGCTTGTAACTCGCGGCCGCCGCAAGCTCGTGAGTGGCACCGTACTCCGGATTAGGCAATGATCGGAGGAGCCATTGGAGCCTGTGGCAGAAACTCGAAAAGGACCTGTAAGAAACCAATACAGAAACCTTCTACGTGTTGGTTCCTATAAAACGGCGTTAGTAAGGAAAAGTGTTATCTGCATGGGTCCCATTATATATAACAAATTGCCTGATGACTTAAAAAATGATGTAATGGGAAATTTCAAAAATAAATTAAAAGCCTTGCTTATGGACAAATGTTACTACACAATCAATGATTTTTTAATAGATACAAATTTGTAATCATAATTTATAATTCCTATGACTTGTAATTTGGTAATTCTGAAGCATTGACATACACTATATTGATGATTAGTTTGTGGACCGGACCATTGACATCTAAAATATTAATTGTTCGTTTTATTTTTCTTTTTTGTACTTATCCATTCCAGATTTAATTTAATTTGTATCGACCCTAATTTTAAAGATTTTTGCATGCTTAATTATAAGGCAGAATGTACACGGTTCAATGAAAACTATTCCATCTGTAATTTGATGTACCTACATTCATAGCAAATAAACTTTGATTTGATTAGATTTGAGCCGCAACATTGACTTTGTAACCGTCCGGATAAGAGGACAGCCGCAGAAGGTTAAGGTTTGCGTGAGCCAAACCATTCCTAGTTGTGAGCATTAAACACGACGAATATCACATCTCTGCGGATGGGATGGGATCTGTTGGAGCACAGAATCTGTAGCCATTTGAAAGTGGCCCATCATTCGGTCAGTTTCGGTATCACCGCTATGGGACCTGTAGAAGCATGCGTAGACGCGGGGATGGTCGTCGCTGTCTACACGGAGCCGTTCTAAGCCTTAAACGACTGCAAAGAATACCCAGTAGTCAGCCACGAGAAAAATAAAAGCGGGTATTAAAATTAAACAACCTAGCCACGTAATTGTATTAAGTTATAAATCCAAATTCAACAAAAATGACCCTTTTTAAAACCCTCATTCCTCAACAAATCAGTCTTAACCTAGGAAGGATAAGACTGGCCCATGTCGTGCGGTATTCCGCAAGGGTCTGTCCTTGGAACCCTCCTGTGGAACATAGGGTACGACTGGGTTTTGAGATGATTTTCCCCCCGGGGTGGGTGTAATTTTTTACGCCGATGACACTGGTCATGGCCCGGGGAGCGAACTTTTAAAAGACCCCATCCCCACCAGGGGAGTCTGTCTGGTGGTCGGGCGCATTGAGGCGTTGGGTTAATGGGTGGCCCTAGATAAGGCCCTCTTGTTCAATGGGCCCCGTCGTGTTCCTCCCCCTAGCGCCTCAATCGTGGTCAACTCGGTCCTTGTACCGGTTCCGAGCCTGATGAAGTACCTGGACCTGATTCTCGACGATAAGTGACTCGACGAGCACTTCCGACAGCTTGCTTCAAAGCTGGTCGGCGCTGCGTCTGCCCTTAGGCGACTTTTGCCTAATCTAGGTGGACCCAGCATGGCGACGAAACGGCTGTACATGGGGGTTGTCCGGTCAATGGCACTGTACGGTGCACCGGTGTAGGTAACGGCTCTGACCGCCTAGAATAGGCTACGCCTCTGGTTACGCCGTTAGACCCATACGCGGCTACCGCACCGTGTCGACGCAGGCGGCGTGTGCATTGGCCGGGACTCCCCCGTGGGATTTGGAGGCGGAAGTGTTCACCGAAGTATATCGGCGGACGACTAAGTTCCGGGCGGTTAGCGGCATCGGCTCCCGCCCGAAGAAGTACGCGAGTGGCGTGAGGCCGCTCGTCGAGCCACTATGGCTTGTTGGTCCTCCCCGCTGGAGGCTCCACGTGCTGGTCTCGCCACCGTAGAGGCACTCCAGCCAGTCATCATCGACTGGGCAGGGCGGCAGCACGGGACCCTTTCGTTCCGACTGACGCAGGTTCTTTCCGGGCACGGCTCTTTCGGCAAGTACAAGTCGGCAAGTTGCACGAAAACAATTGCAGTATGTACCTCCCACTTAGGTAATCACAACGCACATGCCTACATAATTTGATCTAAGTTTATTCTTACCAAGTTTTAATTTTAATCAGTACATTTACAACAATGATGAATCGACCTAATAAATTGCCAACCTTATTGTTAGTGCTAGTAATTTAGGTTTTATCAATAAACATGTGTAACATACATTGCTCTGTATTGTGTGGTGACGTAATAGATATTATACGAAAAATATAAATATTTAAATGAGTTGTTATATATATATTTGTTTATATTCATACCTTAATGAAGATATTTCTTTTAAATACACAAAAGAAAACACTTTTCACCAAAATACATTAACCTGTAAACGAAGGCCGAGTTTCTATACTCAGTGTCTGTGGGAATTTGGAATTCACAACTGTAACGAACTTCATTAGTAAAAAAATGAAAAATAAATCTTTGCACTGCGACTGCAAATTATAATGATTATATCGTTTATAAACTATCCTATAAGGCTTAATTTTGAACATAAGACATAATTATGAGATTTGTAATGTATAATATTAAAAGCTATGAGTCACTGACCACAGATGTAAGAAAATAACGATATTCGCTTTTCGTTGTGAATCGCTAAACATGTTCTCAATCATAGGCAGCGTTTAGAACCTTTCTAAGTCAATATAAAATCTTACTTTACAAATCAAGTCACAATTAAGTGGATCTTATAACTTTTTACAGTGCATACTTCTTTCAGTTTCTGTAAAACTTAGTGCACAATGTATACAGGCAGCGTTTAATTTGCACAGCGTTCTCTACTAATTAACGTTGAGTTGATATAGAAATGTTATGCGGTAAAAATCTTAACTATAGCTATTTATCATAAATTGGTAAGTCCATAAAAATAGATATATGAATGCATACAGACGCATATAATGTTTGCAGAAATTGATAATAATGTAGTAATGACCATATTTCTACAATTGCAATATTTTCTTTCTTTTACTTTTTTAAAAGACAGCTCTCGCACTAGGAATATATCATGTGTCGCGGGGGACTTTACAAACATTCATGAAACGGACACAAAGATCCATGTGGGGATCGAATTCACAACACTCAGCGCTGTAGAAAGCGGCGAGGTGACCGCTTAAACCAATACGTCATAGGTGAAGTCAAATAGAATAATATTAATAATATTTCGTAAGACCTTTTTTACTGCTCGAACTTTATATACCTCTCACCAGTTTAAAATGATTCCAGTCCTTTCAAGGTTGCCTGGAAGAAATTGCTTTAAGCGATAAGGCCGCCCTTTACACATATTTTTTATGGAATAGAGGACAAACAAGCAGACGGATCACCTGATGGAATGCGACTACCGCTGCCCATGAACGCGTTGCCGGCCTTTGAGGAAGGGGTACGCTCTTTTCTTGAAGGTGGTATCGGTCCGGAAAAACCGCAGCCGATAACGCGAGGCAAAAAGTGTCTTGAAAAGCTCAGTGGTGGAGCGCCAATTATCTAAGTGGTGGGGATGAAAATACCTTACAAATTTTTGTACGTTTAATTACTTTGTCTGTAAAACCCTGGTGTACAAAAATAAAGTATTATCTATTTATCTATTATATGCGTGCGTGTCAACTAAAGGCACTTAAGTATACAAAACAGAACACAACTCATATTGTGAATGGTAGAGTAAATATTTAGAGCATAATAAGCCTATATCTAAATTGACCTGCTGTTCTTGCACAAACTAAATTCAGTCACATCGATGTCTCTCTGGCCAATTATCGTATTTTTAGGAGCACATTTCTTTACTATTTTTATAACTTTTATTCGTGGGAGAAGCATTTACCGTTTGAGAGATATGTTTCGGTATAAATAGGTCTGTTCTACCGGAGTGATGCCACTGTCTCAGTATACCGGTATTAACAATATCCTGATATAATAAAACACATAAGTAAACACATCTATTAAAACTTTATTAAACACAAATAAATTGTGATAAATCGTAAATCTATGTACATAGGCAAAACATCAATGTTTTAAAGCAATTAGAAAAATAGGTCAGTTATATTAAACCATCGTGTAATATTATAATATACTGTAACGAGAAGCCATCCATTCGAAGGTTTATAATATCTACAACGTGATTCTTTTAACACGAGACAAATTCCATTGTAGGATTGATTACATGATGACCTACCATATAAATGTTTTATAAAATATATATTAAAATGTTACAGTAATATCCGCAAAAGATTTTTAAATGTGCATTTTAACCTCTACAGAGGGTGCTTTAAATATTTCTTTAAGTGTCCTTTTCTTCAACATCCCAATATTCCTTTTAGGCAATTCCCTTACAATCTTATGCAATTGCGAACGTGATATCTGAGAAAGCTTTTTGATAGTGCATCTTGACCTCTAAAGACGGATGTGCAGATAATACTTTGAGTATTTCTTTAAGTAACTTCTTTTCTTCTTCATCGCAGTATTTCCCGACGGGCATTTCCTCACAAACTACTATGCAACTGGGGATAAAGTTATCGTTCAATACCATATGTTTCAAAGTTTCCATTTTCATCAAATTTTGACGGAATGATAAATTTTGAAAGGTTTTAGATAAAGCTACACTGAATAACCAGCATATGGTAGGAAAGTATTTTTCGGTATCCGTCTTTAAGTGCTTTACTATAATGGGACCAAATTTAGGAGATACTTTAATGTGTACAGCTTCCCATACACGTTCAGCTGCTTCTGGCATCCAACCATTTCCAAAATCTGACAGTGGTAAGTTATCCAAATTTGGGTCAGAGAACATGTCTTTGTATTCAACAAGCAACTTTACATATTCAGTTGTAAGTTTCCAACGAGTAAGTAACTCATAACTATGTACTATCGATAATTTTTCTGCCATTATTTTTTCTATTTCCTGGAATAATTTTACTGGGACAATGATTTTCTTTAGAGGTAAGTATTTCTTGATACCCCAAGTTAATTCTTTTGTTAATGAATCGACGTTTTCTTTCATGACATATTCATCATCTTTAACGGTATTCCACGAGGTAAAAGCATGTTCTAAGGCTGGTAAGAGTGCTCTTTTGAATTTTTCACACTGTTCTTCCTCCGTCTTGCCGTGAAGAACATATGCAGCCATTATATCAGTTAACTCACATCGAGTTTTCGATATTTCTTCCTTTATAGATCCAAGCAATTTATTTTCCACAAAATCAGTATCCAACAAGTCCATAATGTCTGGTGCAAACTTAATTAAATTATTTTTATAGATTTCACAATTAGCTCCAGGGGGAAGTGATGACAAAACATTGTAACTCTTCTTGAAAAATTCTCCTTGTACACTAACAGGAACATTTTTCACCTTTCCTAAGTTACTAAAAATAATTTTATTTTCATCTGTGCCCAGGTTATCAATAAACATACTCAATAATTCCCATAATTCTTTGACAACTGATGGGTCTTTCACCTTGCTCAGTATATTGTAGGTGTGCGTAAAAAGATGAGTTCGGATAGTAGAGTTCTTAGTAGTTTTCCAAATGCCAGAAAATATGGGTTTAAGTTCTTCATACTTGAGTTTGATGAACGCAAGGTGCAGACCATATTTCTGTAGAGATACTGGTGCTTCTAATAACTTCGACATGTGACCACGGCTTTGAACAACACTTATATTGTGAATGATCGAGTTCAGTGATGGTACAGCATATTGCAGGTAATCTCCTTTAGCGTATAACAATACCAAATCTAAAGAAGTCAAAGGTCTTGCTATATACAAATTTTTCGCTATATTTTTGCGTAAACTCAGCTCGATCTGATCAACTTCATTATAGTCAATTTTTGGGTCTGTGGGTGAGTACTTCCTCGCGATTTTTTCAATTTCGTCGTGTGGGAGAAGTTCGAAAAGTCCTTTGATTACAGCTTTGTGTCCAGTGCTTTCGTTAAAATTCTTAAGGTATGCTTTAATCCATTCCTGTGCAAGGGAATATTGCCAATACACACGGAGTTTAGCAAGCAAACGTCGTAGTGAAATAGTGTCATTTGTTCTCAGTTCGTCTAATTTGTCACTATAACGCGCTAATAGTTGTGGATCGTGTTTTAGTGCATTCAGGCATACATCTTCACAGGGATATAAAGTCATCGATTCTTCAAACATATATTTCCGCCATGATTTTTTCATTTTATACAACGACGTCAAATCGACATCCCATGCATTAGCTTTTTTAAGTTTTATTGACTCCTGTAGCTTAGCGAGTATAAACGTGTTTTCCTTTAGATCTTTTTTCCAGTCAATCAATAAATTGAGAGCATCCGTCAATAAATTAATAGACTTCTGGAAATCAGACTCAGTTTTAATTGTATTATTTTGAATCTTAGTAGTTAAAGAAGATAAAAGATAATTAAATAATTTTTCCTGTTGTTCTGCATTCAGTTTCTTTTGAAATATTTTAAAAGTATCAAAATTCAATTTCTTTGCAACGATTTCTGGAATAGTTTCATCGTGTAAAACTTTATACACTACTATAGACTTCAAACATGTTTGGACGTTGTTTTCTGATTCAGTGTACACTTCTAAGCTGTGAAACAATTTTTCCAAAATATTCCAAGTATCACTATCAAATTTATAAGTAGGAATTTGCCTGATCATGTTATTCACGAATTGAATTTTGAATTTGAATGGTTCATTTCTGTGCTTGTCGTAGTAGTACTGGAGTACAGTCTTTACATTTTGTGGATTCTTTTTTGCGCATATTATTAGCACTGAAAGTATGGCACATCTTTCAGCGGGTGAGCTTTCAGCACGGATCAGCTTCTTCAACTCGACAAAAGCCTCATTGAATGGTGCATATTGATACCAGTTGTACGAATTAGTGGAACATGTAGGCATGTGGGCTGCTCCACAAATGTCATCTGCAAGGCACATGTCATCATAAAGAGCAGGTGCATTTACATTTTTGTCAATATATATTTTCTTAACAAATTCAAATCTCTCCTCTTGAGGCATGATTTTAATAAAATGTTTCAAGTTTTCATAGTTACTCATAAAGTATTTTGTATTTTCGTTTTTTACTTGTTTTAGCACAAAATCCTTAACAGTTTCTTTTTTCATATATTTTGTCACGACTGATAAATCAACGGAGCTGTTATATGTCTCAAACTTGTCTAAAATCCTATTAGGAAATTTTTTCATGATAACTTCTGTGTGTTTTGATCCAAGTGTTGGGAAGGTGTAATCTTTTGTTGCTTCCACAACGTTTAAAAATTCGTCAGTATTCGATTTTATCAAAAACAATACTGATTTTAAGGCACGCCAACTATTACGGCTTTCTACTTTTTTATAATGCTTTAGAAATTTAACGGAGCGTTTGCACAAACGTTTAAACAGCTGTAATGATATTTCTTGTTGATTGTTTATTACATTTTCTATAAACGGTATAGAACAATTTAGTAGCCATTTGTCACATTCTTTAACTTTGTCGTGATTTTTCAAGTAATCATAGAATATTTCAACTCTTTTCTCATCTTTCAGGTGTAGTCGTATCTGCAAAAGTAGTTTATTGACGGCTTTGGTGAGCATGTAGGGAAACAATTGCGTGAACAAGTATTCAGGGTTAATAATATATTCATATTGTTGTTCAGTAATTAACCACATAGATTGCTTGATCGCTTTTGATACGTACAGCATGTCATCGCACTTCAGCACCTCTATGATGTAGTCTACATTTCTGCTTTTGCACGCCGTTTCGATCTTTAGTAGGTTGTCTATTTCACCATCGTTGGCATTTATTTTCGTCAGATTGAGCTGTTCATTAGCAATTGCATCTCGGACCAGTTTGTTGAAATGCTTGTGTTTTTCGCCCAGCGTATTTCCTTCCAGCGATAGTGGTGGCATTTTAAAACTGAAAGTGAAATAATTGAGAATGCATTATTTACTTAGTATCACGTTTAGTTTTTTCTTGGACGAAACTGCAGTGAACGTTTTTACAATACATTACGAGTGCAAACAATAATTAAGAATTTATGCTGCATATTGATTACGCATTGTAGCTTTCTCTGTTCTGCTACATATAAGGTACCTATTCCAAATATTACATTCACACGTGCTCGACGTTTATTACAAATGTTATTTTTCCGCGTATTAATAAAACACTGACGATATGAACTGATATGTCTATTTGTGCATCTGTGAAACTGAAATCCTGGGTGTTATTGTTTTGCAATAATACTTTTTTTTGTACTGTACCTCTCTCTGTACGTATGTAAACATGTGTTGAAATTGCCTGTTGATAATTGATTATTGTTGATTGAAGAACAACTTTTGCTCATGCCTACTCTGTGCTCCACGATAGGTATTCGATTTTAACCAGACGCCAAAAGATAACAAGACATAATAGTAGATAGTTAATAAGTTTACATTGCTTTTAACTGTCGTCTATGTTATTGCTACATACACTTTATATTTTGGAGTACGTGCTCAATTTAATTATTTTCATTTGAAACCAATGTCATAAACTGATAATAACAATGATAATTTGGTTGCGGATTAAATAATCATGCTGATAAAATAAAAATTTACGACTTAACACTAATTAACACTTCTGTATGGATGTGGTTATTTTATAGATACTACTATAAAGGTAGCTAATTCATAAAATATAGCAGACTAATAGAAAGACTTGATAATAATAATGTTTCGGACATCAGACACACAACGCCATCTAGTTTCAAACTAAGCAGAGCTCGTACTATGAAGGCTAGATTGACTGATAGAATACTTAAATACTTTTTTTGTAAATAAATACATATCATACATAAAAAAACATCTAAACTCCGACAGAAACATTTGCAGATCATACAAACATTTGGTCCGACCCGGGAATCAAACCCAACAGTCGCATTAACTACCACTGCGCCATAGTAAATATGTTTTAAATGTAAAACACAAAACTTGTACGGTGTCTATTGGCAATACTCTGCAATGGGGGCCATGTTTGGAATGTTAGGCTACACAACATTTTAACATTCTACACGCTACACGTAACGGATTATTTATTTAAATGTTCTAAAAATTATTCTCAGACATTCAGCTGACCATGAAACATTGCTTTTTAAAGGTAGAAACGGTTACACAACGCAAAGTTGTGTCGGTGTAAATCATCATTATTTCTTATGTTGACGTTTGACATATACACAGTAGCATGTATATAAAATTTTGTAATGTACAGCCATTTTATAATTTTTGTTTGTTTGTTCTTAACATATGAGGTTTTATAAAAAAATCATCTCATTGGAAGTGACACTCGTTAATAAATACTATAGAAATGTTAATTTTTATAGTTACAGTTACAATAGTTGTTGGTGGAAATGTTTACTTTAACTTCATTTGAAAGGAGTCCGTCCCGACTTACTATTTCTCGCTCATTACCCTTTCCCGGTGGCAAACCGGCTTTAGTAAGCCTCGCCATTTGTAAGCCTCCTATTTATATATTTTCTTTGCATGCTCTTTTCGGTCGATCTATTCAAAATCGGATTCGTCATTTGGATTGAGACGTTACAATTCATTGCGATCAACAAAATGAGATCAAACTCAAAAAAGATCATCCCCAAATCTTGCAAATATTCAATAGGTATACAAAAAAATGTTGATGTGTGATACAAAAAATATATAAATCGAAAGTACGTATATCCGAAGCACATAATAATAAAGTAGAAAGTTGAAAAACAATTTAAAAAAATATTAGGTATACATTGTACTTATGTAGTGTATAAGTAGACAAATACGTTTATTTTTGATTTTTGAGCTAATGTGATTTCCTTTATCGAAAACTTTTAAAACAAATTTTTAAGTAGTACTCTGTTGATAAACTAAGAAATTTACCTAATCTCGTGGTACAATAATCTAGTTTTGTACAATAACATAATATTTTCTAACATATCAAATTCATCTTCAGATAGATTCAGACCCCCTTTCAATCACAGATAGTATAATAATAATATTTGTCACTATTTCAATCGTTTTTTATCAAAGAGAAACACGTACCAAAATCATGGGCGTATACTTAGTTATTTTTTCCTATGACATCATCCACCACTACCTATCTAAATTGTGACTCAACAACAAAGTTTTTATTAGTGTTTAATAAAATGAATAATAAAATAATTGTAATCACAACGTACCTGAAGTTTCTCCAGCTCTTGTAATGTAAAAACGTATTCCCTTATCCAATTAGTTCAAAGAATTTTCAAGAATCGCAACGTGAAAGAAAAATAAGCCAGAGCCGCCAGCCGGTTTCTGTTCCAAAAACACAATCAACCACACAAATGTGTTTAATCCTTAGGTAAAAAACGCTTAGAATTGCAAACAAGTTACTTCTTTACACTGTTGATGATAAAGTTAATATTTGGTCGCAACAAACTGTAGATAAGCTTTATCTCCGTATTACATGTGGGCAGAGGCCTCTTAGACAATGTTGCCAGCTTAACTTTCCAAAAAAACTACTGTAATGTTTAACAAACATCGCAGAGAACTACAAAATGTTGCATTATAAAGTTATGTCAATATAATTTTATTTATTCTAAATTTTTCTTAATTAAATATAAGGCTAAGACTAAGTCCATTCAGTAGAATTTACATTCTATTAATTATAACGATTTCTTTTTATGAGAGTAGTTAGTATAGAGCTAATAATTGTTGAATAAATATTTAATTTAGATTGTTTTTTTTTTTTTTAATTCTATAATTAAATTTCTAGAAAATAAAAAAATGGTACTGTTGGCAATATTGTCTACAGATACTGTACGAATTAATAGAATAACAGAACTAGTTAATTGTCGTTGGTAGTTGAATGACGTTATTATATATTAACGTTATAACGAAATTTAATTTTAAACTTCTTGATCCTTTACAATTCCTACTGTAATAATTTGTCTGTTTAATTATCTTGACATATTTAGTTTGTTTTAATGCCGCTAACATCTGTTACTTAATTCTTTTTTTTTCATATTTTATTGTATTTGTTATACTTATTATATGTTGTTTATATTACAAAATTTGTGTGACTTAATTTTCACACCTTTATACAATTTATTATTCGTTATCCCATACCGTGTACATTATTCATTAATATTTATGATTAATCCTTTACTTAATTTGATTTATGTATGTACATACAATATAACATAACTTAGACAGTTATGCTTATTTTGAGACATTATTTTATTATACCAAAAGTTTAATGCTTTTATGTTCCATTTCATATTCAGCTTGTAATATCATTTCACTAGAGTAGGAGATTCTGTTTAAAACAGTCTTCAAAGAAATTATAGTTTTACGAGTAATTTAAGACGCCTTAACAGACTACACTTAAATTCTACACTACAGAAAAATATTATATTTATGAAGACAAAATGACAGTGCGTTGTACAAAATGAGAAATGTTTTTTTACTATAATATAAATTTATTATAACTTTCGTGGTGAGTTATTAATAAACCATTATTTTTAACATGAAATATAACCGCGTGATTAGAAGCAATCTTCTAAAAAAAAAGAAGCAGATAAGGAGCAACATCATCGGCACCATCGTGTACATAGCGATGAGAGGTAATCAAGTTTCAACCACACAACGGGCCTGGTACCGCCGGCAGCACAGGCGCTGGAGGTCGATGAATGACCTCCAACCTGCATAAGCGCAGGCCTACCTCATAGTTACATTAGATTAGAGTGTAATTTATCATTTTGCTGAAATATCAAAGAAAATATCTGAACCTTCCAAGTGTGTTAATGGGAGTTTATTTTTTACATTATACATTCCATTTATTATTACATTCCATTCCATTCCATCTAAACTACTCGTAGTTGCTGTCGTGGCTGGAGCAAGTTATCGCGTTAAGATTCTAGACATTTTTAAACAAGCAAGCATTCTTTTAAAATAATTTAGTAAAAATGATATTCTACCAGAGAGTAAATCTTGCGAGCTACCTACGCGGGTGGCATGCATTGGTACAGGCTCGAGTCGTCCTTTTCCAGAAGCATATAACCTCCGCAAGTGTCTCAATACTAAAAATTCCCTTTAAACAGACTATGGAATCTGGAGGACAGGACAGCGCCATCTAGTGTCAGGTGATTCTAGACACAACGACCGCTACGTGTTGTAATATTGATTTATAATTCCGATAATTGCTGCGCCATTTCTCTTCGTCATTTCTCCCCCGCTCGGTGCGCCGTCGTGGACAGACGTGTTACTGTGTGTTCCGTTTATTCTATTCTAAAAAAGTAGTTTCAATCGTATTTCAGTGCATAATCTATATACTAGTGTGTAGACAAATAAAAAATAAACAAAATGGTGTATAAACTGTGACTGTGCATAAACAATTCCAAAAGTATTCAACATAAAACTATTTGAAAAAGTCAGTTAAACTGTTGTTACCTAGTGCAACCCGACATTGAAAGCGGCAGAGGTCAACATCGTAAATGATTTGCATATTTTTAACACCTGTCTTATAATCGATAAATTGGATTACTGACTTAATTAGTCAGCTGGCGCATCTTGTAGTGCACTCGGTCGTTACTCTCGAGGGTATAAGTTCAAATCTCACCGAGGTCTGTTGGTTCTTTTTGGAATCTTTCTAAATTCTAATATAACAATCTAATTTAAACCCAAATGAGTACAAACATTGAATACAAAATGAAGTGCAATGGTTGTTTGAAGAATGTAGTTAATGCAAATTGCATTAAATGTTCCTCACAAACATGCGACAAAAACTTTTGTTCGATGTGCATCAACGTATGCAATATGTCGGTAGAGAAAAAGAAGAACTGGAGATGCCCCGATTGTTGCGCTGGGAAGAAAAAGGTTGGAGATAACAGCTCAACCCCTGTACGTCCTGCTGATGACAATGTTACACTGAGGAAGAAATGCAACGAAAATCCCGATGATACTCTCCATGTGGAGGTAAGGCAGCTAACAGAGGAAGTTCGTCTCCTTACGAGAGAAATCGCCTCGCTTAAGGGCCGCCTAGAAAATGCCACATCAGGTTTGACCAGCTGCCAGGCTAGACTAGATGAATTAGCGAGTACTACAGCCTCCAATGATTCCAGACTAAAAACTCTAGAAGGACGTGATAAGGAAGTGAAGCTGCTAGAAAACAAGGTGATTGAGCTTCAGCAAGAATTCAGCAAGAAAGAATGGAGTTAGCTGGCATTCCTGAGTGTAATAATGAAAACCTGCAACACATTGCACTCTTAGCAGCGAAAAAAAAAAAAAAAAAAAAAAAAAAAAAAAAAAAAAAAAAAAAAAAAAAAAAAAAAAAAAAAAAAATAGGTGTCGATCTGTCAGACTGCGATATCGACTGGGTGACCAGAGTTGGACCCCGTGTCAAGCGCGCTACTACTATTACAGAGAACGACACTACGTTCCCGCGACCAATAGTGATGCGACTCCTGCGTCGAAATAAGAGAGATCAGCTAATAAAAGCATCAAAATCTCGACGGAATGTAAACAGCTCTGACTTGGACGTTCCCGGCAAATCATATAAAGTCTTTTACAATGAACGGCTAACGAAGGAAAATAGAATGCTTTTTCGTGAAACAAGAACTAAAGCCAAAGAACATGATTACTCCTATTGCTGGGTCACTCAGGGTAACATCTTCGTCAAGCAACGGGAAGGTAAAGCAGCGCAGCCCGTACGTTCATTTGATGATCTCGCTCGCATCTTCGGGATCTGAGGTAACTCCAACGGTTTCTGCAAATGCGCTCTGTCGGTGTTATGGCAGTTCTCGTATTCATCTACAAGGTGCACTCGTGTTACCCTATTTATCTGTTTTTATTATGATCTTTCTATTACTGTTTTTTGTGTCAATTTTCTGTATGCTTATATATTTAGCAATCAATAATCTGACACTATGCTTATATTATTGTCACATTTCAAAAAGTACGCAGAATTGTGCTTGTCAGGATAGCTGTGCATTAGTCTACACTGAAACTAAAGGAAATTTTCTAGCATTTCTCATAAAAAGCATATGTGCACGCAAATCTCTGTCTGTGTTGTTTGGCAGTTGTCTCAATTTGGTGGTTGCAAACGATGTTTTTAATAAACTTATTGCTTAACGATGATTGATAGTAATAACATATCAGATGACTTGGATTCGATTGGTATTGAGTGCCACACAATACGGGCACCTGAACATTTTTACACTGCAATTACACCACATTACAACTTTAAAGTCATGACTTTTAATATAAGAAGCCTTAATAAAAATTTTGATAACTTTATGGTACTCCTAAAAAGATTCAAGGTTCATTTCGATGTGCTTATTTTAACAGAGTGCTGGCTTGACGAATTCACTATAATACCACAGATGTCTTCATATACCTCGTACAGTACGAAAAAAAAGTTGAACCAAAACAGTGGTGTCGTAGTGTACGCCAGGAGTACACTGAGGGTCTGTGTGTCAGAACCAGACATTGATGAAGCAAACTGCCTGCAAATTGTGCTCTCAAACTCAGTCGTAATTCTTGGCGTGTATCGCCCACCATCGTTTGCAGACACGAACAAATTCTTGTGCTCCCTTGATGTTGCCCTTGCGAATTTTTCCAACAAAAACTCAACTCTTATTATTGCAGGTGATATCAATATTAACCTTCTCTCGACCGCAAACGGTAAGGATTTAGAGTATACATGTCTCACCGCAGAACACGGGCTCTTGCCCGCAATAACGAAGCCGACAAGGGCTGAGGCTTGCCTAGACCACATTTTTGTTAACAGCTTTCAAAATGCGGTGGGTGCAGTGTGTTGCTCCGACATAACTGATCATTACCCGGTAATACTCGGCTTAGCCTTGAACAAAGAAAAAGCACCATCTCATAATAGAGTAACTATAAAACGGGACGTAGAAGCTATAAGGAGAGAACTAATGGAGGAAGACTGGTCACTACTATTTAATAGCAGCGATATTAACAATATAGTAAAAACCTTCAGTGAACGACTTGCAGAAATAATCAATAAGCACACCAAACAAATCACAATTAGCCACTCAAAATACAATATTAAACCTTGGATTACTCCCGGATTAATCCGCTGTATACAGCATAGAGACAAACTACACATAAAGTCGAACAAACTGCCTCATGATGCAATTTTACACAAAACTTATACACGATACAGGAACTTCTGCAACGATCTCCTTCATAAACTCAAAACAGATTACGAGAATAGAGAACTGTCTAACAATGCAAAAAATCCTAAGAAAATGTGGAAAACTATAAAAACCATGTGTCACTTGAACAAGACGAACAATGAGCCTAAAGAGCTTCTAACACTCCAAGGTAGCTCTAGTGCCAAACAATCCCTGGACATATGCAACACCTATTTTTCTACTATAGGAGAGAAACTAGCAGATAAAATTTTAAATAAAATACGGACGAATCAGGAGACACTAGCATCAAAAGTCTATAGTAAGCAAATTCTAAATTCCTTTTTCCTACATCCGACTGATGAATCGGAAATTGAGTCTCTAATACTGTCTCTGCAAAACGATAAAGCACCGGGTGTTGATGGTATAACCAATCTTCTCTTAAAGGATATTAGAAGTGTCATAATAAAGCCTTTAACATCCATATTCAATAAAAGCTTCAAATCGGGTACTTTTCCGAACTTATGGAAAACAGCGTCTATAATTCCTATTCACAAAAATGGAAGTAAGGAAGCAACAGAAAACTACAGACCTATTTCGCTGTTGACAGCCTTCTCAAAACTATTGGAGAAGGTAGTGAATAACAGACTTGTTAAGTACATCGAGAATGGTGATCTTATATCACACAGGCAATTTGGTTTTAGAAGAGGTAAGTCTACGGAAGAAGCTGTCACATTATTGACATCAACGGTTTCGGCTCATCTGGACCAGAACAAGGCTAGCATAGGCGTCTTCCTAGACTTGGCAAAAGCCTTTGATACCGTCTCAATTCCAATTTTACTGAAAAAGCTGGAATTACAATTTGGTGTCCGGGGTATAGCTTTGGACTGGTTTAAGAGCTATCTGACAGAGAGAAGACAGTGCGTTAGAGTAGGTTGCTATGAAAGCGAGAAGAGATTTACTAGTTTTGGTGTCCCGCAGGGCAGTATTTTGGGACCAACTTTGTTCATCATGTATATAAATGATATACACGATAGCGTCGATGCTGACATCATATGCTATGCGGATGATACTGCCGTTATGTACCATGGACATACTTGGTCGGAGGCGTTCTCGAAGGCTGAGAATGGGATGAGGCAAGTGTACTCATGGCTACGGTACAATTTGCTTACACTGAATACTGAAAAGACTAAGTATATATGTTACCATAAAACTGCCATATCGGCCCCAAATACCACCCTTAGTATTAAAATACACCAGTGCGCCAAACAGAGTCAATTCTGCGATTGTGAGGAGTTAGTTAAAACTGATACTATAAAATACCTTGGTATAATGATTGACAAAAACTTAAATTTTAAAACTCACATAAGGATCCTATCAACCAGAGTCCGGAAGACGGCAAATGTACTAAAGCTACTTCGATCATCGGCATCGACAGATATATTGAAAGCCGTATACTTCGCCTTAAGTCAGTCACTCATCACATACTGCATCACCTGCTGGGGAAGCGCTTCAAAAACAGTGATGATACAAGTGGAAAGAGCGCAACGGTCTGTTCTTAAAACCATGATGAATAAGCCCTTCCGGTACCCAACACAAATGTTATACAAGGAAAGTCAAATATTGAATGTCCGCCAGCTATATATTCTGAAAACAGTTCTCAGTGTTCATAGAATAGTAGTCAATTCTAATGACTACACAAATCTATTACAGCGACGTGTGTACAAACTGCCAATGCCCGCCATTAACACATGCTTCGCTAGGCGTTTTAGTCCATTCAAGGACATCTATATTTATAATAAAATATCCAGCGCTTGCAATATAAAGCAATGCTCAGTGAAAGAGGTAAAGACGACGGTTTCCAAATGGCTCACTTCCCTATCCTATGATTCAACCGAAAATCTTTTGGTACATTTATCATGAAATGTGAAAGTATGTGTGAAATGGTAAATAACTATTAACTATTATAAAACTCTATATATTTATATATATATGTATACTGTGTGTGTATATGTGACACACATCGATATTACATTATTATTTGTACTTATAATAACATACTTGCATTAATTAGTAATAGAATGAATCCTACCATTATTATTACTTATTTACTTTTTTGTATTATATAATGATAGAAAAATCCTTTTTTTTTTTTTTTAGTTTTTAAGTTGTCTTGTTAAAATTACTTTTAAGTCGTCGCCCGAGCAATGTATGTGGCAAAGTGTAAGCGTATCAGGCACCCACAGGACAGGCTTGCCTAGTGTGGGGCCACCGGCAATATTGTTAGTAATTACTTAGAAATAAATTATTATTATTATTATTATATTATTATTATTTAGAGTCGAATACCGAATAGCTCATAGAAATCTGTTGATTCTTTAATATACGTAGGTCTGTCTGGAAAGTGCTATCAGATCCTCGGGATTACTCTAACAATTTCGGTGGCCCTATTTAACCGAAGCATGTTGGCTGGCGACACAGTATTGTTTTACGAAACAGCGGATTAACATCGAAGCGATATTAACGAGTTATCTAGTGATTTCTTGTTTTTTTAAAGTAAGTATTTGTAAATACATTGCAATTTTAGTAATTAACCGACTAGTTTTATTTATTGAATACCCGGCTCGTAAAAATTTGGTGTCAGAAGTGGGGTGGGTATCCGTACAAGAAGCCAGACCAGAGGGGGTTTGGAGGTGCACAACTGCCTACATTGGAGGGTCAGCAGCCAGTAATGGAAGCCACTCTGTCCACATCGTCAGCGGCTCCAGATACCGTGGCTCTAATGGCGATGCTCCAGGAGCAGCCCCACCGTCAGGAGGACCAGGCCCGCCGTTAGGGGAATCTAGATGCTATTGTTAAAAGGCATTTATGAGACCATCGGCAAAAAACTCAAGGTAGTGCAGGATCAAGTTCTTCAACACGAGAACCTTCTCACTGAAGCCGAAACCCAGATTGCAGACGTGAAGAAGAAAGAAGGCGTTAGGGAACTTCAAAGTTGAAAACGGGACGGCTACTGCTGCTCCTTCGGTGCGGGGGTTCAAAGTGCTCCCGTTTGATGGAACATCTTCGTGTCAGCCTACAAGATCATGTTTGAGGCTGTTATGAGGGCGAACTGCTAGACAAAGGCCCAGGCTATGACCGCGCTATAAGGATTGTGTCCAACGCATCGCTGAAAACTATCCAATTGTTATATTTATTTATTTATTCGTAAATATATAATATTTTTAAATGAATATAAGGTCCTTGCTGACTTGTTTCTATATATGTCATTATACATATACATGTCCAATCTCATTGGTAGTTTGCATTTAAAAATATCTTTTAGTGCCCAATATCACTTCCAGGCAAGTTTTCTACGTTCTACGTCGCCCAACGTTTGCTCTCGAAACGCAATTCTCCGGCCCAAGTAAGTATACTCTTCGACATACATCAGTACCGGATTAAGCTAGCGCGAGGCCGGTAGCAAATTTTATCAAAGGGCTCTTGAATTGTTTTAGGATTGTCTAAGTAGTTTATGGCATTCATCATCATCAACAGCATACGAGTATAATAGTTCACTGCTGGATATAAGCCTCTCCTTCGAAAGGAGGTTTTGCCAACGGGGGATGTCCGGTCAATGGCACTGTAATGTGCACCGGTGTGGACGGCAGCTCTGACCGCCCTGAATAGGGTGCGCCTCTGGTGCGACCAACGAGCCACTGTAGCTCGTTGGTCGTCCCGGCTGGAGGCTCCACATGCTGGCTTTTGCTTCCGTAGTGGTGCTCCAGCTGGTCATCGTCGAATGGCAGGGTGACCCTTTCCTTCTGACTGACACAGGTCCTTTCCTGGCATAGCTGATTCTACACTCGGTTGCTAGAAGGGAATCGAGTCCCGCCTGTCATCACTGCAATTGAAGTGAGGACTTGGTTCAGCACACGCTGGCAATTCGTCCGGCTTGGGCGTCGCAGCGTCGGGTCAACTCGGGTCGCAGTTTCTGACTTCTACAAATGTATTAAAAGTTTCAATTAAAGATGAACATTCAGATACAGATTCAGGACTTTTTCGTGATAAGAAATGTAAAAGCGTTGGTGCGTGAGGCCCGGAATGCGCGGGACCCGTAGCATTTGCTACTCTTGCTACGTGGCTAATCCGCCACTGACATACATCATCATATTTGGTTCTATTTTGATTCGTTTTTGTTGTCCGTTGGTGATTGCACATGTTTCTTCTAGGTTCATAGTTAAACCGCACTTTTTGCTCTCTTGGTCTAGTGTTTGTAACATATATTCCAATTGCGAGTAGTTGTCGCATACAAGTAAAATGTCATCAGCAAAGCGCAAGTGGTTCAATAGCTCTCTGTTTACATTTATACCTACAGAGTTCCACTCTAGGTTGCGAAAGATGTTTTCAAGAAGGGCAGTAAATAGATTTGCAGATATTGAATCACCTTATCATACTCCTCGCTGAACATTAAATGGCCTTCCTTGTCTCTCTAGCTTTACTTTAGCTTTACTTCTTTTGTAGAGTCGAGTGAGCGATTGAATCGAACGCCTTCTGGTAATCGACAAAAGCGATGTAGAGCGTTTTGTCGTATTCTTCGTATTTTCCTGTAATTTGAGTAACAGTAAATATACATATGATCGATTGTAAAGAAATCCAGATGAAAACCTGCTTGTCTTAAGGCTGCTTTGTTCTAAGATCGCCATAATTCTTTTTAGTATTATTTGTGTAAATACTTTGTCGGTTGTTTGCAATAAACATATAGGCCTATAGTTTCCAATATCTTTCGGGTCACCTTTTCTATATAACAGTGTTATAATTGATGTTTCCCACTGCGATGGTGGAGACTTTATGCCATTGTATCATCAAAAGCCTCTAATGGTCCACTGTTGGACACAGGCCTCCCCTTAGGAAGGAGGTTTTGGCCTTCTATATTACGCTGGCCAGACGGGTTGGTTAGTTAGTTTGTTTCAGGTTTTCATTCTCTTTGCAGCGCTGATGTCCTGCGTAGTTTGCTCCCTTAGTCGGCTCTTACGACACCCACGGGATGAATAGGGGTGGTGACACTCCGTATTCTTAATCCGTCACCACACGGAACAGCACTGTATACCTCTGCTGCGCCATGGATAAACTGAAAATTCTTACAATTTTCGAATATGAGTCCCTACGTGGAAATACTGCTGGGCAAACAACACTAAACAATAACGACTTGTTCGGACCTAACACTGCTTGAATAAACACGATCCATTAAAGGTCTTGCTGCGGGCACACTTCACATTTCACGACAGACCATCGCAAAGCTACAAGAGTAGTAGTAGCTAGTAGTAGCAGTAAGAAAAAATTTCACACCCAAGAAACAGTACAAAACGCTTTCAGCAGACTTCTACAGTAAAGGGAATAAACAAGCTGCCATCAAAATAGATAGTTAGGGCCAGTACTTTGATTGTCTAAAATAAAAATTTAACCAAAATTGTTGTATTTTAAAATTTCATACAAATTCCAATACCAACTTCATAGGTAAAGTCCTAATAAAATACTTTTAACGTATTACGTACGTAGACAAAAATTTGTAATCTACATAGGTTCACACTAATAACCTACTAGAAAAGTGTATTTTTGTAAATATGTTTTAGTAATATCCGCCAAAGATTTTTCATTGTGCACTTTCACAGACAAAGGTGTTTTACATGTTCTTTTCTTCATCATATATGTCTTTATTTTATATACTTAAAACATAAACAAAGATGAGTCACATTTGTAGACATAACAATCAGCGGTGTTATGACTCACTTAATATGCAATTGCGAACTTGATATCCGAGAAAGCTCGTTGACAGTGCATCTTGACCTCTAAAGACGGATGTGCAGATAATACTTTGAGTATTTCTATGAGTAACTTCTTTTCTTCTTTATCGGAATGACAAATTTTGAAAGAATTGAGACAAAGCTACACTGAATAACCAAGATATGGAAGGAAAGTATTTTTCGGTATCTTTTTTTAAGTGCTTTACTATAATTGGACCAAATTCAGGAGATAACTTAATATGTACAGCTTCCCATATACGTTCACTTCTGGCATCCAACTATTTCCAAAACCTGACGGTGGTATGTTTTCCAAATTTGGATCAGAGAACATGTCTTTGTGTTCAACAAGCAATTTTACATATTCAGTTGTAAGTTTCCAACGAGTAACTAACTATAACTATAACTTATAATTATCAACTATCGATAAATTTTTACCATTATTTTTTATATTTTTTGAAATATTTTTACTGGGACAATGCTTTTCTTTAGAGGTAAGTATTTGTTGATACCTTAAGTTAATTCTTTTGTTAATGAATTGACGTTTTCTTTCATGACATATTCATCATCTTTAACGGTATTCCACGAGGTAAAAGCATGTTCTAAGGCTGGTAAGAGTGCTCTTTTGAATTTTTCACACTGTTCTTCCTCCGTCTTGCCGTGAAGAACATATGCAGCCATTATATCAGTTAACTCACATCGAGTTTTCGATATTTCTTCCTTTATAGATCCAAGCAATTTATTTTCCACAAAATCAGCATCCAACAAGTCCATAATGTCTGGTGCAAACTTAATTAAATTATTTTTATAGATTTCGCAGTTAGCTCCAAGGGGAAGTGACGACAAAACGTTAAACTCTTCTTGAAAAATTCTCCTTGTACACTAACAGGAACATTTTTCACCTTTCCTAATTTAATAAAAATAATTTTATTTTCATCTGTGCCTAAGTTTGCAATAAACATACTTAATAATTCCCACAATTCTTTGACAACTGATGGGTCTTTCACCTTGCTCAGTATATTGTAGGTGTGCGTAAAAAGATGAGTTCGGATAGTAGAGTTCTTAGTAGTTTTCGAAATGCCAGAAAATGTGGGTATAAGTTCTTCATACTTGAGTTTTATGAACGCAAGGTGCAGACCATATTTCTGTAGAGATACTGGTGCTTCTAACAACTTCGACATGTGATCACGGCTTTGAAAAACACATATTATGAATGATCGAGTTCAGAGAAAGTACTTTAAATATATTTTATTGCTTAGTGTCATCATTAGAGGCTTTAAACGGAAAATATACAGTTAGTAAATCTATTTTCAGGTTAATGACTCTAATCAAACAATTAATAGGAAATTAAATGTATTTTTATTCTTAGGCCAGGATTATTTTCATGGTTTTGAATACTTAAGTAAAAAGGCGCATAAAACCAAATGCGCCTTTTTTAAACATAAATCACAAATCTACCCACAAATATTTAGACTAGAAGTACTCCAAAAAGCTTTTGAGATTTAAAAGGCGCATCTGGCTATTTGCATTTATTCAATTAAGAAAGGAGTAAGTATTTAAAAAAATAATACACTAAAATGAACCGGTTTTTTGTCATTTTCAATTAAATGACTTAAAAATATTTATACTTTTATTACTTGGTGTCAAAGACTATTATTATGCCTATAAATTCCCATTTTTAATATTTAATTATTTTAATTTACGCAAAGACAGCGAACGATTTTCAATTAAATTTATTAAAATAATTTTGTCTTTTTGCGCATGTTGCTTTTTTAACTATCAGGGGCAGTGCTGGACATAGACCTCTCCTTAGAAATGAGGTTTTGACCTACTACCTGGCCAAACGGGTTGGTATAGGGTTTGCTTCCATCGGCTCCACAAAAGCCGAGGAGGGGGGCCAAGGCACCGGCCCAGGCGCCGGCCAAGGCACCGGCTAAGGCGTCGGCCAGGGCGCATCCCCAGGCGCCGGCCAAGACGGGGCCTAGAACAGCGCCGAGGAGCGGAGTGGCATTCCCTCCGCTCCCCACTCCGACACCCCTGCCGGGCCCCTCCGCACCTGCCCCCTCCAACGAGGGTTGGCAGGAGGCGAGGGGCTCCAAGAAGTCCCGAAGGCGGGCCAAAAAGGCTGCCCAAAGAGCAGCCCAAGCCCTGCCTTCGCCACCGGTGGCAACGGCCTCTGCAAAGAGGCCGCGGAAGCTGCAGCCGCCCAAAACCGCGGCGGTAGTGGTGACCGTGTCCCCGGAGGCGGCTGACGGCGGGCTGTCCTATGCGGCCGTCTTCAAGAAGGCCCGGGACAGCCTCGCCAACGAGTTTGGGACGGTGGGGGTCAGGATGCGCCTCGCCCAGACGGGAGCTCGAGTTCTCGAGTTCCCTGGGGCTGAAGGCGCAAAGACGGCGGACTCCTTCGCTGAGAAGCTGCGGGGAATATTTGCAGCCACAGATGGTGTCAGGGTCGCCAGGCCTACCAAGTGCGCGGAACTGCGCATCTCGGGCCTGGACGACTCAGTGACGGCCGAAGATGTCCGCGCTGTAATCCGGGAGAAGACGGGGTGCAGCGCGGACAACGTCAGGGTCGGCACCATCCGCCCCGGTCCAGGAGGGCTTGGCGCCGTGTGGGTCAGCTGTCCCGTAGCGTCGGCCAAAGTATTGGCCGACGCCGGCAGGCTGCTCATCGGTTTCGTGAGCGCCAGGATTACAGTCCTGGCGGCGAGACCGATGAGGTGTTTTAAATGCCTGGCCACGGGACACACGCGCGTCAAGTGCGACAGTTGTTTTGACTGCGGCGGACTGTGTTTCCGCTGCGGTCAACCGGGGCATAAGGCGGCAGAATGCTCTGCCGCCCCTCACTGCCCAGCGTGTGCGGCGGGCAATAAGCCCGCCAATCACCAGATGGGGCAGAGAGGCTGCAAGCCTCCCCGCAGTTCTCGGCAGACGTCAGGGGCTAGCCAGTCGACCCAGGCTGCCTCCGACGTAGTACGTGCGTCGTCGTCGTCGCCCATGGAGGAGGTTGTAGAGACGATCCAGTAATGGATCAAGTCTCCAACCTCCTGGTCCAGACGAACCTGAACCACTGTGCCGCGGCGCAGGATCTCTTCCTGCAAACCATGGCACAGTGGTCGATAGGTGTTGCCGTAGTCGCGGAGCCCTATTCTGTCCCTCCCCGTCCAAACTGGATGGGTGACTGGGACGGCTCCGTGGCAGTCGTCGGTTCCACGACGGCTCATTCCCCGCCCTTGTCGCTAAGAGACAAGGGCACTGGATATGTTGCCGTCGAGTGGGGGGGGATCACCATATATGGTGTCTATTTCTCCCCCAACCGGAGTTTGAACGACTTCGAGGTTTTCCTAATCAGCTTGGAGACCTCGATACGGCGACTAGCGTCTGGGCACGTCCTTGTGCTGGGGGACTTCAACGCAAAGTCCATTGCGTGGGGTTCCCCCAGGGCGGACGCCAGGGGCGAGGCCGTAGAGGAGTGGGCGGCCTCGGTGGGCCTCTGTCTTCTAAACAGAGGCTCCACCAACACGTGCGTGCGACAGCAGGGGGGGTCGATAGTGGACCTCTCGTTCGCTACCCCTGCCCTCGCCGCACGAGTAAGGAACTGGCGTGTCCTGGAAGAGGTTGAGACGCTCTCGGATCACCTGTATATCCGATTTGAGCTCTCCCGGACCCAGGACTCCAGTAGGGGTCACGTGGCGCGGCGTTTATCCCGCTTTCCGCGGTGGGCTGTTGCCAGGCTGAACCGGGACCTACTAGAGGAGGCAGCCATAATTCACTCGTGGCTGTCTCCTCAGGCTCCGACCGAGGAGGTCGACGTGGGGGCTGGCCGCTTTCGCGATGCGATTACGCATGTATGCGATGCGGCCATGCCCCGCGTTCGAGGTCGTCGGCCTCCAAGGAAGGAGGTCTACTGGTGGTCCCAGGAGCTGGCGGACCTCCGTGCGGCCTGTACACGTGCCCGGAGGTCCTACACACGCAGTCGGCGGCGTCACCGTGGAGACGGTGAGGAGGACCGGCTTCATGAGGAGTACCGGCGGGCGCGGAAAACTCTGAAGCTGGCCATTAGCCGCGCCAAAGAGGAAAAGAGACAGGAGATGCTGGAGGGTCTTAATCGTGACCCCTGGGGTCGCCCTTACCGCGCGGTGCGACAAAAGCTCCGCGCGTCGGGCCCCCCCCTTACGGAGACTCTCCAGCCCAGCTTCCTGCGCGAAGTGGTTGAGGGCCTTTTCCCACAACGAGCGGAACACACTCCCCCGTCGATGGCCTCCCTGGCCGGAGACGACGGGGAGCACGGGGAGGACAATGTTCCGCCCGTCCGGGATTCGGAGGTAGGGGCGGCTGTTCTACGGATCCGTTCCAAGAACACCGCCCCTGGGCCAGACGGGGTACCGGCCCGAGTGCTGGCCCTGGCCCTCAACCACATGGCAGACCGCCTCGGGGAGGTGTTCGACGCTAGCTTGGCGTCGGGACGCTTCCCTGAGTGCTGGAAAAGCGGGAAGCTGGTCCTATTGAGGAAGCCGGGACGGCCAGCCGATTCGGTCGCGGCCTATAGGCCCATCGTGCTGCTGGACGAGGCGGGCAAATTGTTTGAGAGGGTTCTTTCTGCCCGCATCGTCCGGCACCTCTGCGAGGTGGGCCCCGATCTGTCGGACGCCCAGTTTGGTTTTCGGGCGGGGCGTTCGACAGTCGACGCCGTGTTGCGCCTGAGGGCCGTGACCGAAGAGGCCGTGAGCTGTGGCGGCGTGCTGTTGGCGGTGTCACTGGACATCGCCAACGCATTCAATAGTCTGCCATTCAGCTGCATCAGGGAAGCACTCCACTATCATGGGGTGCCAAAGTACCTGAGGCGGCTAGTGGCAGACTATTTAGAGGAGCGTACCGTCGTGTACGAGGACCGAGAAGGTAATTTGAGGTGTCGGCCCATGTCGTGCGGTGTTCCACAGGGGTCTGTTCTTGGACCCCTCTTGTGGAACATAGGGTACGACTGGGCCCTTCGCGCCGATTTCCCCCCCGGGCTGGGTGTAATCTGTTACGCAGACGATACCCTTGTGACAGCCCGGGGGGCAAACTTCCAAGAGGCGGCGCGCCTGGCCACAGGGGGAGTCTCCCTGGTGGTCGGGCGCATTGAGGCGCTGGGCTTACGGGTGGCCCTAGATAAGACGGAGGCCCTGTTATTTCATGGGCCCCGTCGTGGTCCACCCCCTGGCGCCTCCATCGTGGTCAACTCGGTCCTCGTACCGGTTCGGGCCCAGATGAAATATCTGGGCCTGATCCTCGACGGGAGGTGGCTCTTCGACGAGCACTTCCGACAGCTTGCTCCAAAGCTGGTCGGCGCTGCGTCTGCCCTAGGGCGACTTTTGCCCAATATGGGTGGACCCAGCGTCGCGACAAGACGGCTGTACACGGGGGTTGTCCGGTCAATGGCACTGTACGGTGCACCGGTGTGGGCGGCGGCTCTGACCGCCCAGAATAGGGTACGCCTCTGGCGCCCTCAGAGGGTAATGGCGGTCAGAGCCATACGCGGTTACCGCACCGTTTCGACGGAGGTGGCGTGCGCGTTGGCCGGAACTCCCCCGTGGGATTTGGAGGCGGAAGTGCTCGCCGAAGTTTATCGGCGAGTGGCTGACTACCGGGCGGAGAGCGGATTTCGCCCTCCGCCCGAGGATGTGCGCGAGTGGCGCGAAGCCGCTCGCTGAGCCACGATGGCTCGTTGGTCGTTCCGGCTGGAGACTCCACGCGCTGGCTTCGCCGCCGTGGAGGCTCTCCAGCCGGTCATC